TTTTTTTTTTTTTTTTTTTTTTTTTTTTTTTTTTTTTTTTTTTTTTTTTTTTTTTTTTTTTTTTTTTTTTTTTTTTTTTTTTTTTTTTTTTTTTTTTTTTTTTTTTTTTTTTTTTTTTTTTTTTTTTTTTTTTTTTTTTTTTTTTTTTTTTTTTTTTTTTTTTTTTTTTTTTTTTTTTTTTTTTTTTTTTTTTTTTTTTTTTTTGTGGTTGCAGAGATTCCAGATGGGAAGGAGTTGAGATCATTGTCAGATACTTACATCCAAAGTCACCAGAAATATGATTGAAATGGATGAAATAATGATCAAAACCAATATTCTAGATGCAGTTAATTGAAGAACTGGAGTCGAAGTTATGAAAAAAAAAAGCCATTCAAGTTTTTGAAAAATCGGCCGGCTAGGCGGGCTAGGCGGGTCCTTGATATATAATAGTATAGCCGGGCGGCTATACGCTATAAATAATATATTTAAAAAGGATTGCCACGCAGAATGTGTTTGTGATTGTGTCGGGGCTGGAACCTGTTTTAGATTGATGAATGATTGTGTCGGGGTTAAATATCGGCTTTACAGGCTATAACTTACCAGTAAGTTATAGGCTTTTCACTCCATCACATACATGACGGTTAAATATTGACTTTTCACGCTATAACTTACCGGTAAGTTATAGGCTTTTCACTCGTGTCAACAAGAATGGTTTCATGGACTTTTCTCACGGACCTGGAGACAGGCTGCCCTTTCACCGGCTCCATGTGTGGGATTGTGTTTATCTAAATCTAAGGGTCATGTTCTTTTGTAATGTTTGTTTTTATTTTTTTATTGTTGTTTATTGGTAAAAGAAAGAAACTGAGAATGGAACCCAAATAAAAAAGTGATTTGTCCACAAAAAGTATCGTAGAATTAGAACTAACATGTTTACCAAAGCTATCACCTTAACTTTGGCTTCTAGAAGTTGCAAATTTATTATCAGTGTCCATTAAAACTGGTTGGGCATGATTCAAATAAGTTACCACACTAGCTATCATTCTAGCTGAGTAGGTCGAGATAGGTTGCAATATTTCATTTTTCAAATATTCTTTCGAATGGCGTCAAGAAAATATAAATATATAATTAGTTCGCCATAGTTTAAAGTTGAAGTGTTTAAATTTATGATTATCGATTATTGTATTCTTTGGAGCGGCTATCTACCAAACTACGATCGAATTTGTCTTTAGACATTGCAATTTCGGCAAGCCTTGATTGTTAAAGTTAGTATGTCCTACATTCTTCTTGTTTATATTAATCTTGTACACATTTCATGTTGTAATTTTTGCTGTCATAATAACTGTGAGAATTATTGTTATTATTAAAATTCATATTTTTCATTGTTCCGCGAATTGAACACACTATCCTTGTCTATTTATTTTGTTACTGTTTGGTAACTAAATGCTTTCTTATTTGAGTGAATGTTTGCAAGGATGATCATTCAATGAACACCAAAAAATGATATGTTCAAATCATGGAAAACATTATGAAGTCCAATCAAATGATTGGTTAGCACTTCAACACTAAAAAACCAATAAGCCACTATGTTGTTGGCTTGTTTTAGAGATTTTGATACTCATATGTAGACTCTTGCTCTCCACTTGTTACTGCAGGAAGATATTCATTTTACACTGCCTACAGCTTATGCCAAACCCTTTTCATAGGTTTTGTTCTAAAGCTACATTTACCGTCCATGAATTGTTTGCAAAATTTAGGCCAGTGATAGGATTTTTAGTACATGTGCAAATTAAAATCGTAGAAAATACTTGCAAGAATACAAGGATATTGTAGTATAGATGCTCATGCAAGGTCGTTCTCCTCAAGGACTATTTAGCAATCTATGTAAAAAAACAATTTTCAATTAACTACCTAAAATTAAAAGTTGAGAAAGATGATTATGAAATTGTTTGATACTAAAAATAAATTTTAAACAAAAATGATTATGATTGAAGGAAAGAGTTTTAAATATCAATTTATAAAAGCACTAGGGTTTACCATCACCTACCAATCCTATGAATTTTTACCAATTACTTATGATTTGCACATGCCACTTTGAAAAAAGTTAGGTTTTCCTAATTTAAATTCTACTTGGAACCTCCAACATATAACGTATATCCAACGTGCAACTTGTCCGAAAGTTCGGATCAAATCTGAACATGAAAGTTTGTGAAAAACCTTTGAAAAACCATGCAACCCTTAAGACGTGGTGTTCATCTTAAGTGAAATTACAATTATTAATCACAAGAAGCCAGCGTCAATTTCAGGGAACCTTCCGACCAAAATTGCATCTAATTACTTTTCTAATGATCGTAATGGTGATCAGGCATTAAAACAATTAGATAGTTTAAAACAGTGATTAACAATTCAAAGTGTGCATGCACTCAATCATAAACAATTAAATAAAAATCACATATTCATGCTAAGGTTCAAGGCTTCACCCTAGCAAAAGAAAATTAGTTACGCATATTCATAATTGAAACCCAAGAAAATATCATTAAGAAGGAAAAGAATGAAAACACCTTAAAGTCGCAAAAACCCAAAACCCTAGCAACTACTTATGACTATGCCTGGAGGGTAGACTGTGCATGCTGAAGTGTGGAAATTTTAAACTGTCTTTTTGACAGGTTGAAAATTTTGGTTAAGTTCGTTTTTCAAGGGAGACTCTGCCGAAATTTCGGTAGAAGTCTCGGCCCTCTTTTCCTTTGTTTTAGGGGAAGAGGACATTTGAAATCAGTAAGTGGGCCCGGTATCGGTTGGATGTCGAAAATATCACAGGATCCGTCACGGATTCCGAGGAATTCGGGGCGAGTCCTGTCATTTTATTTGTATTGTTATAGCTTGATTTTTTCAAGCTTTATCTTTTAATTATTATTTTAAGTTTGAAATCCTAGTTGGGATGCATACCCCAGAGTTTCTTCGATACTGCGTGCTCGTTAGTGGAGGGCACCAGATTGTCTTAATTTTGATGTTTGGTAAAGTATTGGCTTTTCACTCGATAACTTACCGGTAAGTTGTAGTCTTTTCACTGCATCATTTACATGTCAATTAAATATCCGCTTTTCACGCAATAACTTACCGGTAAGTTATGGGCTTTTCACTCCATCACTTACATGATGGTTAAATATTGGCTTTTCACGCTATAACTTACCGGTAAGTTATTGGCTTTTTGCTCTATCACTTACATATTGAGCGTAAAATTATCACACATGCATGCGCACTGATTTGATTGAAATTGCCATTGTTTTTCGATCAATTTTAACATGCAAATACTAGTCATAACTCTAGGGGTTATTTTTTGTTATTTCAATCCCTAGTATGGACATGAATATATTAAATTAACAAAGACATAACTATTTTCGGTAGAAAGGTTAAAGAGCGTGCTGTTGAAATTGCCAAGGCCATAGATGACGAAGATGGGTTGATAGGAGCATTGAATGCCTTTCATAGGCACTTTCCTCACAGTAAATCTGAGGATAAACCCGAGTCATTGCCTGCTAGAAGTGGCTTATTTTCCATTAGTAGGTGTTTTGGCTATTCCAATTTCAGTACACATCCCACGGCCTCTCCTCCACATTTGTAAGTTGGAGCAGTTTCTCTCTGTAATGAGGCTGACTTGAGTACCCTATAACAGTAAGAAAAGAAAAGAATACCCACAGATTCTCTTGTAATGACTGCAAAAAGATTCAGTCTCTAAGCCCCAAGTTGTTAGTGTGTCAACTAGCTGAAAATGCAGTTTTGTTTTAGTACACAAAATTGTATTTACAGGCTCCTTTTGCTCTACCATCCCCAACCAACAAACCACCAGTGATAGTGACATGTACATTTATCTTCAAGTTCTCAATCTTGTTGTTGCTATAACAATAATTGTAATAGACGAAGAATTTGCTAAACAGTTCTGTCTTAGTTTGCTAGACCACAGTTTGTCATAAAACTGTGCCACAAAAAAAAAAAAAAACAAAAACAAAAACAAAGACTAAGGGCGTTTGACTAAAACAACCAAAGTCATTCGAAGGTTGGAAAAAACAAAAAGGAGACAAGTCATTTTTTTCCTTGCGTAGAGCTCATCGATACGAGTTCATAGACACGTAGTGGGCCCAAATCGCAGTTTTAACGAAGAAGTTACGATCAGCGGAAGCACAGTGGCACAATTGTAAATATTTCAAGGTCAGAATTTTAAAACCCAGGTCAGCTTCTTTTTCTCTCTCTCTTTCTCCTACCACGACTCTCTCTCTCTCTCTCACCGTCGCACAACAACATTTTCCGACGCTGAATCCGGCTTCGTCCAGCCACCTTTTTCGACGAAACGACTTGCAAACTTTTCCTCTCCTCCTCTACTTGACCCACCCAATTTAAAAAACCCGGGTCTCACCCAGGTGCAACCGCGAGATAAAATATATTTTTGGACTCTAATTTGGTCATTGGGATCGAATCCTATTTATTAGATTTGTTAAGTTCGGTTTTGAATTTGTCGGTAGCCTGAAGGGATGTGGTTATAATGTGTTTGTGATTGTGTTGGGGCTGAAACCTATTTTAGATTGATGAATGATTGTGGATTAAGTCCTTACAACTACTTATGACTATGCCTGGAGGGTAGACTGTGCATGCTGAAGTGTGGAAATTTTAAACTGTGTTTTTGACAGGTTGAAAAATTTGGTTAAGTCCGTTTTTCAAGGGAGACTCTGCCGAAATTTCGGTACAAGTCTCGGCCCTCTTTTCCTTTGTTTTAGGGGAAGAGGACATTTGAAATCAGTAAGTGGGCCCGGTATCGGTTGGATGTCGAAAATACCACAGGATCCGTCACGGATTCCGAGGAATTCGGGGCGAGTCCTGTCATTTTATTTGTATTGTTATAGCTTGGTTTTTTCAAGCTTTATCTTTTAATTATTATTTTAAGTTTGAAATCCTAGTTGGGATGCGTACGCCAGAGTTTCTTCGATACTGCGTGCTCGTTAGTGGAGGCGCACCAGATTGTCTTAATTTTGATGTTTGGTAAAGTATTGGCTTTTCACTCGATAACTTACCGGTAAGTTGTAGTCTTTTCACTGCATCATTTACATGTCGATTAAATATCGGCTTTTCACGCAATAACTTACCGGTAAGTTATAGGCTTTTCGCTCAATCATTTACCTGACGATTAAATATTGGCTTTTCACGCCATAACTTACCGGTAAGTTATAGGCTTTTCACTCCATCACTTACATGATGGTTAAATATTGGCTTTTCACGCTATAACTTACCGGTAAGTTATTGGCTTTTTGCTCTATCACTTACATATTGAGCGTAAAATTATCACACATGCATGCGCACTGATTTGATTGAAGTTGCCATTGTTTTTCGATCAATTTTAACATGCAAATACTAGTCATAACTCTAGGGGTTATTTTTTGTTATTTCAATCCCTAGTATGGACATGAATATATTAAATTAACAAAGACATAACTATTTTCGGTAGAAAGGTTAAAGAGCGTGCTGTTGAAATTGCCAAGGCCATAGATGACGAAGATGGGTTGATAGGAGCATTGAATGCCTTTCATAGGCACTTTCCTCACAGTAAATCTGAGGATAAACCCGAGTCATTGCCTGCTAGAAGTGGCTTATTTTCCATCAGTAGGTGTTTTGGCTATTCCCATTTCAGTACACATCCCACGGCCTCTCCTCCACATTTGTAAGTTGGAGCAGTTTCTCTCTGTAATGAGGCTGACTTGAGTACCCTATAACAGTAAGAAAAGAAAAGAATACCCACAGATTCTCTTGTAATGACTGCAAAAAGATTCAGTCACGAATTTAAAATTTTTTTGTCACGCATTTAACTTGTTCTGTATTCAGTCAGGTTCAAGATTATTTGGTTTTATTGGTGCTGGTGCCACACTTGGCCAGCTTTTTGGGCCATTGTTTACCATGTATGTTTGCTTATTCAGTCTCTTGGAATTTGATATTTGCTGTGTGTGTGTGTGTGTGTGTGTGTGTGTGTGTGGTGTTTGTTGTTCTTAGGATGAGCTTTTGTTATATAGTTGTTGTTTTGTCTAGTTTTTAAAGTAATTAACATGAGATATGCTGTGCAGAATGTTTGCTTATGCTTACTGAAAGTGTATACTGCCTAGCTTGTTGCATGTTTGCAGCTGTTTTTAAGTTGATCACCTGTCAGCTTTCCTGCTGAAGGCAATTTATGGGTCCTATTAGTAAAGAAAGAAAGCTAGTCTCATGCCAGGGATATGTTTCTATTTCTAGGCATCTTAAGAAATATTAAATATAATTGAAGCAAATCAGGGAGCATTTTTACAGAAGTAGAAACTATAAAATAATGAAAGCAGAAGTCAAAAGAGTCAGGTCCTTGTGTCAAATGAAGAAGTTGCCAACTGAGTTGAAATCGAACATCAGTAATTATAAAGGAGTGCCCCTCTGGTGTGCTTTCAGTTTGCAGTGCTTCCATATTCCAGACAACAACCTACTGACATGAAAAAACGAAAGAAAATCATTCACATCATTCCTTTTCTCATTAATCAATCGAAGTCACTAATTTGTTATCAGATAACAAGTACCCAAACCCAATCCGTAAATCAATTACTTAGCTTACAACAAGACTTGAACCTGGGCTCTTCGGTTCGGTTTCAATTCGAAAGGAAAGTGAGGAGAAATCTAATAGGAAAGAATTATAAAGCATGTCATTCTTTACCACTCCACTGGAATTAAGATCCTGTGGCCATTTCCGGAGAAAATGAATGCCATTTGATGCTAACACCAAAATGGCATCACCTCCATTTGTGTATAACAGCCTTGATATAATGAGAAGCTACCAAAACATTTTAATGCCGAAATCTGAAACTTAAATATTAGATATTCCCATGCTTATATGCTCCCAGTGCATAGGCAGAGAAAAACTATAAATCAGTCTCAGAATTGAGAGACCTCATATTGAATTATTTATTTTTCTTTTTCCGAAAGATAGAGTACCTTCAGACAGAATTGCAATTATGAAACTTAAATATAGTATAGCCGAGCGGCTATACTATTTATTTATTTATAACAAACAAATAAAATTTATTTTTATTTTTTTTTAAAATGAAACCGCCCATTCTATACTCATTTTTTATAAAAAAATTAGTTTTTTTCCCAGATTTTCCTTTATCGTAGTTTACAAAATTATCCATTACTATTAGGCCATTATCCGACCCTCTATTGTCTCATTTTGATTTTTTACTTGTTACCCGTATAAAGAATTCAGCATTTTCCAGGTTAATACTTGTATTATACACATAAGTATGTATTTTCAATAATACTTTCATTTTTCATACATGTCATAAACTAATGGAAGTAGGCCACAAAATTTCAAAATTGCTAGGGCACCCTTCTTTGCAAACTCTAAAATAAGAAAGCTTTTGTTTTGCTTCCAGCATAACCTCTCTCTATTAATTGTCTTTCCCAAGCAGAACAGTACTTGCAATACACTTATAGTGGGACCTAAGAGGGGCAAAGTAAAGATTTATCAATCTAATGATTTTCGAAATCACATCAATTTCTGGTAAGATACCCTCGTATACGATGTATCCACTTGTTATGGCCGAAAATACACGAAAACCAACCTAGTTTGCAGTGGCACTCTCTAATGGTGAGCTCCATGTCCTTGAGCCTTTGGAAGATGAAGACAAATGGGGTATGTTGCCCGTTGGTTGACAACAAGTTGGAGAGCTGCCAGCCGGTGGAATCCGAGGGCATTGTCCCAGCTTGAAAAAAGCCCTTGGTGTGTGATCTCTATAGTAGAGGCCTAAACATAATAAGATCTCATCTCTAGATAATGTAGGCAATGGTGTTTAGGCATTAGGGGCAGTAAATTATATGAATCTAAAATAAATTCAGGACTTTATTGGAAAATTTGCAGTCATGATTTCTTGTAAGTTTTAACTATTCTTTCCTGCGCAAGGTACATTCTTTCTTATGGAACCGATGTGCCTGGCTGCCAATCAGTGTCATTGACCAATCGCGACTAGTGTAAATTTCGATCGACACCCGTTTCTCACCTAAGCCCTAGGTTCACTCTCGGGTTTTGGAACATGGCCGGAAACTTGAGAATTAAAACTTAAAATCTAAGCTCAATACCTAACATATCAACTCTGTCAAGAATGGAATGCACTTAAAATCTAAGCTCCATTCCCTAAACTCTGTCAAGAATGGAGTGCAACTTTTATTTCGCTTTACCACCACTCACCAAGAGCCACTTTTTTGTATGTATATTGATAGGATTATTACACAACTCTGATGGGTTGAGATTGAGTCCAGATGATCTTGATCACATTTCAATCTTGTCACTTGAGCAAGAACTCACCAATCTCTCTTTGACGAAGAAGAAAAGGGTCGGGACGATTGATCGGGATCACTAGTTATAAGTTTGGGCTCAAGTGGGATTGAATCTCTAAGAAAAATTAAAGATAACCAATACATGATCTGATGTGCAACTAAATATAAGAAATCGGAGGGTATCCATTATTAGTGGCAATCTACAAGCAGGAGGAACCCTATGAGGGTTCACGAAATGCATATTACTTTAGTTAAACATTACAGTCAATTTGATGAAAATTAAATTACTTAATGTCTCAAAGGGAGAATACATCTTCAAGCATCTACCTTTGCCGCTGCAGATGCATAACTTAGGCTGCTGTCCCTCATAGTTTTGCACTGACTCGACTGCTCATATCGGAGAAAATTGATCTTTATGCGTGTTGAACAGTTCTTCAGCATCTGAATGCATTGAAATATGATTGAAAGGGATGAAATAATGATCAAAACCAATATTCTAGATTCAGTTCATTGAAGAATTGGAGTCGAAGTTAGGAGGAATGAAAAAAAAAACATTTTGCAGTCTAGGTAAACTAAGTTTAATTCTTCAAAAAATTTCTACTCCCTCACATTTTTCCTCTCAACCTGATTTGATGTCTTCAATATAGTCGCTAAAACCCTGGCTTGATGTATTTGCAGGTATGCCAGACCCACCAGGCAAAAAGATTCCCAAAAATAAATAAATAAATAAAATTGGCCGCCTAGGCGGTCTAGGCGGGTCCTTTTTTTTTAATATACAAATAGTATAGCCGTTTGGCTATACTCTTGAAATAATATATTTAAATCTTATGGCCGGCCGCCTGCACTCCTTAAATAATATATTTAAAAAGTATATCCTTAAATAATGTAATCAAACCAGTGGACACTACCCAAAGTTTATCGCAAAGCAAGCTTAATCGTTTTCACAAGGAAACTCACACTAAATAGTAATAAGACTGCCAAATAGAGTTATAGATTGACAAAATGGAAAGCATCATCTAAATCTGTTTGAAGAGGACCTAAGAAGCTGCCACTGATACCGACAGCAATGACATCCTTCAGGGCTTTTCCTGTGGCACCAACCCACCAGAATTGCCAATTACTTCACAATTTAGGCAACATGGACCCAAAATGGATACTAAAAAAAATTGTAGTGATTACCCAAAATCCACTTCGAATAATCTCAGAAAACTTTTGGATCTTTTCCAGAACTTCCCAAACATCTGGGACCACGTTTTCCCCATCACTCTGTATAACTGCATCCCTTGGAGCATGAAGAGCTACATGAAGCACTGATCTATTTTCTGCGCTGTTAATCTGAACTGAAGGCACCACCCAGAAAAAGAAAAACAGAATGCAAAAGAATCACATGATCATGGTTTCAGAAATAAGCCCGTCTCCTCTTTACCATAAATCCTATATAAAGCTATCAAATATAAGTTTTTGTGATTTCAGACAGTTAAAAGGTCAGAAATTTGGGCATCCTAATTTTAAATAGGAGACAACAACTAGCTATTGTTCTACTGTTAGTTCTCTCCACTTTGTTGGAAGAGGTCCCAAATTTTAATCCCTTCCCCCATATCAGAAAAAAAAATATATATATATATATATTTTTCAAATAGGAAACACTTCTTGCTAATTGCAGATAAAAAGTGTTCAAATTAGCATTTTAATTCCATATTTATCCACATAATACTCGACCAAAGGAAGATAAACTTGAAACGTACATGCTCTCCACCAAACATTCGGTTAATCTTTTCTTTGAGGGATGCAGCCTGCATTGTGGCATAGACAACATTAATTAGAAAACACTATATTCACCCAATCCCTTCCCCCCACAAGACACTAGTTACGAACGGGCCAACCCCACATCTGCCAATTTCCAAGGTTTCAGTCCGAGTAGTCCAACAGTATCCCATCAAACTCACTATTAAGTGTTAATGTTTGTTTTAGGTGAACCTGGAGATGCTAATTAGGAAGGTTGAATCCCATACTCAAACTCATACAGATCCGACTACGGAGATCTAACAAAACATGTTACCAATGAAATTGAATTAAAATATGGAAAAACAGGTACAACTAGTCAACCAATTGATCTCTCTGTACCCATCCATTTCATGTTTTTCCTCTTCTGCAGCAGCTGTATTATCTTGCATCTCTATGGGAGTTTTTGATTTACTCTTTTTGCCCATCTTATGGATCCAAAAGCTACATTTCACCCCAGATTACATTACTGAGAATTGACAAAAAATAAAAAATTCAAAAGAAGAGATGACTCAACAATTGGAGCACGGAAAGCAGCATACTCCTTTTGGGTTAGTTAACCAGACCAACTCAGTTTGTAACTAAACTAATCAATACAACAAAATAAACATGAAACTGAATATTTAGGTAAGAGAATATTTGTTCATCATCAGCTTCCTATCAACCAAACATAACATAAACCAAAACAGAAAATGGAAAATACTGATTTTCAATTGCAATTTCTCAGCTTCTAGGGTTTGAATTGTTGGGAAGAGCTAACCTTAACGTCGTTGATAAACGTGAGTCGCTAAAACCCTAACTTGATGGTCTTTGCAGAGATGCCAGAACCGCCAGAAAAAAAGAAATCTAAAAATAAAAAATCGGTATTTTCTAAAAATCGGCTGCCTAGGCGGGCTAGGCGGGTCCTTTTTATAAAAAATAAAAAATAAATCGTGTAGCCGAACGGCTATACTCTTTAAATAATATATTTAAACAGTATGGACGAGCGGCTGTACTCCTTAAATAATATATTTAAAGGGTATAGCCGTTCGGCGTGCTCCATAGATAATATAGTTAACGAGTATAGCCGCGCGCCTATACCTTTTTTATTTATTATTTATTTATAAGAGGACCTAAGAAGCTGCCACCGATACCAACAACAATGACATCCTTCAGGGCTATTCATGTGGCACCAACCTACCAGAATCGCCAATTACTTCACAATTCTGGCAATATGGACCCAAAATGGATACTAAAAAAATTGTAGTGATTACCCAAAATCCACTTTGAATAATATCAATAATTTTAGTGATTACCCAAACTCCCAAGGTTCACCCTACTTTATGGAAACCAAGGAGTGGCTTAGAGTTGATGAACAATGACCTTCCCAGCACCAACCTTGAAGAGGCTATGTCCTGCTTTGATTTGTCCAAGAATGATTCACATCTCATATCAGCAACAGGAGGGATGATCTCCATTTTTGACATGACAACATTTAAGGTAAACCCAACACAAATGGTATTCTTGAAATTTTCTTTTCCCAGCCAGAACTTCCCAAATCTTCTTTGTCAATATGCTTAGGTCCTTTTTGCAAATTTCTCATGATCTAACTCATTGTACACATAAAAATCTGTTGCGTAAAAACGCAGACGATGAAGAAAGTCATGCCACCACCACCTGTGGCAACATGTCTTGCTTTTTACCCCCGAGATGACAGTATACTTGCTACTGGCATGGACAATTCCACCATTAATATACATTCTCCACTCAGATGAGGTAGTTTGTTTGTTCTTGTACAAAAAACAAATCATGCTCGATGTTGTGATGAAGCAAACCTGAAAAGTTTTTCATTGCCTTGATTTATATATTTTGCAGGTTACAAGGAAGCTTGAGGGTCACGCCAAAATAGTCACTAGCCTTGCCTTCTCGAACACTCTGAATGTACTAGTTTCTTCTGGTGCGGATGCATATTGGAAACTACAATTACTTGCAGACATGGCTTCTACTCTAATGTGACTTCTGTTATTTAGCGACGTCATTTTGGCCCTGCAGATTTTTGTGTGGGGTGCTGCTGGGAGGGAAAAACAGAGAAGCAAATTGAAAGGGATGAAATAATGATCAAAACCAATATTCTAGATGCAGTTAACTGAAGACCTGGAGTCAAACTTATGAGCAATGAAAAAGAACCATTTTGCAGACTAGGTAAACTAAGTTTAATTCTTCAAAAAATGACCCTCACATTTTTCCTCTCAACCTGATTTGATGTCTCCAATATGTCAATATGAAATAGAAATAACAATCGCTACTCGACGAAGATCTATTTCCATATCAGAAAGCAAAATTTCCTTGAGGCCATTGACAAGTGAGAACATAATTTTTTTTAAAGCTTCTTATAATCTATACATAAACAATCTCTAAAAAAATACCATGTTCTGCATGGTTTTGGGTCATTCTTGACAGCAATTGTCGCGCCAAGGCGTTAGATATCCTCATGAAGGATCTAAAAGTTATCGCCGAAGGTTGTTAGAATTCTCAGTTTGTATATGTATTTTCAGATTAGGAAGAGGTGTATATTCTGGAGATTTTAGCTAGAGAGAATGAAGAGAAATGGGGAAGGCACTGTTCCATTGAATTCTTACAATCTGCAGCTTACATAGCGTGTCTGACAGAGAGAGAAATGTGATTCTCTCATAACAGAATTACAGCTGTCACCCTATTAGGTGCTTACACGTGTCATACCAAATCTAAGCTAGAGAATCCACCTAGACTATGATCTAATGGTTCTCATTACATCATTTAAAATAGACTTAACAGAAAATAGAAAATGACTTCAGCTCTAAGAAATCTGTAGAAGGATTATATTTCAACACTCCCTTCTAATCCTTTAGCTGATTTTCACTCCAAGCAAGCTTCTCAACCTCACAAAACCGATCCTTAGGCAGAGCCTTAGTCAAAATGTCTGCTATCTGATCTTCTGTCTTGCAGTACACCAGTTCAATTTTTTTGCTTGAATGGCTTCCCTTATAAAATGAAATTTCCTGCTGATGTGTCTTGTCTTTTGGTGATGAAACTGGATTCCTTGCCATTGCAATTGCAGAGGTGTTGTCACATAGAATTGGAGTCCCTTCTACCTGTTCTTCACCAAAATCTTCAAGCACAAATCTGAGCCACTTAGCTTGTGAAGTTGCTTCTGCAGCACTCACATATTCAGCTTCGGCTGTAGATAAAGCAACTGTGTTTTGCTTGATGGAAGCCCAAGAGAACATGCCTGAGCCTAGTGTGAAGGCATATCCTGAGGTGCTCCTCATATCATCCTCACTCCCAGCCCCAGTCACTGTCACAATACCCAATTAGAGTAGCTGTTTTCCCCTTTGCAAACTCAATTCCAAATCTAATGTGCCTTGTATGTATCTCAGCACCCGTTTAGCAGTTCCCATGTGTTTCTTTGAGGGATTGTGCATAAACCTAGCAAGCAAGCTAGATGCAAACATGACATCTGGTCTTGTGGCAGTCAGATAAAGCAGACTCCCTACAATCTGTCTGAATTCATTTTCATCTGCTGCTTCACTTCCATCTTCTCTACACAATTTCTCATTCACCACTAATGGAATTGCCACTGACTTGCAGTCTCTCATTCCAAACTTCTCAAGAATTTTCATGGCATATTTTTTTGATGAATGAAAATATGCTTATCAGTTTGTTCCACTCCCATGCCAAGAAAATGGTGCAACAGACCCAAGTCTGTCATCTCATAGTGTTGCATCATATCTTGTTTAACTCTTCAAGCATTTTAGGACAGCTTCCAGTATATATAATGTCATCTACATAGAGTGAGACAATGATAATACCTGAGGTGTCACTTGTTTTGATATAGAGAGTAGCTTCACTTAAGCTCTTCTTAAAAACCTGCAGTGTTGAAATAGGCATCTATTTCATCATACCAGGCCCTTGGGGCTTGTTTCAGTCCATATAGAGCCTTGTTCAACCTGTACACCTTGGTTTCCTTGCTCTCTTGAACATATCCTTGAGGTTGTTCAACATAAACTTCCTCCTTTAGAATGCCATTGAGAAAGGCAGACTTCACATCCAGTTGAAATAGGTTCCATTCCTTTTGTGCTGCAAGGGGCTATCAAGGTTTGATGGTGTCAAGTCTTGCCACAGGGGCAAATGTCTCATTATAGTCGATTCCAGGCTTCTGTGAATAGCCTTTAGCCACAAGCCTAGCTTTATTCTTCTGCACAGTACCATCTAGGTTCAGTTTGACCTTGTAGATCCACTTAACACCAATTACTGGTTTGTCAAATGGCCTGTCAACTAATTTCCATGTATTGTTCTTCTTAATCATCTCGATTTAGCCTCCATTGCACTTCTCCATGATTCATCCAAATCTGCTTCTTCAAAGCTGTCAGGTTCTACAATGCACATGTTGCATTGTGTCATGATGTCATTAATACTCCTCCACTTGTGAGGTGTGTGATCAAACCTTTGAGTCTCATCAAGCATTTTCTTCCCCTTGAGGTGCAATTTCTTCTTCCATCTGCATTTGAGTATCCAAAAAACTGAGGTTGTTCATCTAATACCCTCTGTTCAGTTTCTGCAGTACCTTGATTTCCATCTGGCATAGGCACTCTCACATCTGCATTGCTAGGATTCTCCCATTTCCATGAGGCTTCTTCATCAAAATAGACATCCCTAGACAAGATAATCTTTCTAGTCTTAGGATCATACAGTCTATAGCCTTTTTCACACAATCCATAGCCCACAAAGATGCATTTGTGACTGTTTTCTTCCAACTTGTGTCTCAAAACAGAAGGAATAAGCACATGACATAGGCATCCAAACACTTTCAAGTGTGCAATACCTGGCTTTCTTCCTGTGAAGGCCTCAAATGGTGTCATTTTCTTAAGAGACTTAGAAGGACACCTGTTGAGAAGATAGACTGCTGTATGAACAGCTTCTGCCCAAAACTCATATGGAAGTCTTTTTTCATGTAGCATAGACTTTGCCATCTCAATTACAGTCCTGTTCTTCCTCTCAACAACTCCATTTTGTTGAGGGGAATAAGCTACAGTCAGCTGCCTTTGTATTCCAGCCTCACTGCAGTATGCAAGAAATTCATTTGACATGAATTCTCCACCTCTGTCACTTCTAAGTGATTTTCACCTTGTGTCCACTCTGCAATTCTGTCATTGCTTTGAACTTCTTGAAACATTCAAAAGTATTAGATTTATTTCTGAGAAAATAAACCCAAGCCATTCTTGTATAGTCATCAATGAATAACAGGAAATATCTGTTTTCTGACATTGATGCAATCTGCATAGGACCACAGATGTCAGTGTGGACTAATTCAAGTGGAAACTGAGCTCTCCAAGTAGATTCTGCAGGAAATGAGTCTCTATGCTGCTTTCCCAGCTTGCAGCCTTCACAAACTGCAAAATCCTTCTCCAGACTAGGCAGTCCATGAACCATGTCTTGATTTGCCAGCATCCTGATGCTTTGATCATTAGATGGCCCAGCCTTTTATGCCAAGTCTGCAAAACTGTGAGTCACACTTGCTCTCAGCACCAACTGAGTAGCAGGTACCATTGTGAGAGAGAAACACCTATTGATAGTCATTGGAACCTTAGCTATAGGATTTTGCAGTGACCAATCATCAAAATTGTCACCATTCCCTTTCCAAATACTAAACAATACCCATGTTCCATCATCTGACCAACACTGAGCAAGTTCTCTTCTAAACCAGGCACCAACATCACTTCTTGAATGTGTTTTCTGCCTGTCTTGGTTTCTATCACAAGTGTGCCTTTTCCTGCAACTTGAACTGTCTCTCCAGTCCCCATTTTCACCTTGGAAGTTACATCCCTTCGAATATCTATCAATAGCCTTTCATCTCCAGTCATGTGGTTACTACAACCACTGTCCACATACCAAGAATTGTTCAATTTCACACCTGTCACGGCATTGCATGCATAAAACAATGTTCCAGTTACTTCAACCTGATTGGCATAATTCACCTTCTGCACAGGTTGATTTTCATGGCAATTTCTAACCATGTGACCAAACTTTCCACATCCTCTGCATTTTGGTTTTCCTTCAAACCAGCACTTGCCATAGTGCAGTTTTTCACAGTGCTTGCAAGGTGTTTTAGTTCCATCATTTGATGCATTTGGTTTGGGATTAGAATTGGACTTGTTATTCCAATTCTTCCCATTTTCCCTTCCAGTTCCTCTGAGACTTGTTGTTACCTCCAGAAGAACTTCCATTCTTAGAGCTTTTACTCTCTATGTTCAGGCTAGTAAAAGCCTTTTCTGTGGAATTTTCAGTGTGCCTATCCAACCTGAGTTCAAAGTTCTTGAGAGACGCAACCACTTCTTGAATTTCAAGAGTGTCAAGATCCTTTGAATGCTCAATCACAGAACATATAGAGTCATAAGATCTAGGCAAGCTAATAAGCAATTTCTGCACAACTCTTTCTTTAGTTAACTCTTCACCATAACTTTTCATTTGATTAATTAGATCAAACAGTTTAGCAACATAACTAGAGAATGACTCACTATCCTTCATACGAGTGTATTCAAACTCTCTACGTAAGCCTTGTAGCTTCACACTTCGTACCTGTTTATCGCCTCTAAACTCCTGCTTCAGAATATCCCATGCACCTTTTGAGGTTTCTTCATTCACTATTCTGGGAAAAATTTGGTCTGAGACTGCACCTTGGATCAGTCCAAGTGCACGAGCATCTTTCATCAAAATCTCAGCCGATGTAGACTTCTCTTCTTCAGCAGCTTTAGATCCTTCTTCCTTTCCTTTTTTTTCTTTGGATCTGAAGCATCAAAACCATTTTCAACCAAATCCCACAGTCCATGAGATTTCAGAATGGTCTTCATTCGAATGCTCCAAAACTCATAGTTTTCTCCATTGAAAACTGGTGTACGAAGCTCAGAAGAGCTTGATCCTGCCATGTTAGACATCAGACGCAGCTAGAAAAGCTTCGTGAAATTTTGAGTGAGCTCAACGTCAGCTCAGCCAAACACCAGCTCGATTCTCACAGATTCACGCCCAACAAACAATCGAACCAGGCTCTGAGGCCATGTTAGAATTCTCAGTTTTGTATATGTATTTTCAGATTAGGAAGAGGTGTATATTCTGGAGATTTTAGCTAGAGAGAATGAAGAGAAAATGGGGAAGGCACTGTTCCATTGAATTCTTACAATCTGCAGCTTACATAGCGTGTCTGACAGAGAGAGAAATGTGATTCTCTCATAACAGAATTACAGCTGTCACCCTATTAGGTGCTTACACGTGTCATACCAAATCTAAGCTAGAGAATCCACCTAGACTATGATCTAATGGTTCTCATTACATCATTTAAAATAGACTTAACAGAAAATAGAAAATGACTTCAGCTCTAAGAAATCTGTAGAAGGATTATATTTCAACACTCCCTTCTAATCCGTTAGCTGATTTCACTCCAAGCAAGCTTCTCAACCTCACAAACCGATCCTTAGGCAGAGCCTTAGTCAAAATGTCTGCTATCTGATCTTCTGTCTTGCAGTACACCAGTTCAATTTCTTTTGCTTGAATGGCTTCCCTTATAAAATGAAATTTCCTGCTGATGTGTCTTGTCTTTTGGTGATGAACTGGATTCCTTGCCATTGCAATTGCAGAGGTGTTGTCACATAGAATTGGAGTCCCTTCTACCTGTTCTTCACCAAAATCTTCAAGCACAAATCTGAGCCACTTAGCTTGTGAAGTTGCTTCTGCAGCACTCACATATTCAGCTTCGGCTGTAGATAAAGCAACTGTGTTTTGCTTGATGGAAGCCCAAGAGAACATGCCTGAGCCTAGTGTGAAGGCATATCCTGAGGTGCTCCTCATATCATCCTCACTCCCAGCCCAGTCACTGTCACAATACCCAATTAGAGTAGCTGTTTTCCCCTTTGCAAACTCAATTCCAAAATCTAATGTGCCTTGTATGTATCTCAGCACCCGTTTAGCAGTTCCCATGTGTTTCTTTGAGGGATTGTGCATAAACCTAGCAAGCAAGCTAGATGCAAACATGACATCTGGTCTTGTGGCAGTCAGATAAAGCAGACTCCCTACAATCTGTCTGAATTCATTTCATCTGCTGCTTCACTTCCATCTTCTCTACACAATTTCTCATTCACCACTAATGGAATTGCCACTGACTTGCAGTCTCTCATTCCAAACTTCTCAAGAATTTTCATGGCATATTTCTTTTGATGAATGAAAATATGCTTATCAGTTTGTTCCACTCCCATGCCAAGAAAATGGTGCAACAGACCCAAGTCTGTCATCTCATAGTGTTGCATCATATCTTGTTTAAACTCTTCAAGCATTTTAGGACAGCTTCCAGTATATATAATGTCATCTACATAGAGTGAGACAATGATAATACCTGAGGTGTCACTTGTTTTGATATAGAGAGTAGCTTCACTTAAGCTCTTCTTAAAACCTGCAGTGTTGAAATAGGCATCTATTTCATCATACCAGGCCCTTGGGGCTTGTTTCAGTCCATATAGAGCCTTGTTCAACCTGTACACCTTGGTTTCCTTGCTCTCTTGAACATATCCTTGAGGTTGTTCAACATAAACTTCCTCCTTTAGAATGCCATTGAGAAAGGCAGACTTCACATCCAGTTGAAATAGGTTCCATTCCTTTTGTGCTGCAAGGGCTATCAAGGTTCTGATGGTGTCAAGTCTTGCCACAGGGGCAAATGTCTCATTATAGTCGATTCCAGGCTTCTGTGAATAGCCTTTAGCCACAAGCCTAGCTTTATTCTTCTGCACAGTACCATCTAGGTTCAGTTTGACCTTGTAGATCCACTTAACACCAATTACTGGTTTGTCAAATGGCCTGTCAACTAATTTCCATGTATTGTTCTTCTTAATCATCTCGAATTCAGCCTCCATTGCACTTCTCCATGATTCATCCAAATCTGCTTCTTCAAAGCTGTCAGGTTCTACAATGCACATGTTGCATTGTGTCATGATGTCATTAATACTCCTCCACTTGTGAGGTGTGTGATCAAACCTTTGAGTCTCATCAAGCATTTCTTCCCCTTGAGGTGCAATTTCTTCTTCCATCTGCATTTGAGTATCCAAAAACTGAGGTTGTTCATCTAATACCCTCTGTTCAGTTTCTGCAGTACCTTGATTTCCATCTGGCATAGGCACTCTCACATCTGCATTGCTAGGATTCTCCCATTTCCATGAGGCTTCTTCATCAAAATAGACATCCCTAGACAAGATAATCTTTCTAGTCTTAGGATCATACAGTCTATAGCCTTTTTCACACAATCCATAGCCCACAAAGATGCATTTGTGACTGTTTTCTTCCAACTTGTGTCTCAAAACAGAAGGAATAAGCACATGACATAGGCATCCAAACACTTTCAAGTGTGCAATACCTGGCTTTCTTCCTGTGAAGGCCTCAAATGGTGTCATTTTCTTAAGAGACTTAGAAGGGACACCTGTTGAGAAGATAGACTGCTGTATGAACAGCTTCTGCCCAAAACTCATATGGGAAGTCTTTTTTCATGTAGCATAGACTTTGCCATCTCAATTACAGTCCTGTTCTTCCTCTCAACAACTCCATTTTGTTGAGGGGAATAAGCTACAGTCAGCTGCCTTTGTATTCCCAGCCTCACTGCAGTATGCAAGAAATTCATTTGACATGAATTCTCCACCTCTGTCACTTCTAAGTGATTTCACCTTGTGTCCACTCTGCAATTCTGTCATTGCTTTGAACTTCTTGAAACATTCAAAAGTATTAGATTTATTTCTGAGAAAATAAACCCAAGCCATTCTTGTATAGTCATCAATGAATAACAGGAAATATCTGTTTTCTGACATTGATGCAATCTGCATAGGACCACAGATGTCAGTGTGGACTAATTCAAGTGGAAACTGAGCTCTCCAAGTAGATTCTGCAGGAAATGAGTCTCTATGCTGCTTTCCCAGCTTGCAGCCTTCACAAACTGCAAAATCCTTCTCCAGACTAGGCAGTCCATGAACCATGTCTTGATTTGCCAGCATCCTGATGCCTTGATCATTAAGATGGCCCAGCCTTTTATGCCAAGTCTGCAAACTGTGAGTCACACTTGCTCTCAGCACCAACTGAGTAGCAGGTACCATTGTGAGAGAGAAACACCTATTGATAGTCATTGGAACCTTAGCTATAGGATTTTGCAGTGACCAATCATCAAAAATTGTCACCATTCCCTTTCCAAATACTAAACAATACCCATGTTCCATCATCTGACCAACACTGAGCAAGTTCTCTTCTAAACCAGGCACCAACATCACTTCTTGAATGTGTTTTCTGCCTGTCTTGGTTTCTATCACAAGTGTGCCTTTTCCTGCAACTTGAACTGTCTCTCCAGTCCCCATTTTCACCTTGGAAGTTACATCCCTTCGAATATCTATCAATAGCCTTTCATCTCCAGTCATGTGGTTACTACAACCACTGTCCACATACCAAGAATTGTTCAATTTCACACCTGTCACGGCATTGCATGCATAAAACAATGTTCCAGTTACTTCAACCTGATTGGCATAATTCACCTTCTGCACAGTTGATTTTCATGGCAATTTCTAACCATGTGACCAAACTTTCCACATCCTCTGCATTTTGGTTTTCCTTCAAACCAGCACTTGCCATAGTGCAGTTTTTCACAGTGCTTGCAAGGTGTTTTAGTTCCATCATTTGATGCATTTGGTTTGGGATTAGAATTGGACTTGTTATTCCAATTCTTCCCATTTTCCTTCCAGTTCCTTTGAGACTTGTTACCTCCAGAAGAACTTCCATTCTTAGAGCTTTTACTCTCTATGTTCAGGCTAGTAAAAGCCTTTTCTGTGGAATTTTCAGTGTGCCTATCCAACCTGAGTTCAAAGTTCTTGAGAGACGCAACCACTTCTTGAATTTCAAGAGTGTCAAGATCCTTTGAATGCTCAATCACAGAACATATAGAGTCATAAGATCTAGGCAAGCTAATAAGCAATTTCTGCACAACTCTTTCTCTAGGTAACTCTTCACCATAACTTTTCATTTGATTAATTAGATCAAACAGTTTAGCAACATAACTAGAGAATGACTCACTATCCTTCATACGAGTGTATTCAAACTCTCTACGTAAGCCTTGTAGCTTCACACTTCGTACCTGTTTATCGCCTCTAAACTCCTGCTTCAGAATATCCCATGCACCTTTTGAGGTTTCTTCATTCACTATTCTGGGAAAAATTTGGTCTGAGACTGCACCTTGGATCAGTCCAAGTGCACGAGCATCTTTCATCAAAATCTCAGCCGATGTAGACTTCTCTTCTTCAGCAGCTTTAGATCCTTCTTCCTTTCCTTTTTTTTCTTTGGATCTGAAGCATCAAAACCATTTTCAACCAAATCCCACAGTCCATGAGATTTCAGAATGGTCTTCATTCGAATGCTCCAAAACTCATAGTTTTCTCCATTGAAAACTGGTGTACGAAGCTCAGAAGAGCTTGATCCTGCCATGTTAGACATCAGACGCAGCTAGAAAAGCTTCGTGAAATTTTGAGTGAGCTCAACGTCAGCTCAGCCAAACACCAGCTCGATTCTCACAGATTCACGCCCAACAAACAATCGAACCTGGCTCTGAGGCCATGTTAGAATTCTCAGTTTGTATATGTATTTTCAGATTAGGAAGAGGTGTATATTCTGGAGATTTTAGCTAGAGAGAATGAAGAGAAAATGGGAAGGCACTGTTCCATTGAATTCTTACAATCTGCAGCTTACATAGCGTGTCTGACAGAGAGAGAAATGTGATTCTCTCATAACAGAATTACAGCTGTCACCCTATTAGGTGCTTACACGTGTCATACCAAATCTAAGCTAGAGAATCCACCTAGACTATGATCTAATGGTTCTCATTACATTATTTAAAATAGACATAACAGAAAATAGAAAATGACATCAGCTCTAAGAAATCTGTAGAAGGATTATATTTCAATTTTTTTTTTTTTTTTTTTTTTTTTTTTTTTTTTTTTTTTTTTTTTTTTTTTTTTTTTTTTTTTTTTTTTTTTTTTTTTTTTTTTTTTTTTTTTTTTTTTTTTTTTTTTTTTTTTTTTTTTTTTTTTTTTTTTTTTTTTTTTTTTTTTTTTTTTTTTTTTTTTTTTTTTTTTTTTTTTTTTTTTTTTTTTTTTTTTTTTTTTTTTTTTTTTTTTTTTTTTTTTTTTTTTTTTTTTTTTTTTTTTTTTTTTTTTTTTTTTTTTTTTTTTTTTTTTTTTTTTTTTTTTTTTTTTTTTTTTTTTTTTTTTTTTTTTTTTTTTTTTTTTTTTTTTTTTTTTTTTTTTTTTTTTTTTTTTTTTTTTTTTTTTTTTTTTTTTTTTTTTTTTTTTTTTATTTGAGGAAAATAAAACACCAATCTCCGTAATAGGGAGCCCCACGCCTTCCAACTACCTCTATATATGATTAACCCACAAACTATTTTCAAACACTTTTGGGTAATAAACAAATACAAATGTAAAAAAAAAAATATCATTGATTGGGGTTAAGCGTAGTTCACTTACTTGGTACGTGATGGTCTTCTTGAGGTTGAAAAGCCGAGTGTGGGACTGCCAACACGGTTGTCTCTCCATTGAATCCTAAGCACAATGGTGTAGTCTTGCGGAAGGTCAAGCCCACTGCACAAACAAACCAAAACAAACCAAAACGAAGATTTACTCTTAATTACCATATATCAAGTGAAACAAAAGGCAAGAGGGGGTGAGATGAAGTTCACGTACAACCTGAGTATACGAAGTTCTTTTCCCTTCTATTCTTATTAATTTTTGATGGCTGAGAAGGCCCCATTTGTTCTCCCAAACAAGAATCAGATTGATCTTCTCCCCAAGAGAGCTTCAGATATTCGATGGAAAATCAGGAGTGAGGATTGTAATTTGTAAAATCAGGGCAATTACATTTTTAAAGAAAAAGAAAATTGAATTGACAAACCATATATGGCGTACAAATTTATGGTGTCTTGTTGTTTTGCTGGGGCGGTTTTTGAGCCTTTAAAATTGCATGAAATGTGTATTAAAAGCAATGAAAATAGGCAGGGAAACATATCAATACCCAATTGCCAAAATACTGGGTTTACCAACATGTTCAAATATTGGAATCATCTACAACCCTATCATTACAACAACAAAGTTAACACCAACCAATTGAGCAATTGATGCCATTAGTAATTCCTATGCTCTATTCACAAAAACTTTAAAACAATTAATTAAATTTCAGCCTATATAAACTCACCCCTTACGTAACAGAATGAAAACACCAACCCCAAACCGCTCTATCCAAAGCACGAAAAGACCACCTGCAAAATATCAAAGAAAAACCATGGTTTTAAAAAAAAAAATAAAAAAAGAAAAAAAGGAAGAAAAAAACTGAAAATCGGAAGAAAAGAGAAAGAAAGAATTAGCTTGTGTATTCATGCATGCACAATCTTTCATTTTAAACCAAAATAATTAGCTTGAGCAAAAATATATAGGAAAGAAACAACGGGGGGAAAATGTATGGTAATGAGTCCTTACCTCTCCAGCATTTAAACATAAATCTTTGCTTGAAAGGAATAAGCAATGCACCACTGAAGGAGATATATGCTGATCCATTCAGTCCTTTAGGCAACTGCAAAGAGTAGAAGCATGGCAAATATTAGCCCATGAAAGGAAAAAAAAAATAGAACCAAACTCTGCATTGAAATTAGGATCTACAAACTTTGTAGTTTTCATAAAGTCTCCATTCAACGCAAAAATCGGTTGGAAATCAAACCCACAAACAAAAAATTATTAATTTTAACTTTTCTGAATTCTTTCTCGTCATCACTAATGCCACAACTAACAGAATTCCATTTAGAGAGTCGCATTTCCCAAACCCGTCTTCTGTCAAGGTCAACTTCTACTGCTAAAACATTCAATCAGTCCTAGATCACAATTCCAAAAGTGTCTTTCCCCTACCAAACCAAAAAATTATCAAATTTAAAGCCCGAGTCCCATAACCCAGATTAAGAACAATTTGAAATTGAAACCCGTAGTAAAAGAACGAACATATCTTAAACAGAGCTACTCAGAATAGCAGCATATCTGCTACCAAAACGAGCCTATCCTAAACCCTTGTAACAAAAGAAACAGCATATCCTCTAAATACCGAATTTTAAGGGTTACCAACCATCTTTAATAACAAACAGAAAAACCTTACCAACAAGCAATCATATAGATTTTAATAATTAAATTGTTCACCTGATTTCATCAAATTCTATAAACCCACTCCCACAACATTTCAGTAGTTGGATAATTTTTTTTTATGCCAATTAAGCACATCATTCAAAATATTGAGGAATCGCTTAACCATTTGCGCATTTGCTTAAGTGGATTGACGTTTTTTATGTGATCCACAATCACCATTACCACACATTAGATTCCGAAGAAATTGTCTTCTTGGTTGATCACCTCTTGTATTAAAAATCAATTCCTTGTTGGGCAGCCCAAAAAGTTTTTTTAAAAAAAAAAATAAAATATGTCAAATCTCAAAAACCAATCCCAATCAAAGCAAATGATCACCATTCAAATTCACAGCACAATCAAAGGCTGCGATAGCTCGAGAGACCTCGTTTTACTGATATTCCAAAACGAAAAACAAAGAAAATAATTCTGCAACAAACAACAATCCCAAAGACAATGAAAAAAACAAATAATAACTATATAACAATAACATTTTTCTTTTTTGTCTGTAAATAAAAAATGGAGAATTTCAAAAAACTCATCACAAAGTCCTCATTCACACTCGATCCTTAATTAATCAGAAAATGTACTACTATGGTATGAAAGTTAAAAAAAAAAAAAACAGAAGAAGGAAAAAAAAACCGAGTAAATCTCATAAAAGTGCAGATCAATTGAAGATTAGAAAGTGATTCTTTGTTCTAACCTTTGGGTAAGCATACTATGGATTAAAAGGTTTTCAGTTTTGTTGTTCGCAGTAATTAAAATAAAGTGATTTTTGGTTCTAAGTATTGTTATTACTCTACCTATCAGCAGCACAACACACATTAACAAAAAACATTACATCAGGAACAGCATTACAAATGTCGACACTTGGCTGCTTACATTCCCACACACAATTATGAACTACAAACAGATCATCACAGCAATAGAAGCAATTGGGAAGCAAGGAAGCAAAGGAGACAACAACAGCTCAAAAACCCACGACAAGCCCTTACTTCTTAAAAGTATAACTTGACACGAACAAATACAAAATGGGTACAAATTATTAATTAGAAAATTAAAGTATAACGGGATAGAGAAACAAACCTCATTAATGGCAACACTTACCACAATATTAATCTAATGCAAAGTCACGCGATGAGATTTGGGATCACAAAAGCTGAGCTGAACGATTATGCTAAGCTTCATTCCGTAAATCTTAGGGAGCTCATCAAATGCCGTAGGGAGCTTCCTACAAACAACCTGGTACTGGTGGAAATGCAACACAAAAGACACCTTACTTTGCAGCTCAAACATGTAAAATGCAATTTCATATCTATTCATAAACTTCTAATCTAAACCAAATGGACTTGAAGTTTTCGGCCCAACTGAATCACACTGTTTTTTTTTTCAAATCACTAAAAAAAAGATCCTATACTCGTCCTGTCATACTTTAATTGACAGTTTCGTACAATATAAAACTTCCAAAAAGAATTTGCAATGTTAGCAAAGTCAGCAGATGATTTTATTCTACAGAACATAAATAAACAATTGATACAAAAGCATTCTAGATCTGTCCGCAGCTAGAAACAATAAAGACGTACACCAAAGCAAAAAGCATATGCTAGAAACAATGGAAAATGCATTATATATTTGAACAAAGCAACTGACCCTAAGGAGGTTTTCTAGACAATCTAGACCTCCCCTAGGTTACTGCTCAGGGATTTACAAAACATTCCACAATGTTGGTCAATGCTGAGACTTTGCAAGTCATTAATGAACAGAATGGGACCCTCTCAAATTATTTAAACCATAGGCGAGCCAGTTTTACTGTCTGATAGGCTAAGCCTTTACTCTAACAACGGTCCCAAATGACCTCACCATGTTGTGTGCTGTTGTTATACCCAGGTATGTTTTGCATTTAGTATTTTCATCAAACCAATGTATTTTTTTCTCTCTTTAATCAATCTAAATGGTCTGTGACTACAATTTTCTTTTAAAGAGATAAAAATCATCCATCTCATACATAACTTAAGTCAATTTATAAATAAAACTTTCCCTCTGTCAGATTAGCTTCCTTTTGTTTATCTTAAATTACACTATCTGTTTGTTCTTGAAGAAAAACCCTTTCAAACGATCAACTTGTCCACTATAAACCTAAAGAAAATTAAACCCATTTCATATGGTGCCGTTCGCTAATTCCTATGCTCTATTAACAGAAAGTCAAATTCAAGCAAGCAAATTGAACACTTTGCTAAAGCAAAACAGCAATTAACCAACATTAAGAAAAGAAAAGAAAAACAAATCCCAACTGACAAAGAGCCAGCCAAAAAAAAAATCTCCCAACAATCCCAACTGAATCTAAAATATGGTTCTGGTTGTATCAACAACTCCAACCAGATAATAAAGGTAGTTTTCAAACTTAGAAAGAGAGAAGAATTAAAATTCAGAAATCAAACACCCAAATTGAGAAACCCTAACAAACCATGATTTGACGGGAAATTTAAAACCCAACCCACTGAGAACTATGCAGGCAAAAAATTACAGAAACTTGTGCCAGATTGAGGGATAGACGGAGGGTAAGAAATAACCCTAATCCTAAATGATTTGACGGGAAATTTAAAACCCAACCCACTGAGAACTATGCAGGCTTACCTTGTCCGAGAATTAGAGAAAACGACTATGATCTCTGAGGCCTCTCTCTTTCGCACTTCTCTTCGGTGAACGCGGCTTTCTTTCTGGTTTGAGAAGCGAACGCGGGTTTGCGAGCTGAACGGGCTTTAGTTTTGAAAAGAACCGAACTGAGAAAGAGGGCTATGTAGCTGTTCGTCAGGGTAAAAATGCCATTAACTGTTCGTTACTGAACATAACTAAGAGAGCAACAGTCAAACAGGGGCACAAACGTCATTTTACTCTTCCTAAGCTACAGTCTATGACTCGGATCAGTTTTAGTATATATAATTTCTTTTAATTTTTTATTTTATTGAAAGTAAAGTTAACAGTGTTAATATTGGGGTTAAGTGGGTGGCCACATGTCAACAAATTATACAAGAGACATTAAAAATAGAGACAGCAGATCCCCTCCCACACGAAGGATCCAATCCTATTTGGACAAAAACTTGGCTTCTTTGATTTTTTGAGAAGCCCCAGTTAGGCCAAGTTTGGGGTTTGCCGCTTTAAAAAAAAGCTGCTTCTGTTGTGCTAATCAGTTGTAAAGTAAAGCAGTTAAACGTTTAATAAACTGTAATTTTAAAAGTGTTGTGAGTATGAAAACCAGTGTTAGAGCGTTTGGTAAATTTTACCGTAAAAGTGCTGTAACTATTTATAATGACTAAAATGGACATGATGCTGAAAGTGCTTTTTACTAGTTAGTGACCCTAGCACAGGTTTTGGTATGGCATGAACACCGTTCATGCTTGAAACCATGGATTTGATTTGGCCAGGAAGTTTTTGTGTGGAAAAATTTCCAACACAAGAATCAGATATACATAATAAGCACAACTAGTAGAAAAAACAAAAAACAAAAGCAGCACGTATATAAAAATTTCGAGAGATTGAAGAAAAAATATATCCCAAAAAATTATAATCAATAACTTTGGAGAGATTGATAATCTACCTTGTGAAAGAGATTGAGAGAGATTGAGCCTTGGGAGGTTACGTGAAAATGAACTTTGGTGTCTGCAGATTTAAGAGAAATACGTGAGAATAATTATCTAACCTAGTAAGGGTATTTGTGGAATTGCAAAATTTTCATTAAAGGAGCACGCTGCTTCAATTGAAAGCATTGCTTTTAAAGTAAGTATTTTTTTTTTTTTTTTTTTTTTTTTTTTTTAAACACCATAAACTGCTTAACTTTAAAGTTAAGCAGGTTTTTAGTCAAAAGAAGCAATCTCAAACGGGGCCTTAATTTCACTTCGAAGAGGGCTTGTATTCCTCTGCTGGGAGCCCAAGATAAAAAGTTTCATGATATATGCCCATTAAAATATTGGCTATCAAGTGCAAGCTCGAGACCCATGACCCAATCCAATGGTGGTCTCATGTCAAAGTGGATACACAATGTGCTCATCTCATATCTCAAGACTCAACATTCTCAAATATAATAGGCTCATTCCGTTGCAAATCTCAAATACAATGGACTTGTCCATTAAAAATCCAATTAGTGAACATTTGGTTGAAATTTTCAAATTCACAAATTATAAATTAATGAGCTCAAATCCAAATTGCCTTCAATTCTCAATCATCAAACTAAAGCCCAAGTGGTACAAAATTACACAAATTAAATCATTGCAATTTGGAACTACATTAATTCGATCATGCAATCTAGCATCCCACTACGTTAGTTTGATTATGTTAAGGATACATAAGCATTGGAAGATTTTCATGGGCATTGAGCTCGGTTCTGTTCGTTCTTCATCTCCGAGCTTCTCTTTTTGATTTTTGAAGATTTTCTACTACGATTTCTTCATTGTGGTTGGAAAAATAACAACCAAATGTTATTCAACCAGTACAGTTTGACCAGTTCTAATTTGGGCCTTCTTCATACAAAAATCTGGTTTAATAGGTGGAGATGCGCGGGCAACCTCAGCTGTGTTGAGGTTCAAAACACCAAAATTTTCTGTTTCTACAAACAACACAACTCATTGACTGATAAACACAGAAAGTGCCAACCCAAAATGTACAAGTAAATAACGCATGCGGGCCATTCGATTATTGAAGTCGGCCGCGCAAAACATGAATTCTTGACTTGCTGCTTAACAATAATAACCAATGTTAACACAAGTGTCATCTAAACAATAGATATATCCTAAATTATCAATATTCTCTTTGTGGTTTTTATTAAATTCCTATATTTCTTTGGGCACTTTTGTGTCTCTGTGATTCTTATTCTTCATTGTCAAGTACACATTTGATGTATGATTATCTTGGTAGTGGCCTATTGTTTCTTCGTTTAGCGTACGTTTTGAACTATTTGAGAATTTTAACTATGTTTATATGAAGATGTTGATACATCCTTACAATCATGTGACATATCAATAATAGGCTTTAATTCTCTGAAATTGATTCAATGGCAGCGAAGGAAGATTGATGTAACAATTAGCAGGGAGTTGCTCTATGCAATGAAGTGCTTCCACTACTTCAACAACAAAATAAAGGAGGTGATAATTGTAGGTATTTTTAATGGCGAATTCATATGGTTAATTTTACTTTAAAATACAGACTGTGTAGCAAATGGAGATGCTAGTACGTTGAAAATAAAAATACACACGAATAGAGAGCATGGTTAGAGGTGAGTTTTTTCAATTCCTTTAGAATAAGAGAGAAGCAAAAGGAGATTTCACATAAAAAATGATCCACACAATCTTTATTTTATTATTGAGAAATAAACTTGTATTTAAATCAGTAAAAAATTTATACATCACATAAAAGAGGAATTAAGCCATGAAATCTTGCAGTGATCAACATGCATGGATCTGCTTAGGTAATGATTGATCAGATCTTTCTAATCCTTGAGCTGAGAAGACCCTGCAACTCTGGAGTTATATTAAGGGCTATCTGTAGCATCTCTGGTGATAATGCCCCCAATGCTGATGTCTTGCCAGCTAAGTCTTCTAGCACAGGTCTGCAAAAATCATGACAAATTATTATTCCTAAATAAAACAAAAACAAATAACAATTATATTGTCTTGCAAAAATGAAGTATTTTTATATGATCATCTTCTGCTTACTGGGAACTTGTGATGACAGAGAAACACTCCAATCCATTTTTCCCTGCAAGTTTAGCCACCATGAAGAAGCTTGGAACCACAAACAAATCACCAGCTTTGACTTGTGTGTCCAAGGCCAGTTTACCATCAAGACCCACAATTTGAATCTGCCCACTCCCTCCAGCAACATAAACTACTTGAACTGTAGCATCAGCTGTGTAAATTGGGGAGCTAATTGCATTGGCTTCAAGCTTTATGAGGCTTGCACTTAAACCAGCCTCTTTGAGAAATGGAAACTCCTTCTCAGTCAATGTTGTTGCACTGGTGATCCTGTGGACTAGTTTGTGGGTGGAGTTTTCACTGGGCTTGGGCATTTTGGTCTTTTCATCTTCACCCAGCTTGATGATCAAAACCCCAGTCTGGCTTTTGGTGATTTTGTCTGCTTCACCTTTGGTAATGTTGTAGGCCTTGCTCACAAACTCAGTTGAGAAGCCTCCAAGCAAACTTTGGGTTCCAGCTAGAAGGAAATAGGTGAATTGACCAGGAATGTATGCTCTGGTAGTTTCACCCAAGAAGACAACAACAAGTTCCTCAGAGTTTGAGCCTCCATTGTTGAACCACCATGAGACTAATCCAAGGGGTATTGGTATCACATCCCCTTTCTTGAGCTTAATCACCACCTCCTCTGATGTGTTAGGGAATACCATTCCAACTAATCCATCATCACCTGCATCAATATGTCATTAATTAATCCTATAAATTTTCCAACTTCTAGGTTTACAATTGGACACTGCGTATGTTTGTCTGACAATATAAGTTTGGTAAGCGAACAATAATATATCCATCGTAGCAAACATCATAAACAAAATTTTAAGGTCAATGAGGAAACAAATGTTTATGTTAGACCATTTTTAATTGGCCAAACAAAAATAAACACGCACATACACACGATCTTCAAACTTCTACGAGAATCGAATAATTGATCAAGTTGATTATGATATGATAATATAAGTTTGGTAAGAGAACGTACCATATATATCCACTGTAGTAAGCAACATAAACAAAACTTTCATATAAAAGGTCAATGATGAACAAAAATTTTATAAAAAAAATTACCTTGAAGAACATATCCCAGTTTGGAAGAATCAGCATAGTGAGGAAGAGCAAAGCCGTGAGGTTGAAGAACAAGCTTGCCTGCACCAACCTTGGCCTCAACAAGAGCTGGAACATCTGAACTTGACCAAATGTAATATGCTCCACCATCTCCCTCAAACAACTTCTGGGCCTGCTTGGGTGTTAAGTCCATATTGGCTTCCACCTTCAATTAGTTTCAAGAGAAAGAGAGAGACCAAAAAATCCTAAAGCCTACAAACAAAGCAATACAAATCAGACCTGATGAAGTTTATGGGTGAAGACAGAGGTGCAGGAGTTCCATTATATAGAGAAGAAGAGAAAATGCTCTTGATTTCTTCCACATTTCCTCTCTTTTCCCATAATTATGTTCAAATATGCCACGTGTCCTGGTTCAATTCAACCAATTTATGTTCAAATACGCTTCTCATTAGTATAAAGTCAACAGTTGAAAATATATTTTACAATAGATGTATTATAGTGGCACTACAATATATATATATATATATATATATAACGTACATTATTAGGCTAGAGTCAACAGTTGAAAATTTCTTTAACAAAAGATTATGTACTGTTTAGATGGGGTTAATAATTGAAGTATTCCGGGAATTCTAATGATACTCACGAATTTTGATGACTAGCACGCCTTTTCAATTTTTGTCACCTAAAGTTCCAATTTTATCCACTCTCTGGCCGACAGCTCAATGCCGACGATGAGAATGGCGGGAAGATAAGAAATTGGAGAGGTTAAGTTTATGTGAAGTAAGGAATTGGTATGTAAAGAAGTCATTTGCATTAATGAGATAATGACCCGTAGGCAATTCCTTTTTCACTTCAAGTTATTCACCTCAAGCCTAACTCTTTAAACCAAACTCTGCAAACCTTGCTCGACTTTGACAGAGATATCCGTAGTCGGTAATTTTGTGTTTTCCCTTGCGTTTCAATTGTCATCTTTGTAGACCCCATGAGCTTTTTTGAGTTAAGATTCGTTCTAACACTCGAGTTAAATGAAATTCAAATCTTGTTAGGGGTGTATTTTAATGTGTTGGTGTCTACAAAATATCAAGAATCAAATCGTCCACACGACAAAGTAGAAAATCCGACAAACTACATGTGTACTACGGCACTGCTCAGCCATCATCACCGATCAAACTGTCCTCTATGATATCCCACAGATAAGAAAGGAGAGGTCCCACTCCCCCAAAACACCAAAATTAGAGTCTATAGGAATCAAAATGAACTCATCCAAAGAAAATATGAAGTACAATAATTTTGAGTCACTGTTCTTTCAGCTTATTTGTGTTTATCTAGCCTACCTTAGTTTGGGAGCTTGTGATCTGTCATCTGTTTGTATTCTAATTTGTATCTTTATGATTTAAGGAAGAAAGAAAGAGATAGGTCCGTGCCCACTTACACTTATTTAGAACTAGTTGGTGACTGGCATTTCAGAGGTCAATAAAATAAACTATGAAATGAAATTCATTTAAATAAAGTGGCCCACCATAATAACTCTGCACATTCTCTCTCTTATAATAACTTTGTTGTGTTCTCATTTAATCTACTTTCAATTCTTCCAAAAAAAAAGTGTTAATATAATATTGTCACCAACCAAAAAAAAAATGTTATTAATTTTTTTAAAATTCAAAATTGGTCTCTTTTTAAAGGTCTTTTTGAAACTATTTTAATTTATAATTCTTATCGTGATGAACTTTATTCATTTTATTTTATTTAATTATTTAAAACTTTATTTTAAAAAGTATAGTTTTTAATTTGTAAGCTATTGAACTATACCACTGCAAGTGAAATTGAGACCATTGATTTGCAATGGGGCAAATAGACCATTGATTTGAAACTGAGACCATTGACTTTTTATTTAGTACATGTGATAATTTAAATTATAGGAGAATGAGGGGTTTCTCATACACACACACTACCAAGGTGTCATGGGGATTCAAACATGAAACCATTGATTTGAAATGGGGTAAATAGACTTATTAAATCAGTAAAAACTGATACATCACATAAAAGAGAGGACTGAAATCTTGCAGTGATTATTGGAGGTAATTAATTAGATGATAATTGATCAGATCTTTCTAATCCTTGACCTGAGAAGATCCTGCAACTCTGGAGTCATTTTAAGGGATATTTGTAACATTTCTGGTGATAATGCCACCAATGCTGATGTCTTCCCAGCTAAGTCTTCTAGGACAGGCCTGCAAAAATAAGGGCAATTATTCATAAAATAAACTATTAAAAAAAAACAATTATTGCTCCCCACAAGAAAGGTCTTGAGCTCGAGTGCTATTATTCGTGTAGTGTGTATAAGTATATTATCGACCCTCTCAATATGAAATGTCCTAAAAATAAACAATTCTTGCTGTACATAATATTATTGTACATGCACATTGAATATTGTTTAGCAAAAATGAAGTCTTGAAATTAAGTATTCTATATGATCGTCTTCTGCTTACTGGGAACTTGTGAGGACTTTCCAATCCATTTTCCCCTGCAAGTTTAGCCACCATGAAGAAGCTTGGAACCACAAGCAAATCACCAGCTTTGACTTCCAAGGCCAGTTTGCCATTAAGACCCACAATTTGAATCTGCCCACTCCCTCCAGCAACATAACCTACTTGAACTGTAGCATCAGTTGTGTAAGTTGGGGAGCTAATTGCATTGGCTTCAAGCTTTATCAGGCTTGCACTTAACCCAGCCTCTTTGAGAAATGGAAACTCCTTCTCAGTCAATGTTGTTGCACTGGTGATTTTGTGGACTGGTTTGTGGGTGGAGTTTTCACTGGGCTTGGGTATTTTGGTATTCTCATCTTCACCCACCTTGATGATCAAAACCCCAGTCTGGCTTTTGGTGATTTTGTATGCTTCATCTTTGGTAATGTTGTAAGCCTTGCTCACAAACTCGGTTGAGAAGCCTCCAAGCAAACTTAGGGTTCCAGTTATAAGGAAATAGGTGAATTGACCAGGAATATAGGCTGTGGCAGTTTCACTTCTTTTCTCACATCCCATTAAATTGTAAAGGCTTAGATCGTACAAGACATTCAAGTGATCTGTGTTATGTACAATGTTACCAATATTTCAGAGTAGAAGTGCTTTTTATAAAGGGAGTTTCACTAAAACACCCAAAATGGGGGCTGAAATTATAAAAAAAAACCCAACACCCAAAACACTTTATAAACACACCCAAAACCCATCATTACACACACTCAAAACCCATTTATAAACACACCCAAAAAATATACAATTGTTGATTTTGGGGTTGATTTTGGGTGTGTTTCTATGTTTAAATAGTGCTTGGGTTTTTTTATAAATACATGTCTAGGATTGGGTTTATTTATAAATTTGTATTTTATAAAAGCACTCCCAAACAGCCCTTAAAGATAGTAATCTAAATTTTCTGTATTTTTGGTGGCTACAAATATGCACCCACTTTCTTATGGTTTAAAAAAACACCCTCTACTAGTGATTAGGTTCCTACTCCTGCTTGCAGTTGAGCAGGTAAGGCTACTCAGTTAGACCGACGACCGAGCCCATATGTGTAGAGAAACTCGCCTAATCCCCAACGACATTGCCCCTTTTTTGTACTAGTTAAGCTTCCTATCAATAAAATCCTTTCGCTATTCTCTCAAAAAAACAAACAAACACACACACATTGAACTATTGAAAACACGATGAATGATGGACCACTGAAATGATTCAGACCCAAAAAAAGAAAGAAAAAAAGAAGAAGAAGAAGATGGACCACTTAAAAATTTTTTTTTTTTTTTTTTTTTTTTTTTTTTGCAAGTTTAAAATTAGAAGTAAACTCAACAAAGTACCCTTGCTCTGGAAATCATGTATTTGAACCATCTTCCAATATCGCTTGTATAAAATTTTAAAAAATATTTGTTAGGACCACAGTATCGGCGATAATATCGTTTTTTTTGGGTCCCGATATTTTCAGGACATTCCATTTATATTTTGTCAATTTATCGCTAATATCCTCGATAATATCGCCGAAATATCGGGACCAATATTTTCGTTCAAATTCAATATGAAATGGTCAATATATCGCGATATTATCGATAATATTGATAATATCGCGATATGAAACCGAAAAAGATAGAAAAATATTGAAAAGCCTCACCTTGCGCGCAGAGGGATTTGAACCCCCTCCCTTTCTCATCAAAGCCAGCTTCTTCTCTTTAAAAATATTGATAATATCGCGATATATACCATCAACTTGTAATATTTATAAGGTCTTTAAAAATTGTCTGCAAGCTAATATTATCTAAGATAAATTTCCATATTAAAAAAATTCCCTAAGAATAAATTTAAGCATGTATTTAATGTTATTTATTATTTTATAATGGAGTAGTATTTTGTTGTTGTTATATATTATGGAGTTTTATTATTTTATAATGGAGTAGTATTTTGTTGTTGTTATATATTATGGAGTTTTATTATTATTCACTTTGAGTTTTAATATTGTTCATTATATGTGATACTAAGTTTGAATTTTAATAGGAATTATTTCTATGTGGTACTAAGTTACTCGTACATTTTATCTTTGTTTTTTTGATTAAGCTCATATATATTATCATATGTATCAAGTGTAATATATTGAAGTACATTATTATAACTAAAAAATTATGGTGTATTTAATTTTCTTTCATTAATTACTACATGTTTTCTAAAGTCACAGTGTTTGTCAGGTCGCTACATAATCAACTTAAATCACTCAAACCCACCATGCCATGCATTTCCTTCCAATTTTTTGTGATAAAATAATAGACAATTGACTAAGTAAACATCCTCTAAAGTTTCAATAAAAATTTCCAAGTTTTTCTCATAATTTCCGTGATTTTTATTCAATTTTTATCGATATCGATATTTTTTCGATATTTCCATCGATATATCCGTGTTTTTGGACCACCGATATTTTAGACCTTGGTTAGGACCATCACCAAATCGATCCTCCTGTATCCCATTTGTTATGTTTGCTTGGACTTGATGCAGCCGACCTAGGAACACAGCTAGCACTTGAATACAGGTTCAACATGTTTTTCGGCGATCCTCCTGTTTGTTATGTTTGCTTGGACTTGATGCAGCCGACCTAGGAACACAGCTAGCACTTGAAGACAGGTTCAACATGTTTTTCGGCTGTGGCTCCGTTTGGTTCACGGAACGGAATGAATTTGAAGGTGAAGTCATTGAAAACCATGCATATACGACGAGTGAGCTATGGCCACCAATTCCAATTCTACTGCTAATCTCACCGACTGCCGCATACGCACATTCCAAACATTCCAATTCTGAATTTGTCATTTTATGCATGTTTCCTCGTTTCTCTAGAAAACATGCGAGCAAACTAGACGGGGCAAGCAAGTAAACTGCCATTTGAAAACCTTACTAATGACACGTGGGTGTCTCATTCAATCCGCACAAAATGTCTCATTCAATATGAAGAATTCTTCACCACTACATGTATTTCCTTGTCTAAGTTTTCCCACTACTATAGGAATCAAAATAATAATGCAACGTACGCACTCCAGGGCTACTTAAATAATAGCCTGGCAGACCCAAAATTTTATAAAGAAAGGGATAGGGAAGGTTTTGTGAATGTGTTCTAGGGAAATCCAATTCTAATGGTTTTAATGTGTAACTATATATGAAACACTTGTCTTGATTCGTTTACATTTTTAAAATTAAAAAAAAAAAAATTTAAGGAAAGGGAAATTTCAATTCATGACTTCTTATAATATTGAGAAGAGAAATATTATTAGAATACGAGCTATTTCGTGCAACTTATTTACATACTTTAATACTTCTTGTATACATACATATCAACAAATGCTTTCAGAAGATACAATTTTTTTTTAAAATTGGACATGTTGGATGAAGATGATGATATTTTATAATGTTTTATACCCTTAACTTTCATATTATGAAATTAAGGGTTATGTTTACTCCAAAAATCTCCCAAGCCCCAAAATGAGGCCAAGTATATGTATATACTTAAATTATAACCTGCCTCTCAAATTGTGTGTGAAAAATATAGTTCTGTGATAGGTATCACTTTTTTTTTAGTAGAAGCAATAGTATATAAACTAGAGAAGGAGGAAGGTTCTTCCACACATTACCATAGTGCCATGCATGGGAGTCGAACCTGAAACCAAGTGAACTTTTTTCTTTCTTTGGGGTCCGAATCAAATTCCATAAAAGCCCAATCAAGGTAAAGGAAGGAAACAAAGCAAAGAGGCCAGCAAGGCCCAAGCAAAACAAAGTTACAAACAAGAAGCACGAGAAAGTTCAAACTAAACTACAAAAACAGCAGCCATTGCTTCCTTCACCCTTCATTCGACCACACAGCACCAGCCGGAGGGCATCCGAGACAAGAATAAACCAGAGACGGTGGTGGCCAGTCAGCCCAACTTTACAGTTCCACCTCTCCCATCTTTACGAATGCAAATAATTCAGATAATAAGCATGCAACAACTACACATTTTGGTAATCATTTTTCAAATTTAAACATTAAGATTATTAGAACCTAGAATAAAACATACATAACTCTTGCTATAATATCACTCATTATAACTCTAGCTACTTAGGAAAATCGTTTTCAAACAGGACCAAAAAAAGAAAAATTAAAAGATGATATGCAGCAACTTCATCCTTGCCCTTATCTTCCTCTTCTTCTTCGTCCTCGCCTTCAACTTCTTTTTCGTCTGCATCTTCTTTTCTTTCTTCTCTCTGACAATGTCATTCAATTTCTATTTTTAGTAAACGTTTTTGCTATAATGTCTTTCTTTGAGAGCATCACGAAAGACCCATCCTTCCTCAATGACTCTATTGAAGTCAACTTTCTTGTTGTATTATCTTTTCTTGGGCCTCCTTCCTTTCAGCCATGGCAACCATTTTCTTAATGTAATAGTTAAATCTCTCAGTAGAAGATAGAAGGAGTGGATGATCTTCTAATTGCCTAAAACAAAACCTTAATTCACAAGCAAAAAGAAAAGAAGTAATCAATAAAAATTCAGAAGGAAAAAAAAAACCCAAACTTGACAAAAGATATAGCTTTCCTTACCCCTGTGTTTTACCACGGATCATGTCCAAAATGTGAGATGACTTTAAGAGTTTTGTCGAATTTTCATGGACGCCGCTAAATCTTTACCGGACTCTGAGATTCTTGACGAATCTCTGCGGATAATCACTCCCATAAAAAATTTAAAGTCTGCCCTATAGGCAGGTAAAGTGTGATCTCGAGGATTAATAAAAAAAGGATCTATAATTTAGAGATGGTTACTTCCTAGTCATTGTGGATATTGAAATGTATATGGTGAAATGGCAAAAAGCCATCCTTGCACCATTCCACTCCAGCAAGTCAATGAACTTAATAATACCCCTTCAGAGATAATATAAAAAAAACCCCCATTAACAACATTATTATTGTTTCAGAAAACAACAGTTAGGAAATAAAAAATTGTAATTATTGTGTCTTTAGGGGGAAATTTTTTCCTTTCCCCGTTCTCCAACTCCTCTTCATCTGCAACCCAAACTTGAAACTATCCACCAAAAAATACCCAAACTGGAAACAGAAGGAAAGTAGGACAAACTTTTGATCAGGAGGAGTGTTCGTGGAGTTTTTATGGTTCCTATCATTTTTCTTAGAGCCTGAAGATGACATTTTTATCAAAGAGAGAAGAGAGTGCGAGCCGGGCTGAGTAAATTTCTTAAAATGGAATAGAAGAAAATGAGTTAGAGACATGGAATAGATGTTAGACACAATTTAACACGTTGACTTAAAATGGAATAGAAGCAAATGGGTTAGGGATGGCGCAAAGTTAAAGTAAATGACCCCATAATACTGAACAGAGGACCTAGATGTATGAAATGAAAGAACAGCTCAGTCCTATATCTGGGGCTCTATCAGTTTCAGTAAAGGCTAACCACCTTTGAGGGTTATCGGAGTCAAAACTTAGGATTATTTAGAACTACATGGACAAATTTAGAAAAAAATAACAGAGAAAAAATCCAAAATATGAGAAGAATGAAACAAGTTGGAGGCAGCTACTAAGCACCCTATAAAACTAAAACTACAAAGAAAAGTGATAGAAGTTGACACACAACCATGATCGAACAGATTTACAGGGACATTATTTGTGGCCCTTAAAAAGGAAAACGAAAAGGACAGTAATGAAAATGTGTAAAATTCTGGATACCTGCTCCTTAGCACCTCTACAAGGCCGAGGAAGATTTACAGTTGGATATGTAAAAGTCTAGCCTACCACTGCCAGCATTCTTGGAGAACTTATCTGAATTCTTAATTTAAACTTCTGAGAGGATTTTGGCAAACACAATAGTGGTCATTCCAAATTTCCAATACCTCACAGATGATGAAACTGATGTACCGACCAGCTCATCCAATGATGAACAACAGAAATGTGAGTTGATAACTTTACAGCTTCATTTAGGTCACCAATTTAGCGATCATTCTTTTTGTATTTGGTCTATAGCCCTACTTAAATTTTTAAATAATTCTTCTCATAAATTAGCCTTGGGGAACAGCATATACAGTCAACAATACCCAGTGTGAGCAATACAAAAATCAAAAGCGTGCAAAGAAAACTTCAGTGTGAGCAAAAAGGTGCATCCCATAGCAACCATAAATCTCTAGAGGGTCAGTAGTACTTTCAAAATATTTTCCGTCAGACTCAGAAGCCAAGTTTCTTTACGAGTCTACTGGTTATTTCATTACAAATTCTAGGTTCCAAGAGAGATTATAAATGACGTTTTACAAATCATTAGGAGAAACCAAAAACAAAAAAATGAAGCAATCAACATATTTGATAACGATGTCTATTATCAATATTAATGTACAACAAACCGTTTTAAAATTCTATACATTATAACAGGCAGCGCTACAGAAGCCAATATTATAAAGCTAGCAAGCACCTTAATTGCAATCGACAATAGTAATTTTGCCAAATGAACAAATAAGCACACTCATAACCATTAATCACACCTTTCAAATTGAGCTAACCATTTCATCTCACTTTCCATTGAGCCTCTCTATGACAGTGATAAGACCTTGACCGCCAAGCTTCCCATCCCCATTAGCCACCATGCCAGAAAACAACTGCTTGCACAATGCAGCACCAGGCAACACCGCCACCCTCCCCTCCTCATTCTCCTCCACAACATCCACACCCATCCCCAAATCCTTCACCATATACTCAGCAAACCCACCAGGCCTGAAGTCCCTCCCTATAATCCTATCCCCAAACAACTCCATCACCATCGACCCGGCTGCCCCGCCCCTCACCGCCTCCATAAACTGCTGCACATCCAACCCGGCCCGCTCGGCAAACACCAACCCTTCGCTCAACCCCACCAAATTCCCCCCCACCACAATCTGGTTCGCAATCTTGCAGTTTTGGCCGGAGCCGGCAGGACCCACGTAAGTAACCTTCCCCAAAACATCAAACACTGGGGCCAACCACTCGACCACGGAAGCATCACCGCCGGCAAGTATGGCGAGTTTGCCTTCTCTAGCGCCAATGTCACCTCCAGACACTGGCGCATCGACAGTCCAGCAATCTTTGGCGCGCGCAGCATTGAAAATCTCGCGGGCAAGGGCTGGATGACTGCTTGTCATGTCGACGGAGACCGAGTTTGGGCGGAGGCCCAGAGAAGGCCGGTTTCTGGGTCGAGGATATTTGATCGAACATCTGGTGGGTGTCCCACCATTGTGAAGACGACGTCGCTGAGTTGAGCGAGTTGAAATGGGGAATCGGCCAGTTGGGCACCTTGGGATTGGAGGGGATGAGCTTTTGAAGGAGTGCGAGCGTAGATGGTGAGGGAGTAGCCGGCTGAGAGAAGGCGGGAGGCCATGGCAGCTCCCATGACGCCTATGCCAATCCAGCCTATGCGGGTTTGGGAAGGAGAAATGGGGTTTGGGTAAGGAGTTCCCATCAGTGTCCTGAAGAAGATGGTTGCTGAGAAAGGAAGCTGGATTTCTGGTGGGGAAAGAATTCACTTCAAAATTGAAAGAGCCTCGTAGCTAAGAAGGCTAATGGGAAATCACTGGGAAGTCTAACTAAAAAGTTTTTGGTTCATACGATTTTTCCTTTTTGGAAATGAACGCAACTTCCACTTTTTAGACTACCAAATAAAAATGACTTTCTAAAAATAATGATAATTGTTGGCAATACCATTAATTTCAGGAGAAAATTTTTAAACAAACGGCGTATAGCCGCCCGGCCATACTAAAAAAGTGCATCGCCACGCGGCTATACTTATGCAAACAAATGCACAGAAAATAGTATAGCCGCGCGGCTGTACTATTGTCGGGCAAAAATGGACAAAAAATTGTATAGCCGCGCGGTTAGACTATTAAGTCCATGAGAAAATTTAAGAAAGGGGGACTATCGGCGTCCAGCTATACTTTTAACTCGAATAAAAATTATAAAAAACACGGAGTATATTCGATCCTATACTCTTAAATTTTATGAGAAAATTTTAAGGAGTATAGCCGAGCGGCTATACTATTTATTTAAAAATAGAACAAAAATTAGTACATGCGATCATTTAAGTACAGGAGGATGAGAGGTTTCTCACATACACACACACACTACCAAGATGTCATGAAAGTAGAAACTTGAGACCATTGATTTGCAATGGGGCAAATAGACTTTTATTTAAATCAGTAAAAAACTGATACATCACATAAAAGAGAGGACTGAAATCTTGCAGGGATTATTGGAGGTAATTAATTAGATGATAAGTGACCAGATCTTTCTAATCCTTGACCTGGGAAGATCCTGCGACTCTGGAGGGATATTTGTAACATTTCTTGTGATGATGCCACCAATGCTGATGTCTTCTCAGCTAAGTCTTATAGGACATGCCTGCAAAAATAAGGGCAATTATTCATAAAATAAACTAAAACAAAAAAAAACAAAATTATTGCTTCCCGCTAGAAAGGTCTTTGAGTTCAAGTGTTACTATCTGTGTAGTGTGTATGAGTATGTTATCGACCCTCTCTCAATAGGAAAGGTCCAAAAAATAAACAATTCTTGCTGTACATAATATTGTACATGCATATTGAATATTGTTTATAAAAAATGAAGCCTTCTGAGCCTTTGCATCTAGTTTACCAGTATGTGTTGGATTGGTACAATGCTTGTAAACCAATTGTAGGCACTCTGGAGCACATTGTGGTTTAGCTCCAATGAAAAACTCCCAGACCTGGTGCATGTAAAATTAACACATATGGAAGTAGAAACAACGCCATTGGCTTTAGTGGTGCTGGAGGATTATTACGTGATGCTACTAGTGCTTGGATCCATGACTTTACTGTGAATCTGGGTGCAAGTACAATACAATCCTTGAGGCTGAATTATGGGGTATCTTGATGCTGGCTTTTGTGATATGGAGATTGAATGCGACTCTAGTGCTACTGTAATTCTTTTATCTTCACCTACTGTTCCAACTCACTCTTTTTACAGCATCATTTCTTGCTGTAAAATGAAGATTCGTGAACCCTGGTGTTGTGCAATTAAGCATACCTACCACAAACAAAATGTAGCTGCAGATGCTTTGGCTACCAGAAGTTATAATCTTGGCCCTGGTCTCCATGTCTATGATGAGGTGCCTTACTTCCTTGAAGATATTCCCACTGCGGATGCTAGGGGTGGTGTGAGGCCTCGTTCTTTTATTATGTAATTTGTTTGGCTTTGTGCTTTTAGCCCCCCACTTACCGAAAATAAAATAAAATTAAAGGCCCGTTCAGTACTGTTTTCACCAAGCGTTTTCTGTTTTCAAATCCAGAAAACACACCGAGAATGCGTTCGGTGAACTATTTCCCAAAAACACAAACAAAATCAACATTTTGCCTTAGAGAACAAAGAGCTTAATGATTTAAGTATTAGGATGAACAAAGAGAAGTGCAGAGTTTAAATAAAAAATCTCTTCCAATATCACCATCACCCAATAAACAACAACACCACCCCCATACCGAATCAAACAACCATCACCACCCAATCAGTCGAACCATAACTGCCACCACCACAAACCTAGTTGAACCACCATCACTACCCAATTGAACCACCACCAACCATTAACTAATGGAACAAGAGAACGAATGGGGGTGGGTTGATGGGGTTACTTCCATGGAAAGGGGTGGGTGTGTGGCGGCATGACGAGAGAATTTGAAAAAGAGAGGAGGTGGAGCTGGGCTCGTTGGTAGTTTGTATGATGCTGAAAAGGATGATTGAAAGATGTGGTTGCTGGGTGGGGTAGAATTTGCAGACACCAAATAATGAAAGAGATTTTGGGGGTCTGACCAGAAAAAATAGAAAAAGGAAGAGATTTTGGGGTCTGACCAGAAAAAATAGAAAAAGGAAGAGAAGTTGGGGATCTGATAAATTTAGCAAAAAACAAAGGCCAAAAGTCACTTTTGGTCTCCGTAGTTTGGCACTTCAATTACTTTTGATTTTGTAGTTTCAATTTCGTCAATTGTGCCATTGTAGTTTCGTATTTATAGCAATTCAAGGGCATGTTAGTATTCTTGTGAATTTCTTTAATGATGCAAGGACAATTTCGTCAACCCAAAACCCTTGAGCGTAAAAGCTTGTTTTAAATTCTCCCAATTTCATATTAGGTCCAGTCAATGTTTTTGTGATATTTTTGACAGTTAGACAATATTTATATTAATAGTCAATGTTTTTAATATACATATATATATATATATATTTATATAAGTAAATTTAGGTTTAAAAAAAAAAAAAAAAAAAAAAAAAAAAAAATTTTTGAAAAAGCCAAAGCTTTTTCAAAAAGACAGAAAAATCTCTCAACTTTCAAATCAAAGACATGCAAATATAAAGAATTCCTTAGGAAATCCAAAATAAATAAGGGCAATTTTGTCCATTTTGACTTCTTTTACAAAATTTATCTCTCCTTTGTGTTTTTCCAAAGTCTCCCTAATATATATATATATATATATATTTCAACATTGATACGTGCAAAATTTGTACCAAATCTCTCATGCTTAGCTCAAGAGTTATACAAAAAAAATTGTTAGATATCAATAATGTAAACAAAAACTGTAAATAAAAACAGAAATTGCAATCAAAAACAAAAAACAAAAACAAAAAAATTCATGCCAACAGTTAGTAAGAAACAGCCAAAACCAATAAAATCATATAATCAAATTAGAAACTATAATGTAGCACCTAGTAAGCCACATCCCAAAATACACCTACTAATAAGTGAGGAACTAAAAGGCAAAACCATGATGAAAGTACTAGAAAAATCAACTTATAAAAACCAAAAAATAACTAGAAAATTCAAATAACAATTTGATCAAGAATATACATACTTCAACAACAGAAAAAATGTGCTTCACATCAAAACATAAGTATTTCAATAGAATAATGCACTGTAGTTTCTAGGAAAACCAAAATTTCTCATATTTAAGTGGGATTTTAAAACAAAAACAATATAGATATCAATGATTTAAACAAAAACAATGTAGATATCAATGATGTAAACCAAAAAAAAATAATAATAACCTACAACTAGAGACGGTGGTGGCCGGTCAGCCCAACTAGCTACTTAGGAAAATCGTTTTCAAGCGGGACCAAAAAAAGAAAAATTAAAAGATGATATGCAGCAACTTCGTCCTTGCCCTTATCTTCCTCTTCTTCTTCGTCCTCGCCTTCAACTTCTTTTTCGTCTGCATCTTCTTTTTCTTTCTTCTCTCTGACAATTTTATACCTATTAACATATATAGGACTCAAGTAAGGTACGTAAGTGTACGTATAAAAAGAAGCTACGCAAACAAAATGAAAAGTTGAATAACGGTTCACTAGCAAGCACCTTAATTGCAATCGACAATAGTAGTTTTGCCAAATGAACAAATAATCACACCTTTCAAATTGAGCTAACAATTTCATCTCACTTTCCATTGAGCCTCTCTATGACAGTGATAAGACCTTGACCGCCAAGCTTCCCATCCCCATTAGCCACCATGGCAGAAAACAACTGCTTGCACAATGCAGCACCAGGCAACACCGCCACCCTCCCTTCCTCATTCTCCTCCACAATATCCACACCCATCCCCAAATCCTTCACCAAATACTCAGCAAACCCACCAGGCCTGAAGTCCCTCCCTATAATCCTTTCCCCAAACAATTCCATCACCATTGACCCGGCCGCCCCGCCCCTCACTGCCTCCATAAACTGCCGCACATCCAACCCGGCCCGCTCGGCAAACACCAACCCTTCGCTCAACCCCACCAAATTCGCCCCCCCCAACAATCTGGTTTGCAATCTTGCAGTTTTGGCCGGAGCCCGCAGGACCCACGTAAGTAACCTTCCCCAAAACATCAAACACTGGGGCCAACCACTCGACCACGGAAGCATCACCGCCGGCAAGTATGGCGAGTTTGCCTTCTCTAGCGCCAATGTCACCTCCAGACACTGGCGCATCGACAGTCCAGCAATCTTTGGCGCGCGCAGCATTGAAAATCTCGCGGGCAAGGGCTGGATGACTGCTTGTCATGTCGACGGAGACCGAGTTTGGGCGGAGGCCCCAGAGAAGGCCGGTTTCTGGGTCGAGGATATTTGATCGAACATCTGGTGGGTGTCCCACCATTGTGAAGACGACGTCGCTGAGTTGAGCTAGTTGAAATGGGGAATCAGCGAGTTGGGCACCTTGGGATTGGAGGGGATGAGCTTTTGAAGGAGTGCGAGCGTAGATGGTGAGGGAGTAGCCGGCTGAGAGAAGGCGGGAGGCCATGGCAGCTCCCATGACGCCTATGCCAATCCAGCCTATGCGGGTTTGGGAAGGAGAAATGGGGTTAGGGTAAGGAGTTCCCATCAGTGTCCTGAAGAAGATGGTCGAGCTGAGAAAGGAAGCTGGGTGTCTGGTGGTGAATGAATTCACTTCAAAATTGAAAGAGACTCGTAGCTAAGAAGGCTAATGGGAAATCACTGGAAAGTTTATCTAAAAAGTTTCTGGTTCATACGATTTGTCCTTTTTGGAAATGAACGCAACTTACACAACACACTTCAGTAAATTTAGGTTTTAGCTACAAAAAAAAATTTCACTGTTTGAAAAAACTTTGGTTTTTTCAAAAAAGACAGAAAAACTTATTAACTTTCAAACCAAAGACATGCAAATATAAAGGATTTCTTAGGAAATTCAAAACTAAATAGAGGCAATTTTATCCACTTTGGCTTCTTTTAAAAATTTTATCTTTCCTTTGGTCTTTTCCAAAGTCTCTCTTAAACTTTTTAGACTACCAATTAAAAATGACTTTCTAAGAATAATGACAATTGTCGGCAATACTACTAATTTCTGGAGAAATTTAAAAAAACGACGTATCGCCTAGCGGCTATACTATTAATTTTTTTTAATTTTAAAAAGGACTATGGCCGAACGGCTATACTATTAATTTGGAAAAAATAATTAAACACGCAATATGAATAAATTTTTTAAAAAACACACGGAGTACAGCCGTGCGGCTATAGTCTTGTAATATATTATAGTTAAACAGTGTACACCTAAAAATTATTAGAAAATAACTTCCGGTGATCAATCTTTTCACTACACATTAATCAGTATATAAACACATGTGATCAAGAGAATCCAGTAACCAAAATAATCAAACCACCATGAAAAGCAAGAAAGAGTAGCCGAAAGTTGGAAGTTTTGTTAGAGAGGAATTGGGGATTCTTCAAGATTCACAAACAAGTCAAATTAATTGACAAGAGGACGAACAAAAAGAGCAGCAGATCTCCCAATTTTCCCAAGTCAAACCAGACAACTCTCTTTCTAATCTCTACCTCTTTCCAAACAAGGAGAGGAGGAGAAAAGGAAGAGGAAGGAGAGAAGGTCGGGGAAGGACGAATTTGTGGGGTTGGGTCGATGTTGGGTAGGGTCTGTTGGGGTGGGTTGGCGGCGGATCTGTGGAGTGGGTAGGAGAAGGTGTCTGGGAGAGAAAATGCTTTGGTTTTTTGTTTTTGTTTCTGTTTAAAATATATATTTTTTAATTTATAAAAAGAATATTACTGTTTTATTATTTTAAAGAGTTTTTAATTATTTTTAATGACACATCAGCAAAATAGTGGATCCCGCACTTCCCACATCATTAATTTAATAGAAGACTACACAGTCAAATTAACAGAATGTGTAAATTGATCGAAACCTAAAACGTTGGGTGTAAATTGATGAAATTGAAGCCCCGGGGCTCAGATTGAAAATGACCCCAAACCTTGAGAAGGTCTTTTGTTGTTAAAAAATAAAAAACACAGAGTATAGCCGCCCGGCTACACTATTAATTCTGGGAGAAAATTTATAAAAAACTGAGTATAGCCGTCCGGCTATACTGTAACTCGAAAAAAAAATTATAAAAAACAGAGTATAGCTTCTTTAACTCGAAAAAAATTATAAAAAAACACTGAGTATAACCGACCGGCTATGCTATTTATTTAAAAAATAGCAAAAAAACGTATAGCCGCGCGGCTATACTATTAATGGGAATTTTTTTTTGAAAGTAGTATAGCCACGTGGCTATACTATTAATTTGAAAATAATTTAAAAATACACGGAGTATGGCCTCACGGCTATACTATTATTTGAAAAATAAATAAATAAAACACGGAGTATAGCCGGTCGGCTATACTATTAATTTCATTAAAATATTTTTAAAAAAGGAGTATAGCCGCCCGCTGATACGATTTATATTTTAAAAAAGTGGACGAAAAGAGTATAGTCGCGCGGCTATACGATTAATCGGAATTTAGGGTTTAGAGAAAACACATACTATAGCCGCGCTGCTATACTATTAATTTGAAAAAAAAACAAAGTATTACCGCGCGGCTATACTAGTTATTAAAAAAAAAAATGAAGCTCAATATAGCTGCACAGGCGCTCGCCTAGAACCTTGGCGGCCCTTTAAATGGATCAATTGAGTGTCACCGAAAAAAAAAAAACGAGTGAGTGCTTTACTTATAGTTCGATTTGAGGGACAAAATGGTAATGATGTAACGATTGGTGACTTTAATGGTGGTTTTTGCCAATGTTTAATAGACATGAATCAAATTGTCAGAAGCCCCAAACTACATGGTTGCAAAATATAATTTTCCCTAAAACTTTTTAAAGGAGGATTTATACAAAGACTACAATTGAGCAAAATGCCGAGCAAAGCAGAAGCTCAATTGGGCAGCCATACACAAGACAGAGAAAAGTGGGCGCCAAAAGAAAATGGAAAAATATTCCTTCGTTCCAAACAAAAGAAGCTGGTAGCCTCAGTGGGGGCAACGATAATAACTAACCCCAACCTTGTTGATCTTGTTGATCTTGTTGATGGCGGAACCACCTATGGAAATTGGAGCAAACCCAAAAACAGATAAAGATTCAGAGAGAGCCCAAAAGCCCTTCTTTTGACTTCACTCAGACAGACTCAGAAGCAAAACCATATTCACCATTCGTCGTCCCTCCAACAGCAATGACGAGAGAGAGGCAGATGAGTCTGCTGGCAGCCCGGCGCTCAAGAGAGGCTGTCGTTGTGGCTGTGGACGCCGACAGGACCAAAGGAACCATGGAAGCTGTCGAGTGGGCTCTCAAGCATGTCGTTCGTCCACGAGACATCTTCCTTGTTTTGGGAGTTTTCAATGATCAACTGGCCAAGAAGAACTCTTGCTTTCCATTTAAGCTGCTAATGGACATTGTCACATCTGGTATATGTAGGTTTAAACTTGCAAACTAGGTTATGTTTAATTTCTCTGTTTGTCACGCTGTTAATATTTGTTTAAGTTGTTTGAGATAAAATTTTTATGTTTGGCAATGATATATTCTTCGGACAGATGAAAGTTCATTATAGGAATTGATTGTTTCTATTTGTAAAAGTGCTTATCAATCAAACTTAGACCTCATCGAACATCGAGAAGAGAAATACCATTTTTTTAAAAATTCAAAAAGTTGTCAATTCAAAAAATTCCAACCCTTTTTCTGTACAACTTTGGAACAAATAAAATAGAAAACGCTTTTTTCCGCACAAGATCAAAATTTGTGTAATTTTTGTTTTTCACTTGGCTGAAGGTACGTATGGTGAGTACTCTACCATTGAACCAGAAGCGAATTCTAAACCTTTGTTTGTGCTTTACAAAGGAAAATTGGTCCAGAAGCGAATTCTAAACCTTACATGTTATATGGCTGCCTCACTACTTACTAGATATGCTTAACCTAATACAACTTATGTCTTGCAGGGGAGAGATTAGAATTCATTGACCATGAGGAAGTGGATCCTATAGAGCTTGAAGAAGAATTTGAGAGAAAAAGAGAACAATACCGGAGTAGCCTCCAGCCTTTATATGGTCTGTGCATAAGGAATGAGGTTGGTGTTCTTTTTTCCCTTTATATGTCAGTTTTTGCAATTCCATGTAACATACTTAAAAACTTTGTGGTGTATGTGCAGGTGAGGTTGGTGCTTAAAGTTGCAGCAGGGTTTTGTCCAGTGAGAGTGGCAATGGATGAATCACAAAACCTTAATACCCGATGGATCGTATTAGACAGGTATGTCACACACTCAGGTCATCCTGAGTCCTGAAATTATATAACACAATTGAGCAAGCATTTAAGATTTTGTTCTATGCTTTACTGCAGTAGTGTTTGCATCGATCAAAATGGAATCATTAAAATGCATAACAATAACTACCAAGTCATGATATCGTCACTCTTACAGGAACTGTCCAATTAATCTAAAAAGACAAATCAAGAACAAGAACAGAAATTAAAAACTTGAACTGGTATTGGTAGGTGATCCAGCAGACTTTATAGAACAGACTAATGATTTAAGATGGAAATTTTCTTTACTCCCCCTCCCCCTTTTGTAATTTGGGTGTCAGTGCATAATTTTCTTACTTGTAGTCTTGAAATCTCTTAAGATTTGAATTGATTCTGAGTTTTCATTTTCATTTTTTGTTCTCTCTCTTTAAATTTGAGCTGTGACTAATCTTCTTATCTTGTGCTCTTCAATGGAAAGTTTAAGTAGAGTTTGAAACTTCCTTTGTTTTTAATTTGCCCGCACACTCTCTCTCTCTCTGTCTCTGTGTGCTTGTTTGTTTGTTTGTTTGTTTTTCTAATTTTCGCTATTTGGTTGTCAGTCACTTCAGGAAATCTAAAGTTTTTCTAAAGGGACATGTATCATGCAATATTGCGGTAGTAAAAGAAAAAGAGTTTGCTAGCTTGATGCTATCAAACGAGCCTGAGATTTCTCCATGGAATCCTGAACCAAAGCATCCTGTGGAAGAGGACAGTGAAGGTTTCAGTATGTATCAATTAAGAAAGAAATGTGCACCCGCACCACATCCCCAGAGTCGTTGTTGCTATCCCATGTCTTGGAGAAGCGGCTTCCCTCGAGCATTTTCGCATAATGAACTTGAAGCAATAACAAATGGCTTTGCTGATGGCAATATTGCAGGAGCACTGGATGGCGTACTAGTTTATCAGGGAATATTGCAAGAAACATCTGTTTTAGTCAAGTTTTACCCAGAAACCAACAAGGGCTTGAGGTCCACACTTAAGATCCTTTCTCGGGTGTACCACCGCAATATCATGAACCTTGTTGGGTACTGCAGCACAGGTGCTTCTACATTCTTGATTTTCGACTTCCCATGTTTGGGTACTGTTGAAATGAACTTTCAATGTAAGAATTACTCCTCCTCTAATTTAACTATAACTATCCCCACAAGGGACACTTGCTAATGCATCCTGGTTTTTCTGAAGGTTGCTGTTAATGAACTCAACAAATACAAACATGCATAGTACATATGCATTTAGCATGCAAACTTTGTATATTAATTTGTGGCATAAATTCTATGCTGCATATAATAAATTAGACCCTTTATAAATAAATTTAAAAAAAAAAAAACTACAAGACCGAAGGTCGTGGAATCGTTGTTCTTGCAGGTGAGGCCTCTAGGTCATACAGTTCCATACACATTGATTCTTTTGGTCAAGAATTGGAAATTGTTGTCTATGTTTGTGGAACAAGTCAATTTTAAGACATGATATCTGGAATTTATCAAAATTGATAGTTAATTGATATTCTTTTTAGTTTCATGAGCCGCTTGATGTGCTCTTTTTTCTGCCTGGTAAGACTGAACTTAACCTGTAAAACTACTCCCTCATATTCCTTTACACCTATTTATCTTATCATAGTCCAAGTACGTACACCTATTGTTACATTATCAATGAGCATTGTCTTTCACATGATAACCAATTTATTTCCCTAATTTTGTTGTTTTCTTCATGCTATCCTTATTTTGTATGCTTCCACAGAGTATTGCAATGCTCTCCCCTTCACATTCAGTTCTTCATCCTTGCGTCCTTAGATTACATGGCCTTCAGTTTTGTTCTTCAACAGAATAGAATACTCAAACTAAGATCTATCAGTTAATTCATAGGTGATGAGTTGGCTCGGAATCTGGGGTGGAGAGTGAGGTGGTCTATTGCTCTAGAAATAGGCGGAAGCTTGCGCTATCTTCACGAGGAGTGTGTTGACGGACCTATTGTTCACAAATCTCTTCGTTCTAGTAAAGTTGCTCTTTCTCATGGTTACTCTGCAATGGTAAGTATATTCTGACGCTTCGCGTGCATATGTGAAAAGAAATATAGTTAAATTATGAGCCAATATACGCAAATTACAGCAAGAACGATGTGAAAAGAGATAGGCTCTTCAATTTATTGCTATATTCTAAATTTCTGCGTATGGAAGACCACTGTTTTTGGAGAAAATTTTACACCAAATTCAGTTTTGTTTCTTAGACATACTTTCGCGAGATCACGCATTAAACTGGGGTACATTAATCGCGCACAATTGAAATTTCTTGCTACACATAACATAATGCTCCTTAATATATTGCTGTTCTGAATTTCTTGCCTGTAACTGAATATGTGGCTTTGACCGGTACTCAAGCTTTACAACTTCACAACTGCTGAATGGCTTACGAGTGATTTCCCCCCTAATGAAGATCTGATAGCCGAGTAAGAGAACTTCCTAATTATGTCTTACATCCTGCATAAGCATTTTTTATACGAATCGTAAAGAAAGTTTAATCCATATGCTTTATGCTTCAAATGAAACGATTGATTGTTATACTGAACAATCTGCATGTACGCTGGCATGACTGCCATGCTGTTGCCTTATGGCTTCTCATTGATCTGCTGTTTGATGTTTGATAGAAGCCCGAATTTGGAGGGAGACGAGCGCCTTTCTGTGGATGTACATGATTATGGGAAATTCCTACTGGAGCTTATAGTAGGAAAGAGTGCAGGGAAGGGCCAGTCCATGATTGATTGGGTAAGATCTCTTCGCCAACCTAATGCTGGTGATTCCTTAAATGTGTTTGGTGTATCTCCAAAATTGGTTTTCCACAAATTACAAAAATAATCTATGAACCATGTTGAAGTATTCAGTGAATTGCGCTGGTTACTGATTGGAAAAAAGCTTAGGGATAGCCAAGACAGCTGTAAATACGCAGCCTTTTTCTCTTACTTGTGAAACAAGAATGTGCAGCTCGATAGATGGTTTTTCTGTTGCAAAACAGGCATTGCCACTTCTGGAAAATGGTGAGCTATGTGAACTGATGGACTCCAGAGTGACAGAAATTGCTGGTGATGCTAGGATGGTTCGGCATATGGCTCGTGCTGCATTGCGCTGCCTAAAAATTGATTCAGATCATAAGCTTTCTATAAGTGAGGTAACTAAGATTCACTACACTTGTTATCAAGCCTTTAATCAGAGGATTTCTCTCCCAGATTCATTAATTAACCACCTCTTGTTCTTTTTTCTTTTTTCTCTTTTCAAATCTCAATTGAAATGTCTCTCCTATTTTTGTTGCCAAAGATTAAGATATTAAACACAAGGGTAGTGCATACGTACATACCCTAATGTACCGAATGAAGTTACGAAATCACAAGTATAAAAGTCAAATATCCAGTCTCTACTTTGTTGAAGGAGGTCCTGAGTTCAAATCTAGTTGTCGATTTTAAAAAAAAGAGTAGAAAATTGAAACATTGACGTATATATTATTTTAGGTGGAATTGCTTAGGTTATTTTTGAAATATGAAAATGTAAAGGTCGACTTGCTTCTATCTATAAATGCTTAATTAGTGGAATTTTCACAGGCCTTAGCCATTGTGCGAGGGGATGAACTTGCGACATTCAAGCAGTGAAGATTTGAATAAGTTGGGAGATTTAGAATTTTTAGATTACTTGTTATACAATGCGTCTAGGATTATGATGTATGATAACAAGGCTACTTAAACTTATTCTGTCAATTGTCGAGCTAGCAACTTGTAATGATATTGTAAATAATGGAACTCATCTTGAATATTTTCTAATCTTCTAATGTGGGAGTGGGAGACTACAAATTTCAACTCAAATTTCCAAAGACAACACATATTGCAATAACCATCACCACCACGACTTCCACCACTATCATGACCACCACCTCCATGCCCATCACCACCACAACTTCAATCACCATTATCACCACCACACCCCATGACGCCACCACCACCACCACCATCTCTGCTACCACCACTATTTCCAATATTATAAATTTGAAACTAGTGGAGATACTTATTAAAAGAACCACTAAAAGTACAAGAGAATTTATTGAAATTTATAAAAATTCATCAAACTCTTTGGTAAGATTTTAACAAATTTCATCAAAATTCATATGAAATTCAATCAAAGTATTATATATATTGAGTTTATGAAAGTCAAATAAAATTCATAGACTTCTTTAAAATACATTAAAATCTTAATAGAATACCCCTCCTAAGAATACATCTATATATATAAAGCAAAAGGCAAAGAATGGTGAAACATTCAAAATATCAAAAAATGCCCTTGGTTAATGCAAACATTAAGAATTGAAATTATTAATTAAATGAGGATAATATGGTAAATTCACACTTTTTCATATTAAAAAAAATTAAAATTAAAAGAAAAATAAAATAATGGATCATATTTTTATGGAACACAATTGCCCATTATTATTTTTAATTCTAAAATAAATTTAATTTTTTTTAAAAAAAGCCTCTTCCGCACCTGCGAAAAGGCTAGTAATTAAATAAAACAAAAACTAAAAAAAAAGGAAGAATGAAACAAATATGAAAAATATAAAATAACATAAGTTCTTCCTAAACAAGTCATTTAGTAAGAAAAAACGCAGGCAAAAAAAAAAGGTGGCCCACTTGTAGGAAACAAGGAAAAGCCCATCAGAATGTCTCGGCCTAAGAAAAGCCCCGTTGCCGTAATAGCACCGCCTTTGCAAGGTTAAAAGGAGTAATTCGACCCAACTTGTTCAGATATATAAGCAGCCTCTTGCGCCTCTGGGCTTTACATAGCTCACAACACAAAACCTCTGATCGGGACGTGGTGGTCTGACTGTATCGGAAGAAGAAGAAGGAAAAGGCTCTCCGCTGTCAAGATGGTATGTTCAATTTCTCTTTCTCCTTCTATTGGTTCAGTTAACAAGTCTATGTATACACATAGATATATATATATATATATATATAGATAGGTATATATACGCATCTGATATGCTCTGGTATTTTATGCGTGAATGGATCCATCTAGTCAAATGGGTTTCCTTCAATTTTTCTGTTCTGGGTGTTTGGACGGTGATCAAGTTCTTTGAGTTGAGATGTGTTGAGGCCTGGAATTAAGGGCTATTTGCGCATTCTAGGTTTGGTCATAGTTGACTGATTGTTTTTTTTGGAATAAATAGAGATGCATGGATACGCGACTGGCTTAGTTGAAGAGATTGAAGTATAATAATTCTGTTGTTGGTTCATTCATATTATAAACTGTGTTTCTAATCTATATAAAAATTTGGGAATCTTGATTAGTCAAAATCCGTATGCTGAATGCATAATGTGTTTATGGTTCTATCACAAGTATCTAATAGTGAGGATGTTGTGCATGCCCTGATGCTATGTTGCTCATTCTTTTCTTTTTCTTTTAGTTTTCTATATTGTTTTGACTGAGGATTATTCTGATACGATTGCGTTTTATTCTGATTTTAGGTTCTCCTACAGCCAGATCCATTTCTAAATGAACTTACTAGCATGTTTGAGAAGAGCACCGAGAAGGGTTCCGTTTGGGTTACCTTCAAAAGATGTATGTGCACAAATTTCCTTCATTGTTTCGTCACATTGATTTACTCTGTTGTGTTAGTGTAATTCGTGCTAATTAGTTTTCAATCTTGTGTCATTTCAGCATCCTTGAAGTCTAAGGTGCAGAGGAATAAAATGAAAACTGCTGGGGAAGAAATTGAGTACAGATGCCTTATTCGTGCAACATTTGGGAATAAGACAATTTCTACTTCGGTATGTATTTCTGCCCATTGAATTATATTACTTGGTCTTATCTTTAAAAAAAAAAATAGTTTAAATCCTTATTATGGAAAGTAATTCAATGAAACATGAACCAAAATATGATTTTAAACTGGGACAATTTGCTTTTAGATTCTTATTGTGTGTTTAGGCGCATGGGGTTTCTGGCTTAGGTTTATTTACCATAGTAAGATGCCTTGTACTTATTTGTGCACAACATTAAGCCTTGAATTTAGAAGTGTTCTAAAGTTAGCGTGTTGACTGTAAACTGCCTCCTTTTGTTGTTGCAATTAGGTGTGGCTCTTCATTTGATGAGAAACATGGTTTCATTTAAATTGATAAAACATACGATCATAAAAAACAGAAGACAAGATGCTAAGTAAAGCCTAAAGCCAGAAAGTAACAATCAGACATGAATAATACGCTGTAACAGCCCTCCCTCTACCACAACAGCCCTCTAATCAGGAATAAAACAAGAAATATTTAGGGTTTCCTTATTCTTTGAAGAGATTGAAACCCACAAGGAAAACTAACTATTACTGTTGCTTCTCTCTCCTTTTTATTTTCTTGTTTTTTACATTTGCCAAAATATCTCTACTCCATAAATTAAACAAAATATTAGATCATATCATCTAAAAAAACCATTCAACTCAAAAGCAAAACTTTTTAAGTCTAGACTCCTAATACAATGGTGAAATCTGAAAGCTCCTGTGTCTTGAGGAACTGAACTAAGCTTCTTCTGAATATCTCTTTCTAATATTTTCATATGGAAGTTAAGCCTTTTCATTTTTTGGTGTGATTTCAAAAGAGTTCTTGATTTTGGGTTTATACTTTAGTTTAGTTGGCTAACATTCTGTGATTGGAATTCCATGGCAAAGGTTGGCCCGAAGGAGCACCAGCGCTTTCAGTCTTCTTATGCAACTGTCCTAAAGGCTCACATGACAGCTTTAAAGAAGCGGGACAGGAAGGAAAAGAAGAAGGCTGCAGAGGCAGATAAGAAAGGAGGTGCAAAGAAGCCAAAGAGGGTGTGAAGAAGCCCCCTTCACTGTACAGCCCCTGCGCTAAACTGGAACTTCTTTACTTGTTTCCTGTAAACTTGTCTAGAATTTTAGCAACGGAAAAAAAAAGAAAAGAAAGTAGTAACATCCTTAAATGATTTTTTCCCAAAATTTTGGGCTTAGGTATTTTGAGCGCATAATGGATGTTTTGAACATGCCCACCTGAGGATGAGATGTTAATTCTGCTCGATATGGTTTCATGATTTGGATGAATTAACATGAATTTTTCTGCAGATATATCTTTTATTTTTATCTTGCTGGATGGTAGAGCAAATTGTGCATCAGGTTTCTATAATTGAGCCTCAAAATGCATATATGATACAGCATGAAGAACGCTGATATTGAGGCTAGCCATCTCTCTCCCACATCTTCCTTACATTCAAACATTCTTACCTTCATTTTTCTGTCTCTTGGGCATTTTTCTATTCAATACTCGTGAGATCAAACTCTCAGTCTCTTATTAGACCTAGTAAGAAAACCATTTTTTGTTTTAATTTTGCAATTGGGGCTTATCTTCACCAAGAGTATTCAATTTCATCAAGAAGTCCCAGATGATCTTGGAGAACTTAGGGTTTGTTGAGGTGGGGTGGTTGTAGGTGTCATTACTGTTAGAATGAAGTGAGGCTTTTGATTTAGGTAATGGTGGAATGGCTTCATGTGTTAAATCTGGGATTTGGGTGTTAGACCACCGAGAAAACATGTAATCATGGTTATGTTTATGAACACGTGTCATGTGTTGAAAGGGGTTGGAGTGTGCCCGTCGATAATGACTTGGAATGCGGCTTTGTCGGGTTGCCTTAAGATTGGGAGGACTGATATTATTTGGAAACTGTATCAAGAAATGATAGAATGTGGTGTTGTAGCTGATGTTGATGTTGATACTGATGGGTATCTCATTCAAGCTTTTTGTGATGATAACAAGGTGTTGAAAGGTTATGAACTTCTTCGGGTTCTGGTAGATGGATTAGTCCCTGGAAATGCTGCTTTCAATAAATTGATATCTGGGTTTTGTAAGGAGACTCCTCCACACCATGACTGCAAAGAACAGTGTCCCAGATAATTATACGTATCAGGAGGTAATCAATTGGCTGTGTAAGAAAGGAAAGGGGCTTTAGGGGTTTACAAGTTTTTAGTGATCTTAAGGATAAGAGGCTATGCTCCAGATATTGCCATGTATACGACCATGATTCATGGTCTTTGTACAATGGGTGGCTTGGGGAAGCTAGGAAGCTTTGGTTTTGAGATGATTGAGAAGGGATATCGTCCAAACAAGTTCACATACAATACAATGATTCATGGGTTTTGTAAGATTGGTAATTTTTAAAGGGCCAAGATCTTGTACAAGGAGATGTGTGGTGGAGGTCATAAAGAAACCAGAGTCGGTTACAATGCAATGATGACAGGGCTGTGTTTACATGGAAGGACCGATGAGGCATATCGATTGTTCGAAGAAATGCCCCAGAAGGGTATTGTTCCTGATTTGATGACATACAACACTGTAATACAAGGTTTCTGTAGGGAGGGCAAGATAGTAGAAAGTACGAACTTACTCCGAGAGCTCCTGACTCATGATGATATCATCATTGGATTGTGTGATCAAGGTGATGCTGCAGGCGGATTCAAATGGTTGATAGAAATGTTAAAGAGTAAGCGTAAACCAAAGCGGGAAACTTTTGAGAGACTGGTTGATTGCCTCTCACAAAGAGATAGGCTGGTAGATTCTTTACTTGTTTTAGACTTCATGTTTAGGACGGGTTATGCACTGGAAAAAGGCATATGCTGGTCTCTGGTTAATAAGCTTTGTGGGGAGAGTAACCATTTTGTTGAAACATGTCTATGGGAGATCTTAGAAGGAAAGTGATGTTTCAACCCTTCTTGATATGTTCTTTGTTTCTTGTGTAATTTACTTCTTTTTCACCGGAAAGTTCTATAAGTTACTAATCATTCCACGAAGTTTTTGCTTCTTGTACACAGAGACTTGAATGAAAGTTATCGCAAATTCATACTCGCAATCATGCAGTTTGCAACCCAATAAATACAGTTCCGATTCACCTTAACCAAGAAAATCAATTCTTATTCTCTAGCAATCAACCCTTCAGTTTTGGCTGCAACTGCTATTCCTATTATGATACAATTGCAGATATCCAATCCAGGGGCCAATTTTTTGCAGTAAAAACAAGAACTTGATCGTTTACGGATCTTTAACTGTCAAAAGTAGCAATAAAATGTAGGCTTTAAACTGGAAAACTCATACAAAAAAAGAAGAAAAGAACTGGGAACTTATACAATCCTCCAAAACAAAAAGGAGATGGCACACGGAAGAGGGAAGGGTCATACAATGCGACTTGGACTATTCATCTGAATCTGATGCTAAATTAGATCTAACAATATGGCGGTACTTTTCAGGGCTATCCCACCAAGTTGGGGTAGTGATTATGGCTTTTTCCAACCAGAACTTATCATACTCCTTCTTCTCAGTCAGCCGCTTGTAGAACCTTCCCCATTTGTACATGGCACGATTCAAACGAATACTCCTGGACCCTGAAAACACAAACTTGAGGTAGTCCTTTGCTAGCCGAGTCCACTCCTCACCACTGATGATGTAAAAATACTGCAAGAAAATCATTCCAGTTTGAAATGTAAATAGATATTGGGTAGAGGAAATAGTAATCATCCAGATTCTCTAATTTCGATATCATAAAATAGCAAAAGGAGGGGGGAGGGTGCTATTTTTTATAAGAAACAAGCCTTTATTACTATAAAGATGAAAAGTACAACACTGGGGAAAAGACTTCCACTGAGTTATCTAGCCATCTTTTCTACAACTAATAAGAATCATCATAACTATTACTGCAAAACGTTGAAGTTGATAGGCTTTGCACAACAAAACTCTCAGTCATGAAAAAAAATAGCCTGAAAAGAATTATCTCTGAACTCTGAAGAAACAGACTCTCAAAATCTAACCCAATCCCACAAGTGATCCACCCCCTCACCCCTAGCTCCCACGAAAGCCCTCCTATTCCTTTCCGTCAACAAGACCCAAAAATTTACCATCACAGCACATCTTCCCTACACCATGCCCCTCTATCTCTCTTGAAAGAACTTATACCTCTCAGACAATAAGGCCTTACATGAAACTGGAATATCCAAGGCCACATTAGACCCCCTAAATAATCTGTGCCACAAAGACAGAGCAATGAGACAGTGAAGCAGCAAAAGATAGCTTTCAGCAGCATTTTTGCACATCACAAGTACTCATCCTCCCATAAGCAATGATCCAAGCTACGAATCGTACCTTAGAAGGTACTCTAGACTTTAAAATTGCATGAGAGAGACTGAAGAAAAAACAGAAGAGTTGTTCTTTACTTGCTTCAGAAAAGAGAAGAACATAATTTGTAAACACAACGATTAATTCAAATAGGGGGAAAAAAAAACCAGCTCCACATCGCATTCCTTGGGCTGTTTCCAGTAGTTATTTGGCATCCCCTTTTTACCACATGGCAGCAAGTTAAGCATGGAGAGATGGATTCTTGAGAGGAAGTTGGTTTCTCGTCCACTTATGCAAGCAAAGGTGCAAACAAGGAGCAGGCAGGATTTAAGGTACATGGTAAATTTCAAAGAAATGTGGAAGAAAAATCCAAACTATGGCCAAGCATTTTAACAAAACTCAAAGGTGGAAGGTGAATCAATATTGTCAATGAATGTTTAGTGGAAAATCCTCTAGCCACATGAGGAAGCATGTGCCAAGGAGCTAGTATTCATATAAACAGCTGTAATCAAGCAGAGCACTAACAATGAGTGATACTTTACAATTAGCTAAGAGCCAGTTTTCTGTTAGGTGTGATGCTTTCACTTATGTGCATTGTGTGTGTGCCTTGTCTTTCATCTCACACTTCTAAGAAAACAACAAGCTTAACAGATAGTGAATTGTAGATACAGAATTTGCACAGAAAGACCTAATCAAGAGAAAAAGAAAAAACATAATAATGCATGCACCTCCTTCAAGAGAATGCGAGATTATTACCAGAAAGATAAATCCAACGGTTGCTAGAATTACTTGCAATGTTTCATCCAAGATTCCAGCAAGGCCTTCATCCTCAGATCCACCAGAGCCACCTACACCATCACCACTGCTGCCGCCGCTCCCGCCACTGCCGCCGCCGCCCCCACCACCGCCGGCGCCTCTCTCTTCATAGAATTCCTTCTTTTCAATCTGCTGACGTAATACATCCTCTATTGAACCTTCCTTCTTCAAATTACCCATCGCTTTCTCAAGAGCCTTCCAGGGGGAACCCTGGTTGCATTAAGAAGTGCAGTGAGAATAGAGATTTTCGCCACAATACATTGCATGCTCACAAAGATTCTTGCAGAAGTTAATGAGCATATATCCTTTTCAACTGTTCTTATTTTATAATTAGGGCCATGTCTCCATATCATAAACAAAATAATTCATCCCCTCAATGCCCCTCACCAGTTACTCAATATATTTGACTATGAAGAGCAAAAATTGAGAAAAGAACATTATAAAATTAATAATCTTACGCTTATATGCATCATAAAAAATTCCAGGAAAAAAAGTTACAATGATGACAAGAAAACATGAGAGGAGAACGTGGTATTTTTGTTCTTTTTCCTTTTGCATTACACATAGAACCATGTACAGATTTCTTCAACCTTTAAAAACTTAATTCTTTTTTCTGTTAAGAACACAAAAAATAAGTACCATTTGGAAAAGAGGATTTAGGAGGGATGTTTAAGAGTAAGACAAGACTCATGAGAATATAAAACTATCAGTCAACTTAAGATGTACATGACTAATCGTGCACAATACCACTTTTAACTGGCATTCAATTAGGCATATGGAAGGCAAAAATTGACACCAAGCAGAACGATCAATCAATTTCCAGGGGAAAGGCACCAAAATCTCAGTAAGAGAAAAAAATTTAGATGGGCAGATCAGATGGCTACCCATTTGACTCGATATCAATAAGAAAAGGCAGAAACTTTGAAGACAGTTAGTTATTGCGCACATGAAATTTCCAGTACATTTTCAAGGAACACAATTGAAGCATATATAATTCAAGTATTTAGTAGTAACCTGCAGAGGGACATGCAGAAAGGTCTCTTACCTCATCACCACCACCACTTTCATTCTTTCCCTTGCCACCCAATAAGCAGACAGGTCCAGCAGATTGGTGGTACTTAGATACAACCCTCCATTGCTTGTTCTTCAATACGGCCATGCATTTGTGCTGAATTACTTTTGGTTTCGAAGAGAAGCGGAGAGATTGAGATGTGTTTCTGAAGAAGTTGCAAGGTTGGCAGGAAGTAATCTGAAGGGTGCTCATCATCCTCAGCAAAAAGGCAAAAAGATAAACCTTCGAAATCCTAAATTGAAGCTCCAAAATCCAAAATTGACATTCTTCAAGCGTCATTGAACAATTACCCAGATCAGTTTATCGAAAAATAAACCCTAAAATTAATTACAGTAGATAAATAAATAAAAACCCAAGTGTTGGCCATGATTTTACGATTCTAAAAGCATAAAAGCCATAGCTTTTTTTTTGTTTTACCAAAAATTCTGTAGAGACTGAAAGAGAGGAGGCTCTCGTACCTTAAAGCTTGGGTTGGATTGTTCTTGTTGAGATTTAGAGTCGCAGTAATGGAGGAAGGAAGGAGGCAAATTCAATGAAGGCAAGGCAGCCTCCTTCTCAATCCTTCTTCTACCAAGGGAAAACAGATATGATTGATGTGATACGCGGGTTTATTAAGGGTTTTAACATCTAGGCCGCTCATTTTAACTTATAACTATCAACGGTTGAAATGTCATTTTCCTTTTTCAGTTCCTCTGTGATTTGTTCATAAACTGTGCGTTTGCTCAATCTTCTAACTTTTGTTTGTATATAGGCTAGTTCCACTTTTTGCCCACTCACATGAGGTTGTGTTATGGTCTGCTTGCATTCAAATTACTTAAAACATTGGCAAGATGAATAGGTGGTTGGTTATGTAGAAGCTTTTGATATGCAATATTTTATGCAAATGGTATAACATCATTTGAGTTAAAAACAATACAAGACATTAGATTTCAATTATTGTTGAAGTGATGTGTAGAGGCTCGGGATCCTTGGTGCTATTTTTCTTGTCAATTATTGTTGTTAGGAAATCCATTGCATAATTAATAGCCTGAATGTTGTTTGTTTGAAGATGAGATCAATGGGGACCGGCATGTATACGTATCATGTATTATAAAGTATATGAACCATGGTTATATTATATAACACATGACACAATTAAGAGGGGCTAGTGACCAATGAACTCTTGCAAAACTGTATCAAACATCATAATAAAGAAAAGTAAAAATATGTACACTTTCTCTTCATAGTTGTTGAGGAGCTTACGAATTTATTGGCGCTAAACATCCAATTTTTAATGTCACATTCAGGAGCTCAAAGTAGCTTTCAACAGCATAAGTAAAATGCAGTATGCATGACTCTAAGGTAAGTTGGTAAAAGTGATAATATACAACTTTTCTTCTGATCTTTTCTTGCCATATTTTAATCTGTGGGAGAGAAATCTGTGAGAGAGAGTGAAAAGAGCTGCACACAAAACTTCTCCCTCTTAAATTTGATTCAGTGTTAGAAAGATTTTCAAACTTCCTCATTGGCTGCTATTTATATACATAAGAAAACATACCAAAGAAAAAATACCCAAGTTGATCCCTTCCAACAAGGCAACAAGTTGACATGGAGACTTCCTTGTTTAGATGTTTCTCATCTATCATTACAGAATCTCCGATTTCCATCACCCATTTCTTAGCTGCAACTGTCTTGATCATTGCAGTTATATATTTTATGTTCAGAAGCAAATGTATATACCCTATCAACTTCACCTGCTACCGCCCTCCTGATATCCTGCGAGTTACAAAATTGAATTACATCGAACACATAAAAACAGATAAGTTGGCCGAAGAAGAAAGTATCAGTTTCCAAGCGAAGGTATTGGAAAGATCAGGCATTGGGGTAGAGAGTTGTATTCCCGTTTCACTACATGAGATCCCAGTGGATACTTCTTTGGGTGCTACTACAAAAAAAACTGAAATGGTTCTCTTCACTGTTGTCAATGACCTTCTTTCCAAGCACAAGATAAATCCCAAAAGCATTGACATTCTTGTGTCAAACTGTAGCCTTTTCTGCCCTATGCCGTCCATTACTTCTGTGATCCTGAACAAGTTTGGATTCTCCAGAGTCGAATAGGAAGCAAGACAAGTGAATAGCTAAGTATGAGCTCCAGCATCTTGTCCGAACACACATTGATTTCGATGATCAAGCATAACAATATGTTTTCCAGCAACCTGATGAAGCAGGGCATGTAGGGGTCTCACTATCATGGGCACTTTTTGTTGGAAAAACACAATCAGTGACTATTTAAAATAATTATATAAATAGAATTTTAAAACAATCTGTAATACAGAATATAGTATATAAACAACAAATTAAACTAACTTGGATTCGAGATAGAGGCTTGCAGAGTTGATGCAATGTCCTAAAGACAATAATTTCACCCCTTCGGTGCTTGAAGTTCTACAGGTGACTGCCTCCCAGGATTCAACTATCTGTATTCTAAGCCCTAGGACTCGGACTTAGAATCTGGCGAACTTTGATTGTTTTCCACTTGTGTTACCATATACAGAGCAGCTCCGATATGGATGGTCAGTGATCTGCAAGAAACTTTTGCTTTTGCCAAGCCATAAGGGAACTTATGTGCCGAATTTCAAGAAGGCGCATGAGCATTTCTGTATACATGCTAGTGGAAGATGAGTTCTTGATGGCATAGTAGATAGTCTCAAACTGCACAAGGAAGATAGAGAACCTTCAAGGATGACATTTCATAAATGGTAATACTTCATCATGTTTGGTTTGGTAAGAGCTCTGCTATTTGGAGGCAAAAGGAAGGGTGATGAAGGGAAACCCAGTGTGGCAAATTGCCTTCGGAAGTGGCTTCCAGTGTAACAGTGCGGTTTGGAAATGCATTTCGGATATTGATCCAACGGAGAGAAATGCCTGGTCAGACAGAGTCGATTCCTATCCTGTTAATGAGATCCCAAATGCAACATTTTGAGATCCAATGTGTTGTAAACATCCATCGGAATCACAGCATTACGTTTTCCATTTTAAATCATCTCAAAAAAGAGATAGCAAGTATAGACAGACATTTCCCTTGCTAGAAGAAAGAAGTATAAATAATCTCAAAATGAAAAATCAGAATGCAACCTTATGGAAGCCAAATTCATATTCATATCCAAATTCCTAAATGTATCAGAATCAGTCTGATTTTTAGCTACTCGCCGGAGCCAAGCAATATCAGAACCCTTAGATTATTTTTGCTTATATATCAGAACCCTTACATCAGTTTATCAGTTTATCTTATATTTCTCTGAACCCTTATTGTATCAGAACCCTTAGATCAGTTTGGCTTAGTCCAAGCTTCCTCAATTTACTGGACATTGCACGTCTTGAGCTTAGAACATTTCTTTCACTGGAGATTGGAGTGCTTTGTTACTTCACGCAAATTGGAGGTTGCCAAGTTATACAAGGCTGCTTAGTTGTCTGCACATAAAAACTTTGTGATCAAACAAACTAGACATTGCCTTTACCGACAGAACGCAACCATCAACAGAAGAACGATAGACAAATTAGGCACTTAGGAGGGTACAATCTTAATCTTATCATCACAAAGTTTTAGCTTGTTTCTGTGTAAAATCTCACCTTTGGCCATGATTGCAAAACACACTCAACATCAATAAAAAAATATATAAAAAAGAACATAAGCCGACGCAACGAAGAGTTGCATAAAGCATTTATGTTGATCAAAACTGATTGAACATTGGAAATATTTTCAAACGTCCTCATTGGCTGCTTAAATTAAATGATAAGCAAAAATATCAAAGCAAACTCCTAAGGAAACCCAGTCGAAGAACTTCACATGGAGACTACATTGCTTAGGTCTTTCTCATTTCTCGCTGCAGAATTATCTCCAATCTTCCTCACCAATTTCTTAGCTACAACTGTTTTGGTCATTGCCGCGGCTCTCTATTTTCATTTCAGATCCAAGGGTATATACCTTATAGACTTCACCTGCTATCTGCCTCCTGATAGCTTGCGCGTTCCAACATCGAATTTCATCGAGCACATTGAAATATCTGGAATGCATGACAGAGAAAGTGTCGATTTTCAAACGAAGGTGTTGGAAAGATCAGGAATTGGAGCACAGAGTTGCATGCCTATTACAGTGCATGAGATCCCACCTTATTCCTCTTTAAAAGCTACTAGAAATGAAACTGAAACGGTTCTCTTCACTATTGTCAAAGACCTCCTTTCCAAGCACAAAATAAATCCGAAAAGCATCGACATTCTTGTGTCAAACTGTAGCCTTTTCTCCCCCACACCGTCCATTACATCTATGGTCATAAACAAGTTTGGATTCCGAAGCAACATAAAGAGCATCAACCTCAGTGGAATGGGTTGCAGTGCCGGAATCTTGTCGATAAGTTTGGCGAAAGATCTTTTAAAAGTTCACAAGAACTGCTTGGCCTTAGTTCTCAGCATGGAAGCTGTAACTCCCAATGGCTATGGGGGTAGAATGAAATCCATGCTTCTTCCCAACATTTTGTTTCGGATGGGAGGAGCTGCTATCCTATTATCGAACAGGAAGCAAGATAAGCGAATAGCTAAGTATGAGCTCCAGCATCTTGTCCGAACCCACATTGGTTCGGATGATGAGGCATACCAATCTGTTTTCCAGCAGCCTGATGAAGCAGGGCATGTTGGGGTCTCGTTATCACGAGCACTTTTACGTGTGGCAACAAAGGCTCTAAGAAGTAACATGTCAGAGTTGGGGCCACTTGTGCTACCATATTCGGTGCAGCTCCGCTACGCATGGTCAGTGATCTGCAAGAAACTTTGGTTTCTACCAAGCAAAAAGGGAATTTATGTGCCGAATTTCAAGAAGGCGCTTGAGCATTTCTGTATACATGCCGGTGGAAGGGCAGTGATTGATGGCATAGAAGACAGTCTGAAGCTGCACAAGGAGGATGGAGAAGCTTCAAGGATGACATTACACAGATTTGGCAATACTTCATCTTCTTCAGTTTGGTATGAGCTCTGCTATTTGGAGGCAAAAGGAAGGTTGAAGAAAGGAAACCGAGTTTGGCAAATAGCCTTTGGAAGTGGTTTCAAGTGTAACAGCGCAATTTGGAAGTGCATTTCAGATATTGATCCAACAAAAAGAAATGCATGGTCTGATTGCATCCGTTTCTATCCTACTCAGAATGACACCCTTAACTAAGATGTTCTGAATTGCTGTTGTAATTTTATTTAACCTTTGTTGTATTGTATCCATTTTCAATCCAAGAAAAGTTTCATGTTTTTCCTTCTTCGCATCGATTCCATATCCGACATTGTCTTTCTGGTTTACTGGTTTAAAGTTCTTAATTAGATCTTCAAATGCTCATACCATATCATTAACTTTTATAATTGCACAACAGGCGATTTTTTTCATTCCCATCCATCACAGGGTTTTAACTTTTAGAAGCAACAAATAGACCAAAAACAAGCAAAATTGGTGATTACAATTTGATTTTGCAGAAGCCATTAATCTAGTGCAATGAAATAATTCAAGTACTTTCACACAAAAATAAAATAAATTCAAGTACTCAAAACTCTCTAGAAGCAAAGGGATGTCGTAGCGAAGCTAAATTGAGAGTGCCGAAATCACTACCCTTTACAAATCAATGTTACTTCACTCACATGTTAATGCCTTCCCCCCAACCTTTTTAGATAAGCAATGGATTTAATTTCCAATTAATTGATGGTGGGGAAAACTATGATGGGAAGATTCTTTTAAGGTCGCTTGTTTTAAGTTCTGGGCATTTTTCCACAGCCAATACCTCATGATCCTTGAAGGTTCACTGGTCACCTACGTAAATATTCCCCTGCTTGAAAAAGAACCTGAAAGCAAGTGAGACTCCCCGACATGAGTCGAACGATACTTCATAAGATGGAAAGACAAGTAGACAAATAGGGCAGGAACAGATGTAACTAATAGGGGTTATGCACATGAAAACGTTGTGACTGAACAAACTAGAGATTGCCTTTACCCATGAAATGCAACCATCCAAAGAAAACGATTGGCAGTTAACTTGGACACTTTAGAGTTGGATTTTTGTAGGATAAGTTGGAGCATCTCTAATAGAAGTCGAAAAAACGCAACTCTAACCATTCTCCCTATTTAGCTCCTAAAATAGGAATACCTCTAGGATCTCCTCCTAGAAATGAAGAGAGAGAAAGAAACTCCTAATGGCTCCTTATAATTAATAATCATTATTTTAACATTATTCTAAATATTAACTTTAATCATATTGGCTCTTAGTCATTATAACTCCTAAACTAGGAGGATAAAGGAGGATAAAGGAGCTCCAAAAATAACCTTTTAGTCGTTTTATCTAATCTTTAACTTCAAAATAGGGAGCATGATTGAAGATGCTACCTAAAAAAGTAAGAAAATTTGCAAATTCTAATGATGCCATTATCCTCTATACACTAAATAAAAGGTTGTTTGAGGTTATGATTTTATTAAATATGAAAAGCTGCTTTTTATCTCCCAGGGTTCTTTTCAACAGCACAAGTAAAATGCACTCTACATGAATCTAGGTGAGTAAGCAATAGTGATGAAACACAAATGTTGTTGCGACAGTTTCTTGAGTCGAATTGTGTGTCTTGATCATATTGCTAAATTTTGATTGAACATTAGAAAGTTACTCAAACTTTCTTTCCTCTTAATACATAAGCAGAAATATCAAATCAAACTCCTAGTTAACCCTGCCCAACGAGTTGACATGGAGACTGCACTGCTTAGATCCTTTTCATCTATCATTCCTGAATCTCCAATCTCCCTCACCCATTTCTTAGCTGCAACTGTTCTGATAATTGTTGTTCTCTGTTTTACATTCAGATCTAAGAGTACATACCTTATCGACTTCACCTGCTATCTGCCTCCAGAAAGCTTGCGGATTGCGAAAGAAAGCTACATCGAACACATTGAAATGAGTAAACTCTATGACAAAGAAACCTACAGTTTCCAAGTGAAGGTATTGGAAAGATCAGGAATTGGAGAGGAGAGTTGCGTGCCTATTGCACTGCATGAGCTCCCTCCTCATTCTTCTTTGCACGCTGCTAGAAAAGAAACTGAAATGGTTCTCTTCTCAGTCGTCAAAGACCTTCTTTCCAAGAACAAAATAAATCCTAAAAGCATCGACATTCTTGTGTCCAACTGTAGCCTTTTCTGCCCTACCCCGTCCATTACATCTATGGTCATAAACAAGTTTGGATTCCGAAGCAACATAAAGAGCGTCAACCTCAGTGGAATGGGTTGCAGTGCTGGAATCTTGTCTATAAGTTTGGCTAAAGATCTGCTAAAAGTTCACCAGAACTCCTTGGCTTTAGTTCTCAGCATGGAAGCTGTGACTCCTAATGGTTATATGGGTACCAAAAAATCCATGCTTCTTCCGAACCTTTTGTTTCGGATGGGAGGAGCTGCTATTCTATTATCCAGCAGGAAAAGGGACAAGCGAATAGCTAAGTACAAGCTCCAGCACATTGTCCGAACCCACATTGGTTCGGATGATGAAGCATACCAATCTGTCTTCCAGCAACTCGATGAAGCTGGACATGTAGGGGTCTCACTGTCACGGGCTCTTATACCCGTGGCAACAAAAGCTCTCAGAACTAACATATCCAAGTTGGGACCTCTAGTGCTACCATATTCTGAGCAGCTACGATATGTATGGTCAATCATCCACAAAAAAGTCTTGTTATTACCAAGCCAGAAGAAAATTTATGCACCAAATTTCACTAGCGCTCTACAGCATTTCTGTATACATGCTGGTGGAAGGGCAGTGATTGATGGAATAGTAGATAGTCTCAGGCTGGACAAGGAAGATGGAGAAGCTTCAAGGATGACATTACATAGATTTGGTAATACTTCATCTTCTTCCATTTGGTATGAACTCTGCTATTTGGAGGCAAAAGGAAGAATGAATAAAGGAAATCAGGTTTGGCAAATTGCCTTTGGAAGTGGCTTCAAGTGTAACAGCGCAATTTGGAAATGCATTTCGGATATTGACCCAACAGAAAGAAATGCATGGTCAGACAGAACCTACTTGTATCCAATTGATGAGGTCCCAAAATAAACCTTTTGATATCCAAAGTGTTGGTTATCTCTACGATATAGTTTGATAATAAACATAATTTTTAATTCTTAAAACCTGTCTGCCCTGCTCAAAAGTTGTTCATTAGCAACCAGTCCTGTCTTCAACAAGGTTGGGAGAGAGGAGCCAATGATGGCAAAATCGTGACCACGAGCGTCCAACATACACAAACTCTATACCCATGCATCACCTTATTTAAGATTATTAACAGGGTTGTAAGAAGGAAAAAGAAAAAGGAAAAAAACCACACATGGATAACTGATTTGTTATATTCACGACAGCTCCTTTGGTAGTCAAAGTTTTACTAATTGCCACTAAGAGGAGAAAAACGGGTAAATTTATAGTCTATATAGTCCCCTCAGTAGGAAGAAGAGGAAAAAAATTTGGGGACAGTAAGTTTCTTATAGTCTCCCTGTAACCCCATTCAGTAGTCAAAGCTTTACTGATATCCACTAATAAAAATTGGATAAATATATATAGATTATGACTGAATTACAGCATCTGGTTACATGCATGAAAGGTTATACAGTTAATATTCAATTTGTGTACTGTACAGAGGGTCAGACAAACCAGTCAAAGAAGCATCGGCTGTAATACGCCAAGCAACTGGCTCATATTTCTGAAGACAAGTTATACTTGACAGTGCCAAGTGTTGACCTCAACCATCAAATTGCACTGTTTTTCTCACAAAATGTTGAGCTATGATGGAAGATACCAGGAATTTCCACGGATGTCAAACTAAGTTATCCTTCTTACGAGATTTTGAAGCTTTTGAAATCATATGTTGCTTCGACAGTACATCCGCAATGTGTTGGCGACCAAATAAGTGAGAGTTTTTCAGTATTAGGTTTCTTGTAGCTGAATCAACAACATAACCTTGTCCTGGCATCCACAGTAGCATTTGAATAAGCAATTCCTTTTTCTCAGGGAGTGCGATATAGCGTGATATGGCCATCTGAAATAGTCCCTGTGGAATGCAGGAAGGAAAGGGAGCTATGATTTCAAACTGTCAAAGCTGAACAGAAGAGATATGCCAAAAGCTTCCACTGAGGATCTAACATGCATTAAAGATTTTCACCACTACTAGGTGTTCCTCATGTAAACCCCTACACCCCATGCACTGGGGGTTCACTAAGAAAATATTTTTCTCACTTGTACAAATAATTAAAGAAATAAGGAACAAAAAGGTAAATAAAATCCACCACAGGAATTGCTCCCTCCCTTATCTCACTTCAATTGAATAAAATCCCAGATAAGAATCCCTCCCTCCCTGGGAGGTAGAGTTTGTTAGCAGCGAAGCGCGCCTTGATGACTCACCCACATCACCACAAATGTGTCCATGTCTCATCAATCTTCTAAATATGCATGCCTAGAATCTGAAAGTCAGAAGCAAGTGCTTCTAGAAAAAAGTAAAAACATTCTGAACCAACTTATTGTGACCCATGATTATTTACCTGATCAATCTTGCAGCCAGAAGCGTCAATTACCTTCAACACATCATTTATCAAGTTGATGTTTCCCAACTTCAGAAAGGCAGTTGAAAACTTTTTAACAGCAGGCTTAGAAATCAACCCTGCATTGTCCTGAACATTTAAAAAAAAAACGCTTCAACAAAAAGTTGTGAGTTACGCAAAGAAGAAAGGTATCTTCAAAACTATATAGCTAACCTTGACTACTACATAAGCATCTTTGAGAAGCTGTCCTGCCAGTAGAATGTGCAGAATCTTCTCATGAAGGGCCTTGCACATTGTCCTCTTGCTATATCTTAGAATATTGTAAACAGAATATGCTTCTGAATATGCTCTTATCTTACCAAGAAGAAACATTAAGGAGGAACAAAGTTCCTGTAATACAGCATAGTGTTATTTTGAAGTTGGTTTACCAATTTTTATCACAAGATACCACTGTTTCAAAACTAGGAGTTCTTGCATGTATGCATAAGTAAAGAATATACTTGTGGACAAGGAGCAAAACAGTGATAAACCTTAAGCACAATACAAGAGAGGATTGATAAATAGAAATATTGTAAAGCCCAAATCCAAGGGCTAAACCCTAAGCCTTAAACTGCAACTTTACACTTAAAAAGTAATAAACCATGTGGGGACTGAACTAAAATACTTACAAAAAACATAGACATAAATTTGAGCCGTGGCACAAACAGCACCCTCCTAAGAATTATTTTATTTATATATACACACATATATATGTCCACTTTTGATCTCCTACTCACCCGTGAGAAGACAATTCATGCTCACAAGCCATAGATCAAAAATCTAAAAGATCATATTCAATCCCCATAGAGTAGTATCTTATTGAATTTGGATCTAACTGTTGATGAGCATGTTGGCAACATTAGGTAATATACCATATATGCTAACCTTTAATGGCTCAAGAGTATCACCTGGAAGGCAACATGAAGCTAAAAGGTAGTAATTATATCACTGACCCCCATCCCCAACCCAAGACTCAAGCATCATGTTAATCAAACCCAAACTTTCACAAACTAATACAATGATAAGCGTAAAAGTAACATAAGGCAAAAAAATAATAATAATCTACGTGATCCCCATCAGATACTCCTGCTCGCAAATAGATTCTCTCATTAAATGGATCAAAAATCATCCAGCGCTCAAGTTGCAAACATTTACACTTGCAATATTCAGTGTTCAAATAAAACAACAACTATAACTAAGATCCAAAGCCCTGCATCTTTCGTGCATAGAAGCTCCAACAGCTAGGGTTCCCTACTTTTTTTCTCAGAGATCTCTTCTTTTTCTTTGGTCTATTAAAGGCCTGATGCACTAATGCAAAAGACGATACAAGGGTAGTGCTCACCCATCCCATCAAATCCCCATCCCTTTTAAATGCCAAAGGACTTATCAACTAAGCTGCTGCCTAACTAGCACTTCTCGAAAAGATCAATTCCTACAGTCGTAGTAATGTTCAAATCTAGAAGCTGGTTCTTTGTTTTATTTCCTTTATTTGAGTTCAAGAAAGTAAAATGGTTTAGTTCAACAAGTATAATCAGGAATATGCATCTTGAAAGAACATTATACCTCATCTGGTTGGTGTCCCTTGTTGTGCATGTCCTCCATGGTCTGATAAGCAAGCAGGTATAACTTCTCCTTACAGAAGTATTTTATTAGGATATGGAAGGTATTATAATCAGGAGTGATTTTTAGTTCATCCATTTTTCTCAACATTTCCATTACACTATCCATTTCACCTGCTCTACAATAGGCACAGATCATTGTATTCAACATAACCAAGTCAAATTTGTCATGAGTTCTTTCAACATCCTTAGCCAACTGCTTTGCATCTTCCAGAAGCCCACCTCGGCAGAAAGCTGAAATCATGATACTGTATGAATAGCCATCTGCAAGGGGGAAAAAAACATAAATTTTCAGCATAAAGACAGAAGATTAAACTTCTGCTAGTAAGAAAAATCCTGCAAGAAATACAAATATTCACTCAAGTATCTACCAAACCTCCAAAACCATTTACACTTCTTCCATACGTCACTTATTTTTCTGCAATAGGGACCCATGCACAAGATTTGTCTTGCATAATGACCTTGTATTCAAATTTAAGATTTTTTCTTCAAATTGAAAGTGGAAGACATTATGGAGAATAGGGAAACAACAATAAATGACATCATTAGCTAGACTTGACATCATTCAGCTGGCCCAGAGACTTTTCGTGCATTGAGTGTTACATATAATTATATGCATATTTGGAGAAACATAAAAGCTGGAGGATTTGTCTCTAACAAAACTTACTTGATCGGATGGACTTCCCCTTCATTTCATCAAAAACCAATTTAGCTTCATGTATGCGCCCAGCCTTAGCAAGGGCATCCATCAATAAGCAGTATGGCATCTACAAATAGACTTAATTTGATGAGATAATTTAAAGAACTAAGAAAATGCAAATGGCAGAGCATAATGCACTTGTATCAATTTTCCAAGAAAAGTTAATATTCATGGTATTTCAGGGAATGACTCAAGGGACTCAATTTCTAGGCAATGTGACAAAAGTTAATACTATCTGTGCAAGCAAACAAACAAAGTTTCACAAGGAAATGAAATCAAACCCTTACAAATGTCATCTACAAGAGATTAATATTCATGGTATTTATTAGTCAAACCAAATTGTTGGCCTCAATTTGTTTTTGTTAGTTTCATATTTAACCTGTTAGATGATATCGTAAAATTAAATACTTTTGAGATTTCATAAGCTCCTGTTTAGCTCTAAAGAACTATTTCCAAAGAGAAACCATAGCAGTGTCAAAGTAGATAAATCCTGGATTTTAAACTAACAATTTAGTTGGAACGATCTTAGTGTACCTCATCTTCAGCATAACCCAAAGCTTCCAGTTCAGCTAATAGTTCTCTTGATTTTTCAAACAGCCCACCTCTGACATAAACCTTCAATAAAGTTGTCAAAATAACCTGCAAGCATTTGCAGTAGGACAGAAGACATTATCACTAAAGTCTAGAAGCTATGTAAAATGTAAAAATTTGGCAAATAATCAGCAGTTACAAATAGAAGCATCAACAAGGCCCCCATTTAATGTTTTGCTAAAATAAACAGCACTTATGTTACAATTTGTGAACGAGACACTGCAAAAACATCTAAAGAAAACTGCAACCAAACTGATTGGTTGCTATACATTAATCTCTCAGGCTTACATAAGCAAAATTCTACCAATCAATAGAAGGAACTGATAAACATTACTATATTCTTTTGATAAGAAACATAATCTCATTAAAAGAAAAGACAAAAGTTTGAAAGTAGAGGATATTGTTCACTGATCTACACGTTGTTAGAGGATAAGAAGCATAATCTCATTAAAAGAAAAGACAAACGTTTGAAAGTAGAGGATATTGTTCACTGATCTACACGTTGTTAGAGGATAAGAAGCATAATCTCATTAAAAGAAAAGACAAAAGTTTGAAAGTAGAGGATATTGTTCACTGATCTACATGTTGTTAGAGGATAAAATAATTGTTGGAACAGTGGTAAACTAGCAAACATTATTATGGTACCAAAGCAGGAGATCCTGAGTTCCAATTACTCAATTGCAACTTCCCAGTGGTGTAGGGAGGCCCGCATATGAGGCTGAACGGAAGAATATAGTGTAATTGTCGTCCTAATAGCTTATGCTTTTGGGAATAGTGGTAAACCAACAAATATCATCATCAATGTATATTATTAATTATCTTAATCTAATACCTAAAAACTAAACCCACTACACAATGCTTATGTCAGCACTTTTATTTAAGTTACATATTCATATATCACTAACATATACAACTACTAATAGAAAGCTTCAAAGAGAGGGAATCATATATGGTAGTTAAACATGAACAAACCTTATTAGGTACTAACCCTGCAGATTTCATATCCTGAACCAAATCATCAGCCTCTTTGTAGTTCCCACTTATAGAATAAGCATTAAGCATAGAGCTATAATGAAAGACATTTGGTAAATAGCCTTCATTCTTCATCTGCTTAAAATAACCTTCTGCTTCCTCTAATTTATTATTAGAAGCACATACAGCTAAAAGTGTACCATAAATACACTGTCCATCTGCAGCTCATTGCGCTGCAATTCTTGAACAAGTTCTAATGCCTTAGAATAACCATGTTTGACTTTGTTGCAGCCTGCAAGGAGCTAGCATGACAGTAGATTAATATTAATGAAGGTCGAATATATGAATAAGTAACCAGTATTGAACAGTTTTGCTCATCAGAAAAACAAGGGAGCTTCAGTTGCTTATCAGAAAAACAAGGGAGCTTCAGAAAACTAACATCTACTGCTGCGAGATGGTATTAAACATTTCTAATTTCATTGATCAAATTAATGTATTAATATGCTAATTATGACAACTCACAATCTTTGATATGTTCTTCATAGAGGCGGTATAAAATGTCACTGGAATAGTTTTATCCTTTTTTGTCTTTCACAATATACTTGCACATTGGTGTATAACAATGTACTTGAAAAAAACAAAGCGCTATTCACAAAATTAACATCTATATGTGTTGGTGTTCGATTTTTATTTATTTATTTCCTTCATTTATGATAACTGTTAATTGTTTTGAGTTACAACGATTAACAATCACTTTGTATTCCTTAATGTTATTATTCTTCTTTCATAGATCTTAATGTTATTCTTGCTCTATCTAACTTTGTCCTCCTATCTGATAAATTGTTTATCTGTTTGCTTTATAAAACTGAATGGATGAATCAAATGTCAGTGGGAAACTATCTCTAATCCCCCACAAAATAGTAATTTAATTTTGTCTATTTTATCATTGAATTTCCTCCTTGATTAAGATTCAGCACCATCAACTCTGTCTGTTATCATTTTATATGAGAAAACAACTTTTGTTTGAAATGCTAACAAAACCAATATTGATACATTGAAATGCATACCGTACTGTACGTGACAGCATCTGGTGTTAAACCATCCTGCTTCATCTGGTGAAATAACTTAAAGCTTCCATCAAATTTGCCACTCCTGATCAGACTACCAAGAACAGAATTGCATATGTGAACATTCTTTTTGATTGATGCATCTTGAATATTATTGTATATTTCTAGTGCCTTTACAGGATTGAGGCTCTTTCCCATGAATTTTATATAGCTGCTATAGGATGATGCACTAATTTTTCCATTCTGTTGCATCCATTCAAAGAGCTGTAACAATTGTAAACATATCAAAATATTAACAACTGGATTCAGAAACTAAATAAGTTAGGTAGAACATTCAAAAACACGTCAAAGGGAAGAACATCATATTATGTTTCGTTAATTCATAGAACCTGAGAAAGATCGTGCCATCTTTTCAGTATCCCAAAATGGCGTATTATGGCATTCAAGTCTTGGACCTTCAAACTCCCACCTAATCTGAGGGAAAAATATAATGTGAGTTACACTATATAACAGAATAGATGTTGCACACATAAAAAGATTACTTCAAGATTGGAAGAATCAATTAAATACAATATCACAAAAACTGAAACTTCGGTATTGCAAAACAAGTCTAAAATCCAATTACAATTCTTGTTTCGTCAACCAAAAAAGGAATTCCTCAATGCTACTGGAACAGTCACCTAATCATTATGCTGCAGATAATCCTAAGCTATACCACATCACTAAAACATCAGCTTAATGGATGAAGGCAAGCTTCTAACTAACGTGTTCAGAAAGCCATCTGTGAATAAATTAAATAGAAAGAAAAAAGCAAAAAGTAAAGAAAAGTAAATTCACCACAGCATCCCTTCTAGTACTGAATACTGCTAGAATTCAAGAATAACGTAAAAGAGAGGCATTTCCCAAATACAGATAGGAACAACCATGTATAGAGACACCAGTAATAGCGACTTAAACAGTCCCTCCATGAAAATGGAAAGAAGAACAAAAAAATATGCATGGGTAACTTTCAGTAAAATTAGAGAATATATAATGTAGATATCTAAGACATGGAGAACAAAGGGGTTACACACTTTAAATAATATTTTCAATTATTTTTTAGGATAAACCAGTATAGCGAACCAAAAAAAGATTACTTTAAAGCCCAGTATCATTTCATGGAGAAAAAAAAACAGATGAAAAATGAAAATCAGATGACATGAACATGAAAATTTCCCAATCTCAAAAAATATTAGCATATCAGTTCAGAATACATTTAAACTATGCTCTGAAATAATGATAGCACATTCTTTTTGCCAAAGTATTCAATGTCCTTAACACTAGTTAAGTTAATTTTGGAATTTGGAAGGATAATAGCTCATCATATGTATAAAACACACATACTGAATCTTTGACTCCACTATAAACTGAATGATGTCAGTGAAAAATAAAAACCAAATTGTTTTCGAGAATAAACACTTCATAATCACAAGAATCAAATTGACCCACAAAAATATATATATGTATAAGAAAAACACAATGCAGCCACTACTTAGAAAACCCAGTTCAAGTTTCAATTAAAAACTGTAGTCCATGAAGCAAAGTCTGTAAATATGTCGAAACAATCAAACAGTCAAATTTTACTTGCAATTAAAATGAAAAAAATTACAAGACATTATAATAGCCAATTTACTTGCAATTCAAACAAAACAATCAAACAGTCAAATTTTGCTACCAACCACTAAACCCAGATGTTAATTCAACGTAAAATTCATCAATCACCTGGAAGAAAAACTCAACAATCTAAATGTGCAGAAACATTAACTGGGTCAACTGAAGTTATCAAAAAAGAAAAAACCGGAAAAGGACCTTGTAAGAGCCGAATCCAAGTCAGAGGACTCTTGGACCTCAAGAATAGCAGACTGTCTAGCCAAGTATTGCTTGGAGTGCCGCTTTGAGATTCCGCTGCCATTGTTGGGAGTCTCAGTGTGGCGTTCTTTGACAAGAGTTGTGGCACAACAGAGATGAGAGTTCTTAGCTCTTGTGCTCCTCCATGGAGTCGCAGAGAGAATAGAGACAGAAGAAATGGGTGAAGGGCCGCAGAGGACATGTTGGACACCGACGCCATGTACCGACGACACCTCCATTTTTGCAAGCTTGTGAGGGACTGAGGGTGAGACAGATGGAGGGATGAGCATGTCTGAGTTGGAGGAGGGAGGATATTAGTTCCGGAATTGAGATTTGCATCGTTGGATAAAATCAACGACTACGATTGAATTTTAAATCCCAGCCCAAGTTCCTTTTCTCCCACTTCCAGGCCCAGAAATCAAATTTAATGTTGTCTCCAGCGGTGATTGCGTCTTTGTTTTTTCTCATCAAAATTCACAAGTGCCTCAAGCCAGTATTTATGACTTATACAAGGTAAATTTATTGGGGTTGTTAATGGCATAACAAGCCTAATTTCTTAAGAACAAATTTGTCACGGTAGGAGATAAGAATGGAGAGGAGATGGAGGAGTTGATAATTTGGGGGAGGGGGGAGATGACGGTAGAATGGATGGTAAAAATCCCCGCCGAGTATGGTCCCAGGTCGTTTCGGGGAAAAATCGTGAGGGCCTCTTTACCTTTCTGTATAAATGGGATTCTATTTGTACAGTTATGTTAGAATCCCCAAATTTTAAAAATTCCTTATTGAGGACGGGTTGGGATGATATTGTTATCCCATACTCGGGGCGATAAGTAATATTATTTATTTTTCTAAATTAAAATATAATACAATATAACAAGCAAAAAGGTTACTCTAATGACAATTTTCTACAATCATTTTTATGTGAAAATTATAGACATTTGCTTGGGCATTACATACAAAATTGTTGGATGTTAATATCTAATGACACATTCAATAAACAATATAGGCTGCTGTTGTGTTAGTTTGTTAAGTAGGTTGTAACAGTTTCGGTTAGTGAGTGGTCAAGGAGTTTAGGCTTGTAAACTTGGTAAGAAGAGAGTTTCAATACAAGCCTAAGATTCTGGTTTCTTATCTGAACTTTCTTCTCTCCAATCTTCTTCTGCTCAAATACATATTGTTATGAATTTTCCATGTTGACCAAGCGTTGAACACATAGAAAGTTTTTCCATGTAAGATAAATACTTTTTTAAAAAAATAAAAAATTCAGGAATTTAGGGCGAGTTTGGTAGACAATTTCCGACGGGTACGGGAATGGGGATTCTACGAAAATTCTTTATCGGGGATGAAGAGCGGGAAAGGAAATGATATTGTCAAACCAGGCCCCAAACCGGCCCGTTGCTATAACGAAGATAATTAAAAAAATTAGATTAAGTTAAATATATGTTTGTTGATGTGTTATGCATTAATTAAATTATTAGAAAGGTCAAGATACCGCAATAAATGCAAACATCTGCAGAGGCTCGAAGTCCTAATATGATCTGACTCTGATTTAATCACATATGGATTGACAAGTTAAATTCTGATTCGCTCACCGGGTCTAGTCGAGAAACATCCTTTTCCAATAAAAAAGAGAAAGTTTACCCCGGACAGCCCCCGAGGGCCCCTGCCTGGCGAGGAGGAAGACTTGAAACTCAAGTCTTTCCCAGTCAAAACAAACACAAATCTCAAGTCAACATGTTTAACCACTTAGCGCATCTCCTCTTTCAGTCATCCAGTAAATTCTCTCTTCCAAAACTGAAACTCTCTTCTTCTTCTTCTCTCATCTTTCTTTTTCTCTTTAAATTTCTCTTCTCTGGAGTTTCATATCAAATAGTTACTGATCATCATCACGATGATGACTGGAGAAGAGTCCAGTGCCACTGCCGGCCAAGACTGCATGAGTTTGCTGAGGACTTTAGAACGCGACCAAATTTTGCAAGTTTTGTCAGATGGGTTTTGCAAAAACTGCCAAGTCCTCTTGAAGGATCGAATTCACAGTAAGAAATGAACAGCATTTTGGAAGTTTTGTCAGATGGGTTTTTGCCAAAACAATAAGAGAGTTGTTGTTGTTGTTATTAAAGAATTATGATCAGGAATGGTGTATTTTCTCCTCTCTTCTGATGTCCTTTTGAATTTCTTAGGAGGGATTAGGATTTGATGCTAATTAGGGTTGTTTTTCTTTTAATGAATAACTTCTGTTTTTAGTCTATTCCTTTCTTCCCACTATAATCCAAGGAAACTTAAAGATGGTATCTTTTACTTACTTCTGTTGAATTCTTTGTGTAATTTGAATTAAAATAAATGCTGATGCCTAATTCAGTGTGTTTGGGGTTTCTAGGTTATATTTGAATAGCTAGGCCTAGGTTGTAAAAGAGAGCTTTTTTCCCAATTAGGGTAATGTTAAGGTGGTTTAGCATATCCCATTATAACCAATTAATCCTTTCCTTTTTTGTTAAATATGCAGAAAAAGTAGGTAATGTATCCTTTTCTAGTGATAATAACAAAAGGGCTGTGGATGTACCAAGCCAGTCCGGGAATGCACCAATTGCGCAGTCATCGGAGAATGCTAGTATGGAGTCATGTGATAAAAGGTTTGACCAACAAGAGTGCACTCCACCCCAAACAATTCCTATCCACTCATCAACGCAGAGAGGGTACACTGCTAATTCTTGGCCCGCATCCATAAACAACAAAAGGAATTCAGTTGAGCGTTCAGCTTCTCCAGTATTATTCAATGATGCAACCAGAGGAGATTCCTCTTTCATTTGTGGTGGATTATTGGAGGATCCAAACGAGCATAATCGAGTTTTACAAGTTGGGAGAGAGAATGACTTCATCCACATTGAGAGTATAAATGGTAGACGAACAAATGTGCTACAGGGCTTAGAGCTACATACTCGGGTTTTTAATGCCACTGAGCAGAAGGAGATTGTTGAATGTGTCTACAATTTACAACGTATGGGGCAAAGGGGACAACTTAGAGGTATGTGGTCATATATTCTCTTTCTCATTCTCCTCTACTTTGTTAGTTTAGTTTTAAATCAATTTCTTTGGACAGATTAGTGATCCTGCACATGTTTTTTTTTCAGACAACTGTTTGTGTTCCTAGATTGTGCTAAAATTAAGTAAAAGATGAGTTAAATCATAGTTTAGATGATTGGGATGGATTCTATAGTACCCTCTCCATGTACTTTTTGAAACAAAATTTAGTAGAGAGATTAACTTTGTCCATAGCACTTGATAATTCTTTGAACTATTTAATGCGTAGATAGCATTTCTAGGGGAATATCTCTATAAGAAACCAGAATTTCCATGGTGAACCTCAATTTGACTAGATCTAACTTGGTATTTTATTAATAGGATGATTTGTACCCATTAGCTATCCTGAAAAAGATATGAAAGCATGCTGTTGGGATTGTTTAACATATATGCGAATCAAAATGAATAAGACGTTTCTTATCATTCTGTTTGTATATCTTGCAGAGCGGACATATTCCGAACCTAGAAAGTGGATGCGTGGTAAAGGACGTGTAACAATACAATTTGGTTGTTGTTACAATTATGCAGTGGTACCTTCCTCTTTTCTCTCTGCCATTAGTACTTGATTTAATTGCAATTTATATTAGTATTACCTTATTATGTGTAACGTTACAGGATAGGAATGGGAACCCTCCAGGTATTGTTAGAAATGAAGATGTGGATCGCCTACCCCCTTTGTTCAAGCAAATGATAAAGAGGATGGTCAGTTGGCATATATTACCTCCAACATGCATCCCTGACAGCTGCATTGTGAATATATACGATGAAGGGGATTGTATTCCTCCTCATATTGACCACCATGATTTTGTTAGACCTTTCTGCACGGTTTCATTTTTGACAGAATGCGATATACTTTTTGGTTCAAATCTAAAGGTTGTGGGTCCAGGAGAGTTTTCAGGACCTGTTTCTCTACCTTTGCCTGTTGGGTAAGCTTTGTGTACTGCTTCTCTGCTCAATTGATCACTTCTGTTTTGATTGTTTAATTTTTTTGTATTTATACAATCAAATTCCTTATGAAATGCATCCTCACTTTTCAATCAAATAACACATTCATGTTAGAGCCAGAGAAAAATTTGTATATTGGTTGATACATAGAATTAGAAGAGTGTCTCATCTCACCTACACAATAGTCAACTCTTACGAAATTTTGTCGTACTAGTGAATAGAATCGCCTTGTAATGGAGTAAATATGTAAGGAATGTAGGTGTTGGATTTTCTAATTATTTGTTAATTGTTATGCATATGTTGTGCAGGTCAGTGCTTATTCTAAATGGTAATGCAGCTGACATTGCTAAGCATTGTGTACCTGGTGTTCCAGCAAGAAGGTATCCTATCATGTTCCCCATTCCATACAACACAACAATGTTTTCTTAACTTGTACTTCCTGATTATTCAAACTCTGTTATCGTTGCAGGATTTCAATTACTTTCAGAAAAATGGATAATAGCAAGATTCCATACAATTTTTCTCACGATCCAGAGCTTCAGGAAATGAAACCTATTGTTCATTCTCCCTTTTCCAAATCAAAAATCCAGCAAGATGAACAAGGAAATCCTTATTCCTATTTTCCAGTCAAGTCACAAGTCCAACATAACTTGCATCGAGACGACGAACTTAACCATACTGAATCCAAGAGTGCTAAGAAGCGGAATATCAACTCTTCTTTTTTTCTTGAGAAAGATGATTTCCCTCCCCTTGGCAGTTTAAGGTCTGTGAACAGACGGAACGTCAACAGACGATGAGTTACAATTTTAATATTCTTTTTTTCATTCTTAGCTATTAAATTTATGTATCAGGTAAAATAATTAAACCGGGTGTTTTTAGTATTATTTTTTCTTCTTAGCTGTGTGTGATTGTATTTCCTTGTATCCTTCAATTGAACTCTTTGCATTTCTTATTTTAATTTAATAAAAGTTTGATAAAGTTTGTTCCTATGCAGAGCAATGAGGACATATCTTCATAAAGTTTGTAAACTCCTGTCCTGGCAGGCCAAACAATTTACTTGTCTTATGTTTTGAACCTTGAAAACTAGCTCAGGGACATTTTTGTAATTTTACATTATAGTTAGATTGGAAAAAAAACCAAAGAACATTGATGCTTGCTGAGAAGGGGATTCGAACCCCGACCACCCACTTTTGAGAAAGGATCGACACCTTTTCCAGCTCCTGACTTATCTTCCTTGTCTTCCCTCTCCACCGACTTTCTGCTCCAACTCTCCTTCATTTTCAAAAACAAAAAACTAGCTCACTCTTCCACTCTCTCAGCTGCCACAAACACAAGCCCCAAAACGAAAAGGAAGATGAATATGCACGCATGGAGAGCAGTCTCATGCCTCCCAAGTACATGCGCTCTGGGTATGAACTGGAGCCCTCCTCCTCGCCAATTGGTACTCTATCTTTTCAGTTTTGGATATGTATTTTGTTGTTGAGTGAATTATTTGGTTTGGGTTGGAATTTAGGTAGTGGGTTTTGAAATTTGATCAAGTATTTGATGAATTTCAAATACTTGATTTTGAACTTAGGTTGAATTTCTTGATATGAGCTAAGTCAATTTCTTTGATGGAAATTGGGGGAGGAGGAGAGAAGAGAGGGCTGGCTGCACCTGCGTGTACTGCGATTGATTTTATTTTTTTTCCTTAACGGATGAAACGGGTTGTGTTATTCGCAAATTGTAACGGGCCGTGTTCATGTTTAGTATTTTCCACCCGTTTTCTTAAGGGTTTAGGGTTCTAGATACTGCCAACATGACACGATTGCCAGGTCTGACAATGCTAGAAGCATAAAACTGCTATTCTTCTCGTTTTTGGGGGTTATTTGTTTTTTTCTTTTGAACTCTTTTTCGTTTTTCTTTTTGGTCCACTGTTCAATTTTGTTTCTATTGCATTCAAGTCTTCTTTCTACAGAAGATACCCATGAATGGTCTCTGCAGTTTCATATCATTTAGAAAAGTCACAGGAATCCCTATTTGCTGTGCTTTGTTTTGGGGTTCTAGACTTTAGATAGTTTGTTAATATGACCCTGTTTGATTTAATTTTTCACTTTTGTGGTGTGCTGATTTGTGCTTTGTTTTGGTATTGGGTTTGTCTATGATTGTATGTAAAAATATTGTTTGTTTTGATATTGGGTTTGTTAATATGTACTAGTGAAGAAGAGTAGTTGGCTCATGAGCAAATGAAGCATGTCGAAGCTTGAAAAAACATGATATCTTCCTCTTCATTCTCAAACGTATTATTCCTCACACGCCACTCTCTTTGTTTCTATTTGCCTTATTCTCTATTCTCTTGCAAAGCTCTTATTCGCCACATCTCAAACGCACTTCTCCAATTTAACCCCAAACTCTTAAAGCCCCATTTTGTTTCCAAATTACACCCCAACCATGTCCACCACATCCCTCTCAGCCTCCAATCCAACTCCATTTCCACCCATCACTTGCTTGATTGGTCCCGTAACTCTCTCGGCTTACACCACTCCCCACAGTCCTTTTGTGCCCTTATTCATCTGCTGCTCCGTCACCGAAAGCTGGCTCCAGCTTCACACCTTTTCGATACAATGGTACGCCAATTTGGGACTCATTTTCACTATTTTGCAGCTTTTTCTGAGATTTCTCCCAATTATGCTTCGGATTCTAGTGATCTTTATAGCTTTCTGATTGAGAACTTTTGTCGGAATGGGATGCTAGATTCGTCTATTGAGACATTCATTCATATGTGTAAATTGGGAGTTCCGGTGTCTCCTTATGTGTTATCCAGAATGTTGACTTTTTTGGTTGATTCTAATTGTGTCCATGTGATTCTTGATTTATATGGACAAGTGTGTAAAGCATTGAGAGGACAGTGTTTCTGTGTGTATGAGTTTGTTATGGTTGCTCTTCTAAACAAGGGTAAAGTTGAAACGGGTGTGGATTTTCATTCCGCTGTGATTGAAAGAGGCTTTGTGGTTGATATTGTTGCTTGTAACAAGATTTTAAAGCGTCTTTGTAAAGAAAGTCTGATTGGAGTTGGGGCAGATTTCTTTAATGTATTGATGATGGGTGGTCCCGAGCCAAATGTGGTGACATTCAGCACGATGATTAACGCGTATTGTAAGGATAGGAAATTGGAGGAGGCCATTAAGCTTTATAAGGTTATGATAGAGAAGGGTGTCAGCCCTGACTTGGTTGTATATAGTATTCTAGTTGATGGTCTTTTTAAGGCAGGGAAATTGGAGGAGGGGCTTCGACTTTTTTCAGAGGCATTAGATAGCGGCATTAGGTTGGATGTAGTCATTTTCAGTTCCGTTATGGATGCCTATGTGAGAATTGGAGACTTGGTGAAGTCAGTGGAGGTCTACGGAAGAATGCTGAAAGAAGGGATCTCGCCAAACCCTGTTAGTTACACCATTCTTATAAATGGTATGTGTCAGGATGGTAAGGTCATGGAGGCTTGTGGCATATTCGGTCAGATTGTGAAGTGTGGTTTTGTGCCATCCATTCTAACTTACAGTAGTTTGATTGATGGAATGTGCAAATTGGGGAATTTAAAGGATGCATTTTACCTGTATGAGAGTATGATCAAGACTGGCTATGAACCTGATATTATTCTTTATGGTGTGCTAGTAAATGGCCTTTGCAAACAGGGGCTGATGGGTGATGCTCTTAGGTTTTTCTTTCAGGCTGTTTATAGGGGTGTAAAGCCCAATGTCTATACTTTTAATATGTTAATAGATGGTTGCTGTAGATTAAAAAGACTAAATGATGCTGTGAAGGTGTTCATCCAAATGGGAGTTTATAACATAAAACCTGATATGGTGACGTATACTGTGATTATTAAGGGTTTCTCTGAAGTAGGGAGATTAAAAGATGCGTTAGTATTTTTCTTCCAATCATTAAAGAAGGGGTTCTTGCCTGATGTTGTAACATATTGCACACTAATTGATGGTTGCTGCAAGCAGAAACGTGTGTATTATGGACTCCGAATTCTAGAGATGATGCGAAGAAATGGAGTAAGTCCTGATATTGCCATTTATAATGTTCTCATTAATATGCTTTTCAAAGAAAGTTATTTAGAAGCTGCACAAGAACTCTTTGAGCAACTTACTGAAGGTGGGCCAGAACCTGACATTGTTACGTACAACACAATGATTTGTGGTTATTGCTCTCTGAGAAGGTTAGATGCAGCTGTTCAACTTTTTCAAAAGCTGATACAGGGACAGTGTAAACCCAATGCCATTACTTGTACTATACTGATTGATGCTTTTTGCAAAGAAGGTAACATGGATGATGCCATGTTGATGTTTGATAAAATGCTGGAAAAGGATCCTGAACCTAATTTGGTCACATATAGTTGTCTTATTGATGGTTATTTTAAATCTGAAAACATGAAAAGTGCATTTGAACTGCACGAAGAGATGCTTAAAAACATCTCTCCCAATATAGTCAGTTATAGCATCCTCATGGATGGTCTTTGCAAGAGAGGACTAACGGAGAGAGCATCCCTTGTGTTTCATTGTGCTATAGAAAGGGGTTTGGTGCCTGATGTAATAGCATATGGGATTCTGATTCGTGGTTACTGCAAGGTAGGAAGAACAGCAGAAGCCCTCATTTTGTACGGCCATATGTTAATTAGTGGCATCATGCCGGACGCTGTCATACAAAGGACGATCACTGAGCATATTCTTGAAGCTGATCAAAGGAAATAATCGACCGCTCAACTGCATGATCTGCAGATAAGATCTGTTCTGTAATACAGTGTGCCACTTGGAGCCTGCGTGGTCACCTTTTTGCACCCTTTACCTATCTGGTACTACCTACTAGCTAATTGTTGTACTAGCACCATAATTTTCTAAGCCCAGGTGAGTTCATGTTGTTTCTCATTCAAATTATTAGTTACATATGTCTATATATATTTCTTGATCATTTTGCTGATAATATTATCAGAATTATTGCTTAGAGCTTCAATTTCTCAGGTTCTGCTTCGTGTGTCTTTTAATTTTCTAGTCTTAGTAGGAATAGGAGTTTCACTTTAATCAATTGTTGTAGAAAGCATTTGATAAACATAAAGCAGTAAGCCCATAAAGCCTGAAAATTCCCACTTTGCTTGAAGTTTATTATTGGATTTCATGTGACAAGCTTCAAAACTATGATCTAGTTAGCTACAAGATCATTTTTCAGTTATGAGATTACTGTGGATTAGAAATTGGTTAGCTGTATAATTTATGTTTGGGCAAGTAGTAGTAGCTTATGATTACAATATTAGGAATTCAGGTTCTAGCATTTTGTAAATTAATGTAGGATCTGTTCCTGTACAATCAATACATGCTGCTACTAGTGCTTGTTTCGGAAAAAATTTGGATGATTTGGTTGGGGAATCTACCTGTCAAGTAAGAAGCGTGTTTTATCGTTGCAGGATTTCAATTACTTTCAAACTCTGTTATCGTGGCATGATTTCAATTACTTTTAAACTCTGTTATCGTTGCAGGATTTCAATTACTTTCAGAAAAATGGATAATAGCAAGATTCCATACAATTTTTTTCATGATCCCAGGAAATTAAACCTTTTGTTCATTCTCCCTTTGGCAAATAAAAAATCGAGCAAGATTAACAAGGGAAGCCTAAGTCTTATTTTCCTGTCAAGTCACAACTTCAACAGAACTTGCATCAAGATGACGACCTTAACCGTACTGAATCCAAGAGTGCTAAGAAGTGGAATATCAACTCTTCTTTTGTTCTTGAGAAAGATGATTTCCCTCCACTTGGCAGTTTTAAGTTCTGTGAGCAGACGGACCGTCAACAGATGATGAGTTATAATTTTAATTTTTCGTTTTTTTTCTTCTTAGCTGTATGTGATTGCGTAGGGGTTAAATTTATTGTATCAGGTAAAATCATTAAACAGGGTGTTTTCAAATCATCCTACTGTATCCTTCAATAAACTGTTTGTATTTCCTTGTATCCATTTTCTTTTCTTCCAAAACTTCCTTGTATCCTTCAATAAACTCTTTGTACTTGTTATTGTAACTTTATAACAGTTTGATAAAGTTTGTCTCTATGCAGAATAACGAGGACAGATCTTCGTAACTTCCATTTTACATATGCTTTGTGTGCAATTCAATTTCTACCATATAATCTATTTTGAAAAAAGCAAAGCTTGAAAATCTGGACATCATTTCCAATATATGAGCTGTTATTGTAAGTACTAAAAGGGAGGATGCAGATACGTCTACGACAAAAACTTAATTTTGAAGTTAAAATATATGGTTTGCCTCGATTACCTAGATTTTTTTCATCGAGTCTTTCGGTTCAGATCACTCTTGCACTCCTTTTAAAATCTTTTTTTGAACAATTGAATTAATATTCAATGGTGGATGACCACAATTTCTTGGACGATCGGGACTGATATATATAATAAATTATTGATATACCAAATCCGTTGATTGGTTTGGCATGGCTAGTTTTTTTTTGGCACAAATGCTCACCCCTAATAAATTCTGTAAATTGTTTTTTTTTTTTTTTTTTTTTTTTTTTCTTTTTTTTCTTCTAATTTAAGAAGGGGTAGGAGGATTTTTTCCACACACTTGCTAAAGTGACATGGGCGTTTGAACCTGAGACGATTCGTCTACATGCCAATATCATTTTCTACTAGACTAGACCCCATTAACAACATTGCAGCAACTTTAAAATCACTCCAAAATGAGCCTTAAATAATCTTAAATGATGACCTTGAATACTGTCACGAATGAAAAAGAAAAGAAAAAATTGGAAGGAGAATGAAGCTAACAATCCTCCTTTTGTATGGAAAAATAAAAAAAGACCATCTCCTTTGGCTCTTGTTTTACTTTGAGATGGAGGAAGAATAAGAATCTCGTCAGTTGCAACCTGCAAGTTGCAAGTAGCACAAACTACAGTCTACTACACCCTGGCTTACTGATGAAGACGACCAAAGGAATCAAATCAAATCAAAAATTCCCACGCGAATAGTTTGGTGTGCCGACACACACACAATCGCCGCCCATGAGCTGACTTGACACACATTTATGCTTTCAAATTCAATTAAGACTTTCCACCAGAGCCAGCCCTATCAGGTACAACTAAGGTTCACCTTTTCTCCCCTCCTCCAACCAATCACCACCACTCACGTCTTGATGCAGAGTCCACGTGGGTCCCCATGACCAAGCCAGGCTCACTTGCTTGACACGTGTCAATATTCCTGAACAGCGAAATCAAGGCTCTGTTGTATTGTTTGTGTTCTGTTTTTCCCCTTTTCTTGAAGAAAGAAAAAAAAAATCAGAAAATGGGAAAACAACTTCAAACCGAATGATCAGTTGTTTCTCAATCAGTGAGGGAGAGATTGATGGTGAAGTGTCAATTCAAGTGGAGGGTCTGAGTTTTTTGGCTCTGAGAGTTCCTGGGATTCTTTTATTTACCGTTTATTTTCTTGAAACTCAGTTCATTGAGAGTTTGGCTCTGTTTTGAGGTCTCTTTGGAAGTTTGGAGAGAGGGATTGGTTTTTTTCACTTTTACATCCAAGCCCAGGTGAGCTCATGTTGTTTCTCATTCAAATAATTACTTATATATATATGTGTGTGTGTGTGTGTGTATTTTTTGATCAATTTGCTGATAATATTATCAAAATTATTGCTTAGAGCTTCAATTTCTCAGGTTCTGATTAATGTGTCTTTTACTTTTCTGGTCTAGTAGTAATAGGAGTTTCACTGAAATCAAATTGTTGTAGAAATCATTTGATAAGCATAAAGCAGTATGCCCATAAAGCCTGAAAATTCCCACTTTGCTTGAAGTTGATTATTTGAGAACATTTGACAAGTTTCAAAATCATGATCTGGTTAACTACAACATCATTTTCCAGTTATGAGATTACTGTGGATGAGAAAATGGTTAGCTGTATAATTTATGGTTTGGGCAAGTAGTAGTAGCTTATGATTCAGGTTCTAGCATTTTGTAAATTAATGTAGGATCTGTTCCTGTACAATCAATACGTGCTACTACTAGTGTTCATTTCGAAACCAATTGGAAGATTTGGTTGGGGAATCTTCCTGTCAATTAAGAAGTTGCATTTTAATGGTAGCGTGTTTCGTTTCCTTTTTGTCCACATGAAGTCATGTGGTGATGTGCCAAGCAAGATATAATATCTATGATTTTAGTTTGGAAGTAGATGATTAAGATGGTTGGCCATTGTTGGGTTTTCTAAAATTTTATCTTGAAGTTTGAAATTTCTAATAAAACAATACTTTTACATCGATGTAATGGGGGGGTTTGTTGGGTTAAAAAGGTTTGGAATTGGATTTGTGGTATCTCAGTTGTTTTCTTTGGCCTTGTTGACTGATAAATTTATGGACTTTTGAGCTTCCTTTCTGCAACCTACAAGCTATGAAAGGTTATGTAATTCAGCATTGTAAGCTTTTAATTTAAGACAAATATAAGAATTGAACTAATATGTTGAACCTTCTACCAGAAATCAGAATGCATTAGAATTTAGAACAAGGATTATAAAAATGATGCTTTCTTTTTGCTTTGTACAATTTTTAATTTTATTTTTTATCTGTAATCAATTCCCACATGATTGACAACCATATACCAATGTGTGATAACCTAAAAGGATCGTGCATCTTTTTGTCCTGGCAGAAGTGATCAGAATTCCATGACCACTAGCTTTTCTCTTTTTGGCAACACAAAATGTGAAATGTGATTGTATTTTAGTCAGTTCACTGTTCTGATGACATTTGATTATTTATGTGAGGGATACACTCTATGTACTGAGTCCCAAAATCCACTTGCTGCTTTTACTGTAGGTGGCGAAGGTGATTGAATAGTGACCTGTCTATAGTTAGAAAGCCTGTACGAGATGAAGTTTGTGAACAATATCCGGGACAGCTGAATTAATTATTATATGCTATTATGGAGTACACAGTAAGGTAATGATTCTCAGCTTATCTCTGTTTCTCTCCTATCACTCTCTCCTCTCATCTCTTCTATGAACCATATTTTATAAATAATATCCTTTTCTTCTCTTTATTTTTGGCTCAGCGAGAAAGCCTTCTCAAATAGAGATGTCTACATTGGAAATTTTAAGGGAATTCTGCCTCATGGTAATGGTAACTACACATGGTCTGATGGAACAGCCTATGAGGGTGATTGGGAAGAAGGAAAAATGACAGGCAAAGGGAAGCTAATTTGGACATCGGGAGCGCAATATTCAGGTGATTTCTCTGGTGGTTACCTTCATGGTTATGGCATCTTTACTGGATGTGATGGTTCTTTTTACCAGGGTTCGTGGAGGATGAATATTCAGCATGGGATGGGAAAAAAACAGTATTGTAATTCAGATATTTATGAAGGATCATGGAAGGAAGGAGTACATGAAGGTAGTGGTAGGTATTCGTGGAATAGTGGGAATGCATATTGGGAGTTGGAAAGGTGGGAAAATGTGTGGTAGAGGGATCATGAAATGGGAAAATGGTGATCTTTTCAATGGCTTTTGGTTGAATGGGTTAAGAGATGGGTCTGGAGTTTATAGGTTTGCAGATGGGGGATATTATTTTGGAACATGGAGTCGGGGCTTAAAGGATGGAAAAGGAACCTTTTATCCTGTGGGAACTAAGCATCCTTCCTTAAAGAAGTGGTGCAGCTCTCTAGATTATTGCAATGACGGAACAAGTTTGTCTGGGTTACTAAATTCAGAGGAAAGCAGGGCTCAACCAAGTGTTAAGCGCAGTTTTTCAGAGAAATTATCTTTTAGTGGACTTTTAAGAAATTCAAGTCGTATATCACACAAGGCTATGTCATTAGATAAAAATTGGACCCATTGCGATCCTTCTCAAGAGTTTATACGTTACGATTCCTTATGCGCATTGTCCCATGCCTCTGACGAAGGTCAACCTGAGGCACAGGATAACAGTTCAGTTTACGAGAGAGAATACATGCAAGGGGTGTTGATTAAAGAGAGAGCTAGTAATCATACAGAGATATCACGGAAAAGTAAACAACGAAATAAAATTGCAGTGATGCAAGAAAAGAGGTCATGTATTGACATTTTTGGAGCCCATAGTAGGAGCTATTATTTAATGCTTAATTTGCAACTTGGTATCAGGTAAATTCCTTTACCCACATCTTTGTAGTCTCAAATTATTAATACTACTGTGTCAGAAAACTGACCTCTTAATATTTTACCCGATGTCTGAGTATTAGAAATTAAACATATTGGGAACATTGGATTGCATATACCCTTGGCTGCCAGTAATTTGTTAACTCATTTAAATGCTCTCCAGGTACCTTGATTGTGCCATGTCTTTTCCTCTTTGCTTATTCTTTCTGGCAGTCAGTGAGTTTTGGTCATGGTGCAGCCGAACTCTAGTTGATCACCCTTAAAAAAGGAAGTAAAAAAAAGGTCTTTTTGGGATATTTCATGTGTGCCTTTTTTGTATTGGAGGGATCATAACTCTCTGATTTGACTTTTTGGATGTACATACATACATATATATATATATATATATATATCATAATTGGATATAAGCTTGAACTCCCAAATCAAATCTCAATTTAGTTGGGTGGGTCTGTTTTCTGCTAAACTCAATTTTTTTATAGGATGTTTTTTTATACTTGCTAAATATTCTGTTTGAAGCTCACAGGTACACTGTTGGGAAGATCACACCAGTTCCTGTACGTGAAGTTCGATCTTCTGATTTTGGAGATCGAGCTAGAATAAGGATGTATTTTCCTAGAAAGGGTTCTCAGTTTACACCTCCGCATTATTCAGTTGATTTCTATTGGAAAGATTATTGCCCTATGGTCTTCAGGTAATAGTTGTCTTATGTGCATTGTCTAACCTGTGAAAGTGAGTGACATAATGAGCATCATGCATTTGGGGTTGTTTGGTTTCTTAAGAGTGCATATTCGTCTGCATATGTGTCTCAATGAAGGGAAATCCTAAACTCTGATTTGTTATCTTTCCTCCATCATAAGAAATAGAGTTAGCCCTCAGTTTTTTTTTGGTTGATCAATCAAACTTTGTGTTTTTGGAAAAGAAACTAATGTATGAAACTTGATATTTGAAGTTTTCGGTGATACAGATAAAAAGTATAAGTTGTTCACAACAGATTGCAATAGTTATTCTCTCAACATTTCTATCTTTATAAATGTAACTTAACTACCTTCTGTGCTTCTCCTACATAATTTTCTGTAATATATATATGTGTGTATGTGTGTGTGTGTGTGTGTGTGTGTCTATATTATCTCTTCTTTTCATTTTTTAACTCATCTCTTATCATATTTGGTGATGCATATGTTAATGTGCTTGTTGTACCTGCATCTTAGATGATTATCCTCCGTAACTGCAATAGTTGTGTAGAAATAGAACTTTAAAAATGACTAGTTCTTTTAATATTCGGGTATATCATTTTTGTTTATATATACATGGCTTAATCATATACATTGTAGGATAAAACGTATACTCATTGTAACCTTGCAAGTTTATGCTTCTGATGTATCCTATGCAAATAAGCAGTTGAATCTCTTTCTGCCTAATTAAAGTGTGTTATATTTCAGGAATTTAAGGGAAATGTTCAAATTAGATGCAGCAGAATACATGATGTCCATTTGTGGTGATGATGGCTTAAGAGAGCTTTCTTCTCCAGGAAAAAGTGGCAGTATCTTCTATCTTTCTCATGATGATAGATTTGTGATTAAGACTTTAAGAAAAACTGAACTGAAGGTTTGAAGTGCAAACTTCTGTGCTATATATACATAATTATTTCTTTGTGCTCAAAACTCCTGGCAGGCCAAACAATTTACTTGTTTTATTGAATTAACGTAGCAGTTCTCTTACTCTTTTTATTTTGAACCTTGAAACTAGATTCTTAGTTTTTTATTATTATCAATTTTATAGGGTTTACATTCTATTTACTCCAGCTCCCTTTCATGTCCTTTTAAATAGTTGAAATTCATAAAATTTGATATTATCGTTCTAATTGAAAATTCTAAAAAAAATGATTAAATTCATGTCTAATTGTTTTCAACCCTGAAAGACAAATGAGTGGTCCATTTAAGGCTTCTCCTAGCTGAGTTACAGCGTTATCAGTGTTGCATTTGTTTGATCTTTATATTCTTTTTGCTTCTTGAACTTATCAATTAATTCTATGAGGACTTAGCTGTTTTCCCTGAAGGATGTTGAAATGAGTTATGAATCATTTTATTTTTCCCTTCTTATATAGGTTCTGCTCAAGATGCTGCCTAGCTATTATTGTCATGTAGGAGAACATGAAAACACTCTCATAACAAAAATTTTTGGGCTCCATCGGATAACATTAAAAGGTGGAAAAAAGGTATCTAGCTAATTATCACTGTCTCAGATTGCCCTAGTTTCAGTTCTGCCTTGCTTGTCACCTTTGATTTGTGTGACGTCTTCTAAATGCATTGTTTCCAGGTACGCTTTATGGTCATGGGGAATATGTTTTGCACTGAATTACGAATTCATCGCCGTTATGATTTGAAGGGTTCATCTATTGGAAGATCTACAAATAAAGATAAAATTGATGAGAATACCACATTGAAAGATCTTGATCTGAAATTTGAATTTCATATGGACAAGTTATTGCGAGAATCCCTTTTTAAGTAAGTACTTTCTGAATTTATTTTCGTTGCGATGCCAATATAACCAGTTTTTTATTATATTTTTATTGGGTAAAGAATGGTTTCATATCACAATGCTTAAGAAAGTACCATTTTTCATCAACTTTCTTTTATAATCAAATAATTTGTTTTTGAAAGTTACTTCAATTCCATATATAATGTGTTAACTGTGAAATTCTGGTTTTTCATTGCCTAAGCATCTTACTGGGATAACTTAATTGGTCAGAAGGTGATGAAACTTCTGCAATATAATATACTCAGTCCTGAGTTAGCTGTGACACTCTAGTTCTCCAAAGCTACTTCCAAGAGCATTTAACGGACTTACATTATGGAGATGCCAACTCCAAAAATCTTCTGAAATAGTGATTTGATTTCAAAACTAGCTAAACTTTGGTAAGAATACTTCAGAATTATTTGGGAGGGTTGGTGAAAGTTTCTATGTGGTAGGCTACCCTTATAGATATATGTCCTGCACTAGTTTCTCCTTCTAGTCCTCTGCATCTGGATCTTTGGATTCTGACATGCAAAGCTTGCCTTGAGGAAAGAGCGAAGTAAGTTGAAGATATTTTTCCAACCTCAACCCTAAATATGAATCTTTCACCTTGGTACATGGGAACTGTGTAATCCTTGGAAATCACTTTCTTTCCCTGGTTGATTTGTAAGTTAACAATGCTTTGAAATCTTCCATAGTTGATTAGTTTATTTATTTTTGCTGTTGTATAGTGTAGTGGCGAAGGTGCTTGGCCTAGTTAATGAAGACGGCAATTGATGTAAAAATATATACCAAATGCTACTGGTTTTGTTTTGTTTTTCTCCGTCCTGATATCTTTTGACCGCAAGTGCAACATCCTAAATAACTTCACAAGATCTTATTAAATGAGGAGTTTTAAGGTGATTTTTAGATTTCCGATCAAAATGGATTTGAGATAAGAATTTTTGTTTTCTCTGTTTCTGCAATTTTTATTGTTGTTTTTCATTTAAAACACTACTTATCAGTACCATTTTATTATTTTGGTAACAAAATGCTTGAACTTCTTTGTGAAGTCTTAGTAGTACGATATATATTTACAGTAATACATGGTGTGTTCACATCTTATAGTATAAGCTTGCTGCTTATCGATATGTTTGAATCGGAAAAAAGAAAGATTCCTGAGTAAGCTCTTCCACATTTTAATAATCTGTAGGAACTTTTCTTCCTCTTCATTTGCAGACAAATATCACTAGACTGCATGTTCTTACAATCTCAGCAAATAATCGATTATAGCCTTCTATTGGGTCTACATTTTATAGTTCCTGAGAATCTCAAGGCAATTTCACAACCTCCTGTACAATGCACAATCATGAGAATTTAGCTACTGGTGATGGTAGGCATCTCTTTCTGATTCAAATACCTTTAAAATGAACTTGTAATTTTTTTTACATATTTAATTACTTGCTTTTTTCTGATATCTTCCGCATTTAGTGATATGAATAGTTTCTGATTAATGATTCTTTAGCCAGCAACACAAATATCCAGTACAGTTTTGTGCATACTGCCTCCTCACACGAGTCACTCTAAACACACACTACACAGGTTGGTCACAGTAAAATCATGCACTCGGACTAAATACAAAAAAGGACTGTATGAAAAGAAAACCCGACAAATTTTATTAACAACTCAATAAGCAGCCTAGTTCTCATGAGTCTTTACATTTTTGACCAACTGACCGTAGTATTGGTCGACATTTTGTGTGCAACCCAAACACAAGGGCAGACTTGTAAGAATGAGGGTTCACAGTTGAACACCTCTTCTGATTGTTGTTTTTGGAGCTAAAACCCCAAGACTGAATGAGCTGGCTTTTGGTGGATACAGTTAAGTAATTTTCATAACTGAGAAATGGCACACACTTGAAGCATGAAGAAACGGTAAAGAAACATAATGAACATGACGGAGACTGGGGCACCTTTCCTCCAGCTAATTTGCTTCTAACACCAACCCAATTCCCTTCTTCACCTCCCTTTATCCTTTGCAGATATGAATAAAATGCTAGGATTACACTTTCCTCTTCCATAAAACTAATATAAGCAGCAGCGTCAATTCATAAATGGCCAACTCAGGTTAACTGATATTTTCGTTCTTGGTTCTTCTCCAGCCAGCTCAGCTGCATAACCTAAGACAGTGTTTCCTCTTTCTCCAGCCAGTTTGCCCCTAACGGGAGCCAAATTCCCATCTTTACCACCCTCTATCTTTGTAGATCTTTATTAAATGCAGCATTACTCTTTCTTTTTAAGTAAAAATAATATGAACATCAGCAGAAATTCAAAAAGTAGCCAGCTCAGTTGGAATAATCCATTGCTCAGTCTACCAAGACAACCCAAGCACTATGTTGATATTCCTGATATTGGGGTAAAGCAATTTTCGAAAGTCCTTTTTCAATGTGTACATAGGAAAAGAAAGGATTTTCACATTCAAGCTCTTATAACCCTGCAAGAAACACAAACCTCCTTGGATGGTACTCTTATCAACAAGTTGATCTTGGTCCAAAAAAACTTGTAATCTATTGAATGCCAAATAATAGAATTGTATGGTATCGCTTTGGAAAACCATATCATATATGTATATAGACCGAGAAAAAAGAGGGATAATTCCTCCTATTATTTACCACGTTGACTTGACAGAAGTGTAGAAGAATATTCTGATCTAGTAAATAAAGCAGGAGATAATTGCATCAGTATATGCATGTCTGAGGCTGCTTATTTGGATTATCAATCAATCTCATAACTATAATTGGAGTTAGCTATATGCATGTGCACCTCCATGTTTTTGTGCATGCTTCTGAAACACTGTATTTTTCTGAAATCTATTTGGTTACTTTTTGGGATGGCTTTCTTTGCTCATATTTGAAGTATTGTATATTTCAACTTATTTCAATTTGATCAGGTGTGACTTCTTCACAAGGGGAGCTTTTGATTCCTCCCAAAGGCCTTCTACTGGTAACTCATGAACCTGGCTCTGTCAGTACTGCACCAGGTCCTCACATCAGAGGAAGTACGTTGAAAGCATATTCTCTTGGTGACAAAGAAGTTGATCTTTTACTCCCTGGTACAGGAAGGTAGCTTCTATAATTTGCGCTTTTGCGCTTATTTTTTACACTTTGAACTTTTGCGCCATATGCATTTGGATATCATGTTACCTTGGTATGTGTGGAATGACAAACTCTGAAAAAAAAAAAATTATATTATACAGCCTAACCTACTAATTAGCTGTTATCTGATGTGCTCAGTTATGCTTATGTTAGTATCGCATCTGAGATGCAGTGCTAACTAGATTACCAATACCATAGAACTTAATAGCTTCAAAACTGTTGTTGGATTAGAGAGCAAATTTTTTTTGATCTGGCTTAGTGAATTGGCTTTTTATTAGATGCTGCTTCTGTTTGGATGTAAGAATTCAATATTCCTACTCTTAGTTTTTCCTTTTTGATTATATTCCTATGATGTGTAGTAGTTGTTCCAACAGCATTGAAACCATTGGAACTAGAAAAAAGCAGAAATGGCCGAGTTTGCTGGACTTTTATAAAATGAATTACTTCGTAATGATAACCAATGAACAACTTCTAACTTAGTTAAATAAATCAGCTAAAATTAATTTGCATTATAGTTTCAATTCTGTAACTCAAAATATTCAATATAATATCAAAGTGAAGAAATTTATTTTTCCACCTATATTTTAATTCTGCAACTCTTGTCACTCTGTGCCTTGATTTTTGCAACATCGGGAACACTGATAAATTATAGGTTTTGTCATTGAGCAGCACATAGTCACCGTCAGTTACTTTCTCTTTTCTCAGGTTAAGGGTGCAATTAGGAGTAAATATGCCAGCACAGGCCAATCTTAAGCTTCTGCAGGATGAGGTCGATTCAACAGAGGTCGAACTTTTTGAATTTACGACGTGGTTCTCTATATGGGCATAATTGATATATTGCAGGAGTACAATGTGAAAAAGAAAGTTGAGCATGCATACAAATCATTGCAGTTTGACCCTCAATCCATTTCTGCTGTTGAACCCAAGCTCTATGCTAAACGTTTCATCAATTTCTTGGAGAAAGTTTTCCCCGACCCACCATAAGGTTTTCCTCCCCTCTTTCTTGTCCATAGTCATATATCCAAGGAGGAAAATTTTTATTGTTTCTCTCCATGTTTCAAGAGCACCAATTCTTTTATATCCATTTGTAAAGTTATATAATCATAGAGACGAGTGCATCTGTTTCATGTATGGATATTTAGCAATATTTAGCAGATGGGATCTATTTGTTTTGAATAAAAATGTCTCTGCTATTTAAGTTTTGCGATGAAACGGGACGTGGTTCCTATCACTCTACATGGAGCACTCTACAAACGCGATGGTGAACCTCCAATGAGTCCATGGAAACATCCTGTGCATGCCTAGTGCCAAGTTTTAGAGCTGATGTAAATTAAGCAATCTACGTTTGTTTTTTCCAGTGCACTTGTACATTATACTGAGAAGGGTCTAGAATGTTATTGCACGTCTTCAAATAACTGATCATGCAGTCCCTATTTCTTGGTTTGGATTAGGTTTGCATAATATTGGAGACTAGCTGGGTCTTCAGATAGCTGTAAAAGTAGTGCTTTCATTAATTTATTCTATATATACTTGAGCACATGCTCAAGCGCTAGCTAGCCATCGAAGTGAATACAACAGTGCTAACCATTCGTTTAGAACCACTCCACAATGTGAGTTCATGATCTGAATCGTTCATCATTCAGGTCCTTATTTAGACCCCAGGTTTTAAATATGTCTGATATTACCGAAATATCTCTTGTAATATCCATACGATGGGGTTGCCGATATTCTAAAGGAAGGGAAGCGATACCTTTCCGTGGAAGGGGAGAGGAAAGATGAAGCTTGATCGGAGATCATTTAGGAATTTACGAGCATCCACAGTGGGGGGATGTAAATTCGGGGTTGTAAAGCCATTTTTACATCTCCTTTACACCTCCGGGGGTGTAAATATGTTTTTTGCTCTAATTGGGGGGTGTAAATTCGGGGGTGTAGCCGTGGGTTCCCAGCCTTTTATGTCGACTTTTCTTCATTTTTCTTCTCTTTTTCGGGTGGGTTCCGCCTGCAAGGGATGTAAAATAGATGTAAATATACGTTTTATTTTACATCTCCATGGTGGTGATGTATATTTACATCCATTTACATCTCCTCATTGGAGACGATTCCGGTGACTCGGGGTGTATATTTAACATACACCCCTATATACACTCCCCACTGTGGATGCTCTAAGTAGGACTCAAGACCTCAACTGCATATGCTTGAGTCAAACAACATTCCCATCAACCCCAACCCTCTCACATGCAGCTCACATTTCATAACAATCAATGTTTATATCAATCCTCTCACAAACTTGATTTATGGGACACTTATCCGCATAGAAAATTGAGACTTCTTCCTCAGAATTTTTTCAAAAAAACTCACCTACAAAAACAGAACCCAATTTTCACCTTGCAAAGACCCTTTATATTAAGAAAGGCAAATATACACTCCACCCTTCATTAAAGCAAAACAGAACCCAACTGACCAAAAAGAAAGTTACTAATTTCTGTATAATAACATACGGACGTCCGCATAAGAGAATTTCTGTATATATATATATATATATATATTATCGTGAGTTAATACGATGCTAATAACTCGTTTTGATCTATTTCGAATGCAATTTTGTTGTCTAAACCGTTCAATTTTAGGACATAATTCATAGATTATTCCTACAAAATTTCATCCAAAAATCAGAGATTGTTTAACCACTTGATTATTTTCGTGAATATTTCATTGTCTTATCGAAAACATTATGTTTGTCTATTTATTTGATTGTATTTGGATAATTCTTTTTGAATTGAGGAATTTTTGCATCTTTCGATGATGATCTAAAAAAGTAAACCGATCGGCAACTTAATTTGTTTGCCAAATACCAAAATCTAATCAAACTTTAATTCATAACTGAAAGTTCGTAGGAAATAATAGACAGATTGGTGACTCTTGGGAAATGCTAAGAAAGGTTTTCTTTTTGTTTTCAAATTATTTATTATGTAAAAGAAGAAAAAGTCTATGGAAATTATGTTCCAAACTTGAACCCAAAAGTCAGCAAATTTGAGACTCATCGCGAGTCGCGACGGTGCCCCTACAGTTGCTTTTAAATAGGCGCTTCCCAAATGCTGCGATTGCCTAGAAAGAGCATCAAATTGATTCACCTTATATTGGCTACAAAAGTATTTCGTAAAAGGATAAACACTATATTTATTTAGTTTTTTTTTTTTTTTGTTTTCACAAAACTACATCTTACAGGAATATCCCCAAATGCACCTAAATAAGAATTAAACATACGCATGTATAGATTTTCTCCTATACAAATATCCGGCGCGATAATAACATACAAACGTCTACATAGAAGAAAAACTACATGCATATATATATCATTCAGAAGATTTCCATTTATGCTCCAATGACTCGCAAATCAACCCTACGCAGTATTGCGCACTCAATGGATAATTCGAAACTGCAGAGGCAAGCAAATGCGAGGTTCAGCATTCCAATATTAATAATTTCCAGCAAAGATAAAGAAACATAAAGCAAATACTAGATTGAAAGAAGAAAATAAAACCAGCTAAACGAGAAACAGTTTCGGATGTAACTATTAACAAAGCATGTTTAATCAACTTAATTTTAGTTTATATTCTAAGAGAAATTCCAGCCACATATAAATTTACCTGATATGAAATCATCTGTATACTCCTTACTGATTTTCCCATGGACCATTGCACCCACCTGATAAGAAGCAGTCATGGAAATTTCAAATACAAAATAGAGCATGAAGTGGAAACCTAAGAATTGAAATTCAGAATATGAACCATACCACAAAAACAAGATTTAATTCATCACTGCCAGAATTAACATATTCATCAATGTCAACCAACTTTTCTGAACTATAAGAGAGACCTGCAATCCCAATACAACCGGTATATTAGTCCTGGTCACTAAGCTCAGAACTTTAAATAGAGGTATACAACGCTCACCTACGACGCGAGAGTTGACAGGTAAATGTCGCGTTACAGGTTCCTCAATTACACGCATAAGAATTTCATTTGTATCTTTGTCACGAATGCATTTATGCCCTAGTAACTCCACTTTAGAATTTGCACAAGTCAAAAGACAAAGCCATGAGTAAGTTCCATGGAAATTATTTCGTGAATATATGTCAAATGGGAGTAGAAGCTAACTTACAGATGACTCCACAAAAGCGCTTGCACGTTCTTGGTATACGAACATGGGGTTTAATTTCAAATAAAACTCCTTGATCAGTTTTCACATACACAGCTCCTACCATACCGGCTTTATTAAGTTTGCTATCCAAAATCGCACGAAGAGCCTAGACGGGTCAAACACTAACAATCATAAGTTATATAACCAAAAACAATAAAGAAGCATAATATAAAGAGAGTAATAGTAAGACATAATCCAACGACAAAAACTTTCTTGTAACGATGATAACATTGTTTTGCTATCCACGGCTAACACAATGACAAGTGAAAAAATTATCCCACATGTCATTGTGTTATGGCACGGGACGTTGCAAGCCTTATGTTAATCTCAATCCCAAGACATGAATTTATGTGGTTGATGATATCCTATATTTGGTTAGCAAAGAACTTAAGCTATATAATAAGGATTTTATAACCTAAGAAATTAATTTTTTTAAGGTCTGATCAATGTCAATTGTAATTCAAGAACAAACCTCGTAAACCCTTCCAGGCCTAAAATCATTTAGATCCTTCTTTTGCTTGAGCAGGAAATCAGCGTCTTCTTCTGAATCCAGAATCTTCCACCTCTTTCGAACGAAGCCCTTTGTCAGAGAAGCATTTTCTACAACAAAAATTGCCCGGACCTTATCATTCGCATTATTATGTGTGAGTGTGAGTGTGGCATCATCTTCTGTTTTCTCCATTGTTGTTGATTTCTCTTCTTCCAACTTCGGCTTCACCGTCCTACACCTACTGGAGCAATTCTGTGACTGCGACTGCAACATCTCCTCCTCCCTCGTCTGCCTCTCCATATTTTGTGCCTAGGGTTCTTGTCGTGGATATTAACAGGAGAAGCCCATTTGAATTTCTATATTTTTCTTTTGTTTTTCTTAATTTAAAAAACAAAAACTTATTTTTTAAGTTGGCTCTTAAAAAATCTGGCAAGTGATGATGACGTGACCTACAAGGCACTCGGTTTTCTTATGTGTAAAATATAAAATAAATAAATAAATCTGGCAAGTGAGGACGTGACCTTTCACCTGTGGATCTCTTCTTCTTTCTCTACTGCCGCCACCAGGAACTGCCTCCATTCTGTCCAGCACAGATAGGATCCACGCCACTGCCCTCATCTATCGACAACATCTCTCTCTCAACCTGTTTCTTTTGCTCTGAGCTATAAACTCACTCACTCTATCTCTCTCTCTCTCTCTGTTCGGCTCCAAAGGTCTATCACCTCCACCGGTACCCACCACCGCATCTCTCCTCTCAATATATTTTCTTGTCTAAATTTCTGTTTGGTAGCTGAGAAAAAGGTATGGAAACAATTTTATATTTTTATATTATTTTCTCTACAGTTTCTGTTTGGTTATTTTTGGACGATTTCTTGGTTATATTTTAAGCCTTTTATGTTTTTTCTGTTTCTTACGACTGAGAAACAGAAAAAAGATTGAATTTTGTGTTAAATTTCATACACTAATTTTACATATATAAGATTTATCCACACTATACTTTTCTTCTAAATAACTTTGAATATAACAGTTCTTAACTGGAAATATTACTAATACAGTGGAAGTCTACAGTCGACCATATTGGATATGATATATCATAAGTTATAATTTCTATGCCATTTTTATTTTTTTTATGTGGTAATATAAACGATATTCTTTTTGGTGAAAGCAATTCGTGTAATTTGCTATAATTTCATTCGCGTATCCTCAATGGTTTATGTCTCTTGTTTGTTCCAGGACTGGAAAGAGAAAAATGAAGAGACAGACCTTAGGGCCATGCTCAACACGTAATTCGAAGTCGAGATTTGGAGCGATCAAACAAGGTGAAGATGAACGGAATGATGAAGATTCTATGTACCAACTTCCCGGGATTCCACTTACTCCTTCCAATCAGAACATGAACCGTAGAGTTACTTTCGTTCTTGAAAAGGCTTCTTTGGTGCCTGCTTTTGTCGGAAGGGTAAACATTTTATGATTGCACCAGGGTCATCCCTTGCCTCTCCTTTTCCTGTTTTAATGATTTTGAGTTGTTGTTTTTCTCTTATTTTCTGCGTAATAATTGTGATACTTCAATCCAATCACTGCTTCTGGTCCTTTGTCTGGATCTTACTTTGTTCCTTCTGATTTACCTTTATATTTTCCTTGTTTCAGACATACCAGGTTTTAAATCCACAAGTACATGCTGACTTCCTGCGGAGAAAGAAAATGGATCCTTATAAATACAGACCCGACATTGTTCATGAGGTGCGTAGCGACATTGTTAAGTTCAGATGATTGGTAACTTCTCATTAAGGCACATCTTTCTCCAATAACGTGCAGAAATATACAACAATCAACTTTGAAGCTGTAGCCATTAGTCTATCAAATTGTTGAATGAATATAATTCTTTAGGATTTAAGCTCCTTGTGGCACACCAATGACTAATTTTAAACCAATTGAGTAGAAAACACTGTACTTATTAAATTATTTCCTTGACACGGAAGCCATTGCCAGTTTACCAGTGACCTCAATTTGATGTTTTCTGTCATGCAAATGCACCTTATTTTTGTCTCAACAAGTCCTTTTTGCAAATATGTTATGTTCAGGCTCTCCGTCAAATCATGGATACCCGACTTTGTAAGGCTGGTAGATTACAAGCCGTGTATATTAAAACTGATGAAGGGGTGCTCATTAAAGTTGAACCACATGCTACTATACCAGAATCGTTGGAGAAGTTCTGTTATATGATGTGTTAGTGTTTCTTTGATAACAGAGTGAACTATTTTTCTTATCTATTTTCGTCCACATTAAAAAAATTTACCATACTTTTATCTTTCTTCTTATATATCGCAGCACAATTATTGCAAAAGTTGAGCATTAAATCCACAGGTCGACGTGAAAGACTCTTGCGTGTGGTTAAGAACCCTATAGCTCAGCATTTACCTGCCAATTCCCTCAAGATAGGTAAGCCTCCGATAATGTGTGCAGGGTTCTGTTTTCATTTAAAAGCTTCTTTGACTGAAAACATGTTGTCATTTCAGGCCTTTCCATGAGTTCGCAAAAGGCAGTTGACTTACGGGATTATGTGCATGCTGTCAGCGATAATGTCAACCTTGTTTTCGTGGTATGAGCATTGTTGTTCCTATCATATGTTTTCATTACACATTTGGTATTAGTTGGTTTGGTTCATTAGTTGATTAACTAGCCTGAAGTTCAGGTTGGTGCAATGGCTCACGGGAGAATTGATAGCGAGAATGCGGATGATATCATATCAGGTTATGCCTCTCATAACTTGTCTTTGTCTTTTGGTTTCTACTATTCGAAGAGAAAAAATGTAGTGTTTTTCAGAAGATGATGGTAAAATGTAATTAAAATATATATGAAGAAACGTGCTTAAAAACCAGAAAAGAAATCGTATTATAGTTAGGAAAGTTTACCCTAGGCTCTCCTTTGGTAATATTTTTTGCTTTGAGTGAGGAGTCCTGGTATCGGATTCCATCCTTCAAGGTTCTCTATAATTCTACTTGAAGTCTTGGCCAGTTTGCTGGTTCCTTTGATTGCTGTGATATTGTTCTATTTTTCGTTTCTCTTCGGGGCGAAAGTTCTTATTTCGTTTTGCTTTATGATTTTGTTTGTTAATAAATCTGTTTTTGTGCTTGCAGTTTCTGATTACCCGCTGAGTGCTGTGGTTTGCCTGGAAAGGATAAGTATAGCATTAGAGAGAAAATGGAACATTCTGTGAATCAGTTATGATTAGTATTATTGCTCATGACTGCAGCAGAAACAAATTTCACTCGAGATTCATGTTGTAGTATTGTTTGGTTTTGGATTACAATACAATAATCTTCTTCGGTTTAACAGGATGAATCGAATTATGTATCTTTCCGCGGAGATTTTGTTTACTTAATATTGTTTATCATAAACGTTAGTACGTTGCCAAGGTTTAGTATTTGATTGAACAAATGATATGTGGGTGATATAGCCAATGATTCTCAGACTATTCTCTTGGAAGGTCCCTAAGGAAAAAAAGAGGTGAATCTGTTTGTGGCTCTGTTTATATTAGCTCTTCTTGTTGCTCGGCATATTGTTTCGATCCAATCTCTGCCTGAGACGAACGGTTGAAATGAATCAAGAGTCTTTATCATCCCACTGTCCCTTGCTCCTTCCCAAAGATTTTTCTTGTGCATAGAGGATGTCATTAAACTCACCAGCTAGTAACCAAGGCAGGTTCCAAGCACTTGCCATATAGATTCACCCTTCTAGATAGGCAAGGATGTCCATATACTGCTGTGAATAACCAGGAGGATTTTATGCTCATATTCCTCCAGAGAAGCCTTATAGCATCAAAGACTTCAGCATTGGAAAATCCAACTTGAGAAATCACTTTCCTAGCTTTAGTAGAGCTAAATCTAGGTTCACAAATAAATAACCATAATATCCAACTTATTATATTTTTTTAAAGTCCTGCATGATTAATGATGAAAAAAGGTAAACCTGGAGCAGTTACAGGGATCATATCGGACTGAACTTCTCCAGGCGGCTCAACTGCAATAACACCACCACCAGTACGAAGATGTTTCACCGCTCCTTCCTTCAGTATCTCTCTGCTCTCCAACCCACTGTGGGTAGAGAACACTAAGTGTCCGTTTGGTATTGCTTATCTGGGGTGATAAGTTATTTTAAAAAAAATTTGGAAAGCCCAGCCCCGTTTGGTAAACTATGAGAAAATCACTTATTGTTAAAAATTTATGTGAGAGAAAGCTATAAGGGAAAGCAGCTAATGAGGTGCTTTCATTTTCTGATTATGCGGGAATCAGTTTCGAAAAGACGTTGGGTTTAATGATTATGCGGCAATCATTTTCTGATTATGTGAGAATTAGTACCAACAACACTTTTAACAAAAAGTTTACCAAATGCCAAACTGCTTTCTCTGACAGTTGATTTTTCTCACAGCAAATCTAATAGCGATTATTTTCACAGCACAACAATGCCAAACTTACCCTAAGTTTGGCTTGATGCTCGCCACCGTAAGAATCAATTCACCACATTGTTGCTTAGCTCTTTCAGTTTCTACCCAGTTTCCTTCCTTTCCTTTCCTTTCCTTTCCTTAGTGATTGTTTGCTTTTGGTTGTGTCTTGGCTAACCACAAAATAATGTTCCAAAATAGATTTGTAATATATTGTACCATATCAACCTACCAAAATATTATGAATCTATACTCTGTTGTTGCACTCCATCTTTTTTTCTAGTTATATTTCAAATGTTGGTGCAATTACACACAAAACGTGCATGTGAAGCAGCCGCTCCACATTTATTGACCACTTTGCTCACCACTTTAGAAAGGTTGGCCCCACTAATGTATGTGGAACCCATCAGCAAATGCAGTAATTGCAGCAGCACACAAAAGAGCAAAAAGCGAGAAAAAAAAAGAAAAAAAAAAAAAAAAAAAATGGGTATGGCCTAAAGACGGAACCCAAAAGGTCTTGCCAATTTCATGCTGAAAGGTTGAAGGTTCAGGGGAAAGAAAGCCTCTGCAAGTAATGTGGAAAAAGGGTTCGCCATTGAAAGCTTTGGCTTGGCCACATGAGGCATCACAAGGACAGAGAAAGGAAGGCGACTCAGTGTTGCAAGATTGCAGCAAAGAGAAGGAGCAAACCTCATACGAAAGGAATACAACGCCTTGGAGGATTTCTCCATGCGTAGGCTTCGGATGGACATTCTATACGGGACAGTCAGACAAGAACTATATAAAAATAACACACATCTTCGATAATTGAGAACTGATTACATTATAACACCAAAAACTGTATTTACCAAATATTCTTACATTACAGGTACAAACGTGCAACCAAGTCAAGACATATTGATCGGATCGAAGCCATGTTCCATAAAGAATCTATTTGGATCCAATTGCAAATGACAATTTTGGCCGGGATTTGTTCTTACCCAACAATTTCATTTGGTTCACCCGTGCTTCCTCCTCCTCTTGTTTCTTCCTTCGCAATGCCTCTTCTTTTTGTCTCTGGAGCTCTTCTAGCTCCCTGTACCGCTCCTCCTCCCTCCGCTGCTGCTCCAAAGCTTCCCTTCTTTGAGCTTCTTCTACTCTCCTCCGGTTCTCTTCAAGCATCCCTTCCAATTCTTCTTTCTCTTTTCGAGCTTGTTCCTGTCAGCAAAATACTAATCATGTAAAAACACACAAGAACACATCAATTACTCTGATTTTTTCAGCTAATAGAGACGGAGGCAAAGGATGGAATTGCAGACTACAAGTGTCATCCCATCTTGTCTGCGTCCCACACATCCCCACTGTAATCATGCACAGAATCCCTTTCAGATAATTAATACAACAGGACAGGTTTGGATTTTCCATTATCTTAAAGGCACATATCCTTCATGATACTAATACCATTTTTGTTTTCTTTTATTCCTTGCTTTGAGTAAGCTCTAAACCATGTCACTGTAAGTTGAAACTTGAAACTAATCATCCTTCCCCAACTACACAGCCCAATAACTAAAAAGACAATTGTATATTTTCAAGAAAACAGAAGATATGAGTCCAATCATCCCTAATGGTGATAGTACACAATGACTCATTAGTGTGTCACCACAACAAGAAGAGAAAATGAGATGTCTGACAGAAGCAACATGGTAGCCTAATTATTACCTCCTTATTTCTAGCTTCAATAAGAGCTGCTTCCTTTTCTTTCTCAAGTAGTGCTGCAACTTCAGTAAGAAGCTTCTTCCGTCCCTCCTCCAACTGCCTCTGTATTTCCACTCTAATCTCCACGGAGTTCAAGCTCTCTTCAACTTTTGTACGTATTGCTTCTTCCACTCTCTTTGAAGTCTCTTCTTCTAGCAGTTTCAATTCTGCTTCTTGTTGCCGCCTGGGAGTACAAGAGAAAAAGTTAAGCAATAAAGTGGCCTCTGAAATAAAGAGGGAAACTGCCGCCTGAGTACAAATAAAAAACCAATCAACATATACTGCTTCCTCTTTTTTTATTACCCCTCCTCTTCTCTCGTCATTATCTGACTACAATAAATGACAAACTAACCTTCATAAGGACACAGGTACTATATATATGGTTATGCTTTTAAGGCATACCTCTAATGTATCCTGATCCAAACAAATGATTTCAAAACTGGTGAACAGTAGATAAACGATGCACCCATTTTGATCATCAAATATAACAAGTTGAACTATAGCAGTATCATCCTTCAGAAAATCCTGTGGAGGAGAATGTCAAGTAACCTGCTGCAGTTTTAAAACTAATCATCGAAGTGCTTCAAATTTGAACTAAATACATTCTTTACATGAAAAGACTACAGTTCTAAAATATATGACTTATGCGTGGTACTTCTTGAGTATCATGAGCACTAAAGCAATGACAAGACATTGGGAAAACATTTACAGGACAGAAACAGCAGTTCAACACTGATGGAGAACCAGGGTTGCAACAAGGGAAAATGGATTTACGTCAGAACCCAACACACAAATCCAAATCTACAGAACAGGCAGACTACTACATGATTCAGTAGGCAGAGGATTTGTTTTTCTTTGGGTCTAAATTCAGTAAACAGAGGTTAACCTGCACTTGTCAACCCAGCTGTTGCATGGGTCAGCTACTTAGGTACGCGCAACAGGTTGAGGATCTCCGAATAACTTAGGTTCAACATATTGCTGGTCTTGGACACCAAAATAACTGACTAGCTCTTTCCAAATACTCCAAAAATGAAATTACAGAAAGATGATCGTGTTCTAAAAATGCATATATCTGGACAAGCAACTGAAAGTAAATAAGCTATAAGCAATGATTTGCGGATGTGGAGAAAAGAATCATGTGTTGACTGGACACTGTGTTCCGAACATAAACTCCCAAAATTTACACTAAGGAACTAAAACATACGTATAGTTTGAGTGCGTTTTTCTTCATAAACCAACCAAACTCAGGACAGATCTTGATTAGTTTTCACATCAATATATACTACCAAACAGCCTAATCCCCATCTGGTTACAATTGTGTAGGGGGCAAGAATGTACTCAATCCACACATGAGCTCCTAAAAAGGCCCTTGATTGCATTACTTACAGTCATAAGAAGATCAACAATTGTTAGAATCAGCTGCATGCAATCAAGAAGTCCAACTAAATTTTACATTATTGACTTTTGAAATCAAACAAATAACTGCAATCCAACTGTGAGTGATTCCCATAGCACATTTAGATGAATTCCAACTCCTATTGGAAATGAGATGGAATAATCTCTTCAAAAGATGGAAGTTAGAGATATTTGTCTACTTTCAGTACCAAGAGACCATTTCCTGTCCAATGGGTGTTAAAAACACTTGAAATTCATTCTTAAATAAATATAGAGCATGCTGGAATTAATTATAAGACCAATAATGCCCTATCATACAAATGTTCCTTTACCCAGTTTGGATTCAATGGTTAAATATTTGACTGCTACAACTTATAATCTAATATCTTACGCCCATATGCAATTAAAATTATATAAACAAGTAGTTAAGATTGATTTGTAAAACAGATTGGACAAACCAGCTCCACATTTTAAATCCATAATTCCATACGTCAATTGTGCATCTCACATATTTACCAAACCAAAGTCATTAAAAGCACACAAAAGGACCCATTATAGACACAAAATTGACCAGAATTCATTACTTTAGTTCAATAACATTATAAAAATATTCTAACATCTCTTCAAAGATTTTTACAAAAATACAAACACAATTCATTAAAAACTATACAACAAATAGTTACTCTTTAAAGGTTAATTGATGAAGAAATCCATAGAAAGTACTACCAAACAGGCTCCAAAACACAATTGCAAGCCTCCCATCACTGAACAAAATCGTCCAATCCCAAATTACATCTTCAGCATAACTCAGTAAATACTTAAAACTGTTAGTCTACTCTAAATATGAACTTGATGAAAGGTCACAAGAAAATTTTATATGATAAAAGAACTTATGTTACATAAATGATACCTTTTCTTCTCTTCTTCTTCTTCCTTTCTCAATTTCTCACTGGCATTTTTCTGCTCCAACAATCCAAGACTTGAAGTAGAAGATTTACGAATAGGAGACAATGAGGAGCTCCTACTTCTTTGTCTCTTATAACGCTTCAGGACTGGAGACCGACTTTTACGACGTCTTGGAGTTGGAGAACGACTTTTACGACGTCTTGGAGTTGGAGAACGACTTTTACGACGTCTTGGAGTTGGAGAACGACTTCTACGACGCTTAGGGGAGATAGAACGACTTTTCCGTCTGTATTGGAAAAAAATAGTTATTAATATAAAAAAATTAAAATTTCACATGACTCCACATAATCAATAACTATCAAGCCAGTCCACCGGGTAGCACAAAATATATAGAAACATGTACAGTTACCTCATACATTGTTAAGTATAACCTTTGTGTGCTCCATCTTTTATCACATGAAGAAGCAAATGTCACAATCGAGCAACAAAAGGACACCCAACGGCACCCATCACCTGCTCACTTCCCATATGACGGGAAGAAACTGAGTTGTTTTAAATTCTTAGGAAGAGCATGCATCCTTATATCACTCTGACAACTCTATAAAGTACTCCATATATTCATGCTAGACACTTATCCAATTATTTAGAAAGAATCGAAAACTGATTTTTCCAAAGGTCACATGTCTGTCAATGTTAGATCCAAACTGAGTCAACCATCAGATTTATGACAACATCAGCAATTCTTTGGCATTAGCATGACAGCAACCAAGCCTAAGGTGTACAAACAACAATGGTAGTTGAAAATCAGAATAGAAAACTCAGAACAGCAAATGTCAAAAGCATACCAAACGTAGGCAATGGAACTACCAATTCCTGTCCACTTGAAGGTGTAAAGCAAAAAAGTCAAATATTAGTGATTAGCATGCAGAATTTCAACTCAAAGCAATATTTCATGGAATGCCCCCATTAAGCTGTGCATCAACATCAACGTAGGAGGTACCGGGCAATCTTGAAACATACGAGTACATAATCATTTTCCATAAAAAAAAAATCATGACTTCACGATTGGAAAATGAAACACTGTTCTAAGAAAATAAATCTGAACAGCCATTCCCAAAGTCTTGGTCAAATATTGAACAAATTACAAACATCCCCATCCCCCTGTAACTTGCAAGCCTACAAGTACGTAGGCTTTATACTTGAAATAAAAAGTACCACATGATCAGTATGGAAGAAGATGCAGACATGGCAACTTGGATATCATGTAAATCCAAACCGTATGAGCAATGAGACGCTTCAATCTTTCTAACAATTGATTGAGAATCAGTTAAATTAGCACAATAACGCAAGAATATTAACGGGATCACCTGCTATAAGAATACGAGGAATACGGAGACCGGCTTCTGTCTCTTCGGCTTCTCCTGCTACCCCTATGCCCCACTGGAGACGGTGAACGCCTTCGCCTATATGAAGGCGACCGTGATTGCGACCGTGCCAAATCACGAGGCATCCTTTCACCTCAACTTTAAGCCTACTGTGAATATTTCCTAGAATGAAACTTGAATACTAACAACAATTTTTGCTACTCTGCCCTATAAAACCAAAACAAATCAACCATTATCAAGGAGTAGAGTGAAAGTCACAAAACTTCTACAAGTGAGAACCGGGAAAATTTTTTATTAGAAGACAGTCCAGTAAATCATAACAACCAATTAAGCACTAACAACAACAATGATTCTTAACGATTTCTTTGGTAGGTGAGGAACTGTCAGAAAAGATAAACAGACGAAAATAATGAGTCCTAAAAAATTCATTATATCCACAAAAAAAAAAAAAAAAAAAAAAAAAAAAAAAAAAAAAAAAAAAATCCAAATAAAACTAAACAAATAAACAAATATGTTTGTATGTTTAGGAACCAATGATGTTTGATTTGCTGGGTAACAAATCAAAGGAATGAATCAACGAAGAACAATCCACCTAAAAATACAAAATAAATAAAGAAATTGATAATTTTTACTGACAATTTAATCGCCGAGAAACTGCAAAGATAATAAAGCCTTTATCATCAATCTGGAAATAACCATCCACAGGATAAAATCATTTCGTTCCTTTAATTTTCGTAGAGAAAATTAGAATTATACCTGTGAAACCTCAGACCAGATGGTACCTACGAGAACAATAGAGGAGATCGGAATCGCCCGCGTCTGGCATGAAAAGTAGCTGACCAAAACCCTAGGATAGAGAGTATATTGTATCAGAATCAGATACTGAATATGCAAACCCTGGAAGAAGAAGAGGGGGCAGAGAGAGATTTTGATAAGAGTTTTGGGGTTGGGATGAAATATGAAAGATTGAGAGGGCCTTTTTCTACTGTGCCAAATTTTGCCCCCCAATTATATCACAAGTTAATTGTACATTAGCTTGCAAGACATACTAGTAAATATCACCGAATTCGGGCTCAAAGTTTTGTGAAGTTCCAAAATCAATCAGAGCCCGGCCCAATTCCAGAGAATGCACTTAGTTAATACAAATAAATATTAAGAGTAAAAATTATTTTAAAATAAGGATAATATGGTAAATTCACACATTTTTTATTTGCTGTATGGATGAATCGTATCGTATAGTATCCGTGCAACATAGGTGGAGGCTGACCTTAAACTGTGTCACAAAAACCTACCCAGCCGTTCCCCACTCTCCTCGGCCTACACCACGCCACCTCCTTCCTCTCTCTCTCCGTCCGTCTCTCTGTCTCTCTCTCTCTAGGTTCCTCCTAAAGAGCTTGCTATCTCTGTCTTCTAAAACCTTAATCATTTGTTTAGTTGACCTCTGTGAAAAAAGTGCTTGCAAACTCGAAAAATTTTCAGTGATGGGCAAGCCAGGTTCACGGTAATACTTCCATTGTGCACAAGCCCTTGCTTCTTCTTTTTTTCTTCTTTCTCGCCTTCTCTCCCGGTTAAAGTTTTGTTTTTTCTCTGCAGCTCAGAATCATCGACCAAAGCCGACATCAAATTCGAAAAGAAGCTCGAATTTTATGCTAGTAAGTTTGGATTTTTAATTCACTTTTATGTTCTTGTTGGGTTTTATTTATTTAGTCTGTTCTTGTTTGGGTTTATCTAATTCTAGCCTTTGTCTCTCGAAAATGGATAATATCAGTAATATTAGTAAATATTTCATCCCCAATTAATTTACCTTTTTTATTCTGAATGACCAACATAATTGCATTCCATTTTTATTTTATTTTTCCAAAAAATAATTTTTCAATGAACAATGCAGAGGTTAGAGATACAGTTTCTGGCTTGGGTGCCCAGAAGGCTATTGTGAAGGTGAGGATCTCTAATTCTTGTTCAACTTAATACCAATGCCTTACCCACATTTTGTTCAGCGAATGTTGTTGTGGTGCATAATTTTACTCGGTAGTTTAGATATGGAATTTGATGAGATAATATTGGAGGAGGTCAGCAATGTCTTGGGATATAATGTATTTGAATTCTCAGATCCCTTAATTGGGGACGGCATTAACATATAATGTTCATGGTTAGTTGCTTTTATCTGAACTTATGTAGTGATGATTTGCCTGATGATTCTCAATCTGGCTTTGAGAGGTATATTTATCCTTGTAAATTTTGTTATTATGCATGAGAGGAAGAGAGAACGTGAGCTGCCAACATTTAACTAGGGATTTTAGAGTGGAACAGAAATTGTTAATGGAGGTTGTGCGGTGATCAAAATCATTGAACGAAACAGAATAAGAAGCTACACCATGAAAATAGACAGATGGTGTGCTTATTTAAGAAAAAAGGCCTCATAAAAGAGCGGCACAAATTGAATTACTGAGGAAGTTCCCTTCAAGTCTGGATGGAGAGAAACAGTAATCACATTGGCACACTTGTAGTATCAAAACCTGGGTTGAGGGAAGTTCAAGAAGCTCATTATGCCTCAATCCATTGGATTGAGCTTCAGTTGGCCTCCCAACTAACCCAAACTGCATCAGCCCTAGGTTTAGTGGACCGAAAAACAGATAGGAAAGCAAGGATTCATCAATAATGTGAGGACATATGTTGGAGGGATGGAGGCAACTGATTTAGAGAAAGGGGAGGCATCGGGGTTTTGGATGAAAGATAATTAGCTTTGGAGGTTGGGGATAAAGTAGTGCACTCAACACTTGGAAAGAAACCAGAAGATGCAAGAATGTGAGAAATTGGGTGTTGGATTTAGTTTGCTGGGCAACTTAAAGCTGAGGATTTATGGATTGCAAAATGACCAAACAAGGAAGGTTTGACAGGTCTAATCAATAGCATGTCTTTGTTGCTTATTTTAAAGAAGCCTAGAGGTATTTTGAGCGAATTTAAAAGGCTCAAAATGGGGCCAACAGTTCTTAGTGCTTAGTATTAAGAATTGAAACAGGGTCCAACCTTCAACTCGTGTAAACAGTAAACTGATGAGAGACTTCCCCCTTCTACTTAAGGCTATTTCTAACTTCTTTCTAGGGTTTTCTACCACAAGAACAAGAGCTCTATTTGGGGAAATCGATACATGTTCAAGAAAAAGTTAGATATGTTATGTAGTGATCTGAATTTCCACAAGGCATTTTGTGAGTCAAAAAATAACTTCGTCATGATTTTTTATTTTCTTTATGTTATTGATATTACTTAAGAAAAATGATAATTAATTTGTGAATAATTTTCATAATGTTTTGTGTGGTAATGAGTAACTTTATCTTCTACCAGAAGAAGAAACTGCGTAGCCGACAGAAGAAACTGAAAGCATATGATCTCTCTTCCTTCTCAGAGTTTCTGCCTGAGTTGAAGGCTAAAAAGCAACCCACTTCTGAGTTCAAGCTAAATTGCAAATCCAAGAAAACCCTAATGTAAATTTACAAGTTCTTTGATTACATTCCTGTTGCAAGCTTTACTTTTCATTTTCACTGTGTCACAGTAAAGTAATAGTGGATTCTGTTTTCATCAGATTGAAGGAAGGAAAGCAGTTGGCTACAGTTCTTGAGCATCCCGCTTTCAAGTCAGATCCCTTAGCTGCAATTCAACAACACTTGGAGAGGACACAGCCAGTGATAGAAGTGAAACCAGAGAAAAGGAAAAACAAAAGTGGAAGCAAGAAGAGGAAAGACAAGAAATTGAAGGCTTCAGCCGGACCCCAATCTATGGATATGTGAGTCAATATGCACACTTTTCATATGATCCACCGTGATGACGACTCAAATTTGTTCAAATTTGCGAATGTTCCAACGCTTAAATTTTGAATATAAAATTTTGTTGGTCTTGCTGGAACTTGTAAATGGTTCAGTTTAGCCCTATTTCCATAGGATCTTTTGGTCTCAAGTGCGTAATTTACCTACATGTTGGCACGTGAAGAAATGAAACAAGAAAGGAAGGGAAGATATTTGTTAATTCCACATGTGTATCCACATACATACTTTGATGATTTAGGAACAAGCGAAACACTGATCTAGATTTTTTTTTTTTGTTAAGGGAAAAAACAAATTATAGAATGCAGCGTGTCTCAAAAGCGTTTTGGTCCGTAAAAAAGTTCATGCACCCTGAAAGAAAAGTTTGATCTCAAGCGTATTTGTTTTTGTGCCTGGTATCAAAATAATCCCTAGGGCTGAGTTAAAATGATCAAATTAGTGCATATGTAGTTATGTCAGTTGGCAAGGGCAGTGAGTAAGCATGCCTTCAATGCACTTAAGTTTGAATCCTCCATCTCATGAATTAGATTAGCTCGACAATTCGAGAAGATCAGGCTGGTCCTCTATCATTTTATCTTTTCTATAACCCTCGATGGTGACCCTTGCACTTTGGTGTTAAAATCTCCCTCCCTCAGTATTGTTTTACGACGAAGAAAAGAAGAAACTGGATGCTGAAAATAATTGGTGAGGGCAAAACGGTAAGAAACTAATTTATGCCAACGGTACAATGTCGCTTCAACTTCAAGCCTACTCAATTATTGAGGCCCCAAGTAGTCAACAATTCACCATCATAATTCACCATCAACGGCTACCCACCCTGCCTTTTCTCTTTTTCTCCAAATAATAAAAAAGGTACCACAAACAAAAGACTGCCCTCCTTGCACTCTCTGCGGTTGCTTCCTATATCAATATCATCATAACCCATCATTATTTTTGTTATTTTCCTCATTCAAACAGTGAGTGTGGGAATATGAGGTGGATCTCATTCATGCATCCTTAGAAAAAAAAAAAAGAACAAAACTCAAAAGAAGATAGAAATTTTATTCCAAAATGTATTATGCAGAAGACTATGATCTTTTAACACTAGAAGTTATCAATTTTTTTGAGTGCCAAATCCTTGGAAACCACTTTAAATGGATCCATATTTTCACACTGCGAAAAACCCATTTTAAAGATATGAAAATTAAGCAAATACAATTATTTATGGTTCTCCTTCCAAATTACAATTTGATTAAGAAGGGTGAACCTTGCTAGTAGAAATCCCCTTCCAAGCTGATTTCATGGAAGCAGTGGCTGAGTTGAGAGCAGCCTCAATATACCTCTTGGAAGCAATAGTGGCTGCATTCTCCATGAACTTCCCCATCTTCCTTGCACTTTCTGCAGTGGCAACTAAGCTGTCGAGCTCAGCCTTGGAGATGGCTTCCATTTCCTCTTCAAAACGTCTGAACTCATCCATGGCACTCTCCATCACCGAGTCCATGTAGTCCTCGGCTTCCTGCATGGCAACCTCAGCTGCTTCCACTTCTTGCTGCTGTTCCAGTTCAACTGCAGCCCATGATTTGTACGCTTCGATCTCGAAGAGTTTCATCAGGTCTTCGATCGTGGCGGGGTCGAAGCTTTTGTCTTGCAAGGCTTGGTTTGAGACGAAGCTGAATTGGGCGATTAGATCTTCCATTTTCTTCTTCTTGTTTTTGTGGTTGCGGTTGTTGTTCTTGTTCTTCTTGTTGTGGGAGTGAGATATCTAAAGATGAGAATATTATTGTAGATCTAGCTTTAAGCCTAAGTCTATGTAGAAGGGAAAGTGGGTATATGAGAATCATATAATGGAGAATACTTTAGCCACTTAATGTATATATAAAGTGGATAGGATGCGACAGGAACCTTGGAACTTTATGTTATGGGGTTAGAATTTGGCCATAAGATCACGTGATGAGACAAAGCATGGCCAGTGGTGGACAGGGTTCAAGAACCAAATTAATTGCGATGAATAAAATAGTTATTCGGCTTCATTTCTGCCCGTTGATGATGCTAGGATTTAGTTCAAATTAAGGAAAAAGAAATACAAAAGAGAAAGTTCTCTAATAAGATCAATACAAGTCCAAGTACTAGAAGCCCTAACATCTCCACTTTTTGACGAAATTAATATGAGTATAAGCTCTCTATTTCTTTATATGAGTTATAAGTTGACATTTCTAGTTCAAAATGAATTTCTAGGTTATCTAATTTAGCCAAGTATCTTGAGGTCTAATCTTTTATATGCACAACACAAAAATGGAGGAAAGGTTGAAGCTTTCTTATCCTTGAAGCTCTCTTGGATGGTCTCCAAGTTTTCACCTTTGGAAAAGGCCTTTCTCCATATCTTGCTTTATGAATTCTTCACAAGGTACCAAAGTAGATACCCTCTAATACACCACACTAAATGTTTAGAGAATGAAGAAAGAAACAACCAAGAGAGTGGAGATGCTAGACTCCTTCTCTTGGCAACCGATTTTAGCAAAGGTGGAGGGGATGATTTCTCCTTCTTCTCAACACCACAACCAAATTTCTTAGGAGGCTAAACCCTAACTCGAGAATAGCCTAAGTGTGGCCTATGTAGGCCAACACAAAGGATGAGGAGAAACCCCATGGTGGTGTTTGGGCTCCTCTTGGGCTCACTTGAATTGTATTGTCATACAACACTTGTTCCTAGGCCCAATAGGTCCTTGGGTATTTTCCTTTTAGGCCTAAAATGACTTTAAATTCCAAATCGAGTCAACTGTCAAACTAATTTCGTAATTAACAATTTAATTATGACTTGTGACTTAACCATTAAGTCATATCCTTAGTGCGAATAGTTTGACTTGGTCAACCATTTTGGTCAAATGCGTTAACTTTGACTAGACTGTTGACTTTCAACGTCTTATCTTCTATATTGATTTTTGCACCATTAATGGTGGCTTGTCCAAGCATGGCCTTTTCTTCGACAAGTTGGTATAGTATATCTTCATGGTTTAAATTGCATTTCATGCGGTTGCTAAGCTTTTTCCTTCTCCGTCTGACTTTCTCTAGCTATCGAAGTCAACTTCGAGTTTTATCTTGGATAATTGCGCCACTAATCGGGTAAAAGAAATTTTGAATATAAATAACGGCTTTATTTTGGAAATTTAGAAACATTGGCCCTAAGTGAAATTGGGCCTATATCACTTGCGTTATTGTAACCGATGAAATCTTGTTTGATATTCTATACAAGATTTCCAGTTTGATTGCGTTCAGTGAACTTACTCTCTAGTAAACACCTACACACTTATGTTAGTATCTCTATACGAATGACGTCACCCTTCATATGGAGCATATATAGTGTGTAACAGTTGTTGCGGTTCATCAATGTCTAATTGAACGATTTTATGACCGGAAACTTTCATGGTGTGGGTTACAGAGAGAGGTTTCTCCACATCTAACATCTTTAGATCACCTTTCTTATCTCACGAATCCATGGACTTGTCAATAGGCTAATGATCCTAAATGGTTAATTTAAATGAAGTTTCCATGAAATATTTAATCTAATGATTGGCTTTTATGACACATTTCTAACACATAGCACATCACTTAAATTGACAGAAGAAATGATAGAAAGTGATGAATTTAGATGTCAGGGTGAACATTGGAGTAAAAAACTAGTTTTTGGGCACCTCGAATTGTGTGGCCTTAGACTTGATCGATATCTTGAACAATCTAAGTCAGCTTGAAACCTGCAACATAATGTCGAACACTCAAAGGAAACAAGAACACAAAGAACACTCAAGAACACTGAAAGAGATTTGGGAGAAACAATACTTGTATTGCTATCAAGAGAACTACACAACTCTGAGATGATTTGGCCAATCCTAGTCTTGAACCGATGAACAGGATTACATCGATCCAACGGTGAAGCATATTACAAACGAATGTCATACATCGTATCTAGACAGTACCAAAAGTCAACTCACATATTCCAATATGTACAAATATATAACGGGTTGGGCTATCTAGAGTGGGCTTGGCGGAAATGGGCCCCTCCTACGTGCTGGCTACAGCCTCAAATAGCGGGTCCGTGACAATATAGGCAAGCTAAAAGTTAATAATAAATAATTAATGAAAGCTGGTGGAATAAGTGCAAATGTTGGGGTTAGATTTAAATAAGTCAAAACTTGAGAGGGATCTACATGAAATTAACCCTAGTAAAGGTTAAGAAGAAATTGAGAGAAGCAAGCAACTTGAGCGCGATAGATCCGAAGTGTTTATGCTGGTTTGGTTTTCGCAATCTTCAAAGATCAACTGTTTATGCTAGTTAGATTTCTTAACTTGATTTCTGTGGGACAGAGAAAAACAGAGAGAGAGAGAACAGAGAAAGGGAATTGCGATGACGAGTACGAGTGCGAGTGGGAGTTCGGTTGCCTTCATCTTCTTGATCCTGTGCTTGGTACGGACGAATCAAGCCATTTGGTTGACCTTACCCTCCTCCGGCACAAAGTGCGTTTCTGAGGAAATCCAGAACAACGTCGTCGTTTTGGCCGATTACGTCGTCATTCCCGACGATCACTCCCACTCCCCCACCATCTCCGCCAAGGTCTGTTCGCTTCGACCCCTTTCCTTTAAATTCAGTTTGGTTTGATTTTAATTTGCTTTAATTTCGTGTATTTCATATTGATCTTTGAATTAAGCCATCTTCTTTTGGGCATTGCATTGAAGCTTTGCCTTATCTTTTGCTTTAAGGTTTTCTGGAAACCCAAAAAAGAGAGAGGGGGGAAGGAGGTCTACGATTCAATGCCTAAACTCTTTCAACAAGGCTTTGATGATTTGATATCTATGGGCTCATAAAATGGAGTGATTTTATAATGCATATCCACATAAAGGTCCAGAATCCTTAGCTTGAGTAGCTTATTGAAACAGCTTTTGGCTTGAAGTCTTTGGATGTCTGCTATGTGAGCTGCAATTTTTGTGTGGGGGAGGGGAGAGTTGAGTAAATTTATGTTTAACTTTGTAGACCATGCTGTTTCTATACTTTAGCGGTCAAAATGTCACCATGTTGGTGTGCACTAGAAAGGAAAAGGCATAAGCTTTCTAATAGGTGACATCCTAATTTAATTGGAAACAGGAAATTAAACATCAAAACTAATATTCTAGAAAGTCAGACATGTTGGGTGATAAGTGCCATGTGGGTTTTAATTTTCATCCCTAATTGTAAGTACGTAGATGCATATATTATCAATAAAATCCAATATATAGTGGATTGGTTTTTCTGTCCTTGTGTAAAATTAAGAAGAAAAGAAGATTTAAAATGTAATAATCGGATCTTGTCTTCTACTTTATATGTTTCTTGCTTTTTTTGTGTGAAAATGGAATCAACTTGGGATTCATATTGTGGACTTATTTATCTTTCTGCATTGTCTGCATAAGTTTAAATAGATTCCGATGCATCAATCCATCAAAGGTATACTGCATTGGTATTTGACAGTGGCAACCTTAGCCCTTGTTCACTTTGCTGTGGAAGTATCTCCAATGTGGTCAGCCAAACACCAAGGACTTGCCAGGTTCTAGAACAAATACAAGTTCTGTCAAGGAAATTGCTTTGATCTGCAAGTTTGGTTGCAGGATTACGGTCACAAATTTTTTCAACAATAAGACCGTTGGCCATCTTAGTGGGAGTTAGCAAGTCCAAGGGATTCTCTGGCCTGTATTGGGAACAGTGGCTGAGTGGTTGTTGTTCATTGGTATCAGCTTTGTTTGAAGTGTACTTTTTTATATTAACAATTCTTCTCTAGAATTCTAATATTAGCCTCCTTGAAAAAAAGAATTCTAATATTAGCCAACAGGAGAAAAGATACATTTTGCTAGAACATTAGATGCTTATACAATATTCAATCCTGTTATTACTTTGTTTCATTCAAGTTAGTTGAGCTGTAGATTTTCACGTATGGATAACTCTAAATTGCAAAAGGAAAATAGTGGCAAATTGAAAATTAAGTTTTAAAGAGAAAGTAATTACATTGACAAGTTCTCTATCGTTTGACTTGGATATTATGTTTTCATTTGGGATTTTTTATTCTTGTTCTTTAGTTGACATTGCCTTATGGGAACAATCTTTATCACAGGGAGACTGCAACTTTAAGCATTCCCACCGTTACCCAATATTTAGTTGATTGGCTCCTGCCCTTTTGTAAACATTAAGGAAATAGGAAATCTAAAATGTAGTAGTAATGACAATGCATTTTTCATTGGCGGTGGAGTACATTTAACCTTGGATCTTGGATACTACTTGGATGCTTTTGTTGCTGGTCAGTTGTCAAAGAATTTCCAATGTGGTCAGCTATTTACCAAGGAGTTTCCAGGTTCTAGTCTCTATCAAAAAAGGGTTATGTCAACTGTCAAAGGGGCAGTTGCTGAGATCTGCAGGTTTTGGCTGCAGAGTCACTCAGACCTTTTTAGCAGGGTAAAGCTTTAAGTAAATCTGTTAACAATAAAACCATTGGCCATCTTAGTGGTTTCTAGTAAGTCCAAACGGGTTCTGGCCTGTATTGGGAAATTTTATATTAGCATTTCTCAGTTTTTCTTCTCTAGAAGTAGGAAACTTGACAGTAGGTATTATCGCTGAACATCAGATACTTACATGGGATTCAAACCTGTGAGTTGATGTCTTAGGAGGGACTTAGCCGACTTCTTGAGCAAAGTTTTTTTTGTAGTCAAGTTAATTAACCATTATATTTTTCAGCTATGGATAAACCCTTTAGATTGCAAAAGAAAACATTACTGGAAAAATTGCAAATGAAGTGTTAAACAAATATTGTACTGTTTGACTTGTGTAATTACTTTTTCGTCTTAAGTTTGGTTCTGCTTTCTTCAAACTTTAAATAGTACTTCTTGTGCTTCCTTTAGGTGACATCACCATATGGGAACAATCTTCATCAAAAGGAGAATTCAACACATGGTCAGTTTGCATTCACAACTCATGAGGCTGGAAACTACCTGGCATGTTTTTGGGTTGATAATAATCCTGGAGGTGGTGGAGTAAGTGTCAACATTGACTGGAAAACTGGAATTGCAGCTAAGGATTGGGAATCAGTAGCAAGAAAAGAGAAGATTGAGGTAAGCACTTAATTCTTTTTATAGAATATATATATATATATATATATATATATATACATATAGGGTTAGGATCCTGGGACAAAGCTCTTTACAAACGTTTTTACACTTCTTTATAGCCTTTAGATATTTTAAAATCCAAGGGTCTTACATAAAAGTTAAGATGATTCTCTTTATACTACAAAGTGATGTGGCAATGGCATGGAATTTAATTAAACTTTCAATTAATAAAATATGTTGATAAAAGAGTAATATGCTAACAACGTAAACACCTTCAGCCTCCACCCTCTTCTATACCCTACACCATTGTTACTTCCCTGCCATAGACCTCCATGTTAGCAGAAAGAAAAAACTTAATCTCTGCCATAGTTCCCCAAGATTGATGGGAAATTTATAAGTTTGTTCAATGAGAAAATTACAACAATTTAGCAATCTAAAGGAAGATCTACAATTTGTTTCTATGCTTGGTTTTTGTATTAACGCTTTAATTTCCCAACTTCTTGATTAGGAGTGAATTTTGCACTTCTTATAGAGATGGATGGATGGATCTCTATCTTCCATTCCAAATCATGATGATTGTTTCCAAAAGTTGTGATAGGGCCAGTCACTGAACTTTTGATCAGGCTAGTGTTTCAGATGATCTACACAATAGAGACATTAATTCTATTGTCATATTGTTCAAAAAATTCATCTATGGCTGAGAAGTTGCATATCTGCAATGGAAGATAAGCGTTATTAAAGAAGAAAAGAAAAAAAAATATTGAGCTAATTTTCTGTTTACACAATTATTTTTTTCAAATTCTTTAAACTGATTTTTGTTTTTAATTTCCATGTTATTGCCACATCATTTGATTGTGTGATGACAAACATCTTGTTTTCTACTTAGGGCCCTTGGATGTAATTAGATCTAAACCCTCGTATTTCTGAAAAAAAAAAAAAAAAAAAAAAAAAAAAAAAAAAAAAAAAAAAAAAAAAAAAGATCTAAACCCTATGTAATTTTTTTTCCCAGGACGGTGACCTATACTTATATGTGTGTATTGCTTTTAGTAATGGTAACATTTATCTATGCCTTGCACTTTCCAGCTTCAGTACTAGTGTATATAGACTCAATACGTAGAATGCTGGTCTCTTAGGTGCAGCATATGCTACCTAGAGACCATTAGCTGGGCTAGTTGGTGCTTTCATACGATTATTGTTATACCATTCCCATTGCTACTAAAGTTTCCAGCAATCTTTACTTTCATATTTTTCTTTTGCATCCCTAATCTTGATTTTGCTTGTTTCTATGTATCCGCCCACCAGAGGGTAGATCACTATAAAGCTAAACTAGCCTAGAGAGGTGAATAGGTGTCTAATCAGAATTTTTTGAATCACTCAGAAACACAATATTAACTAATCTAATTGCCATCAAATCATCCTAACAAATATATCATCAAACATACAGCTTAAGCATGCGATGGAGTTAAGTCTTGAAGCTATCGAAGCCTATATGAATGTTAGAAAAATGTATACAGAAACTTGAATTGCTTGGCACACAGTCAATCACTAATCAGTAAAGTAACATGCACAAGCCTTTACATGAGCAACCTAAAAGGGAAAACAACAAGATCCAGCAGCAAAATTCCACAACAAAAGCTGGCCAAAACATAAAAGCCCACCATGAGAATAACATTAACAACCAAATGAAACTCCACATTTGTACTTGCACAACGATTCATCAAATGATCTAGTTCTGTGTATACAGATTTTTTGGTTTATTCGGCCCTTGACTAGAAGTATTATTTTCTATACCTTGACTCATGATGGACCTAATTTATTTTCTAAGGTTAAACAGGTCTCATACAATAGATGCACTCATCTCTTTTGCCATTGCTATGGTTTCTTCAAGTGATCTCAACTTCCACCCTCATTCTCCTGGACAAATTCCAAGGGAAGAAAAAAAAAGCTTCTTTACGGAATTTATCCATCTTGATCTCCACCGAGACACAAGTTCTTATGCAAAAATTATGATCAAGATCCTAAAGTTTGTATACCTTTTATGGCACTTCTAAGAATCCCAGTATATTCAGAAGTAGGTTGTGGCCAAGTGGGGAGGTTTTAAATCAATAAAGAGTGCAAAGTACATTGAAATCGACATTCCAAAAATTGGCATTACAATGAAAACTCTCTGTGAGACACCATTTGAATGAGAGGGAAAAAAAAAAACAATTGAATGAAAATTTAAAATGTATTGGGCTATAGGCTCAATCATTATTTATCAGAAAATTTGGCCGCTTGATTTTTTGCTGAAATTCTGCCTGCACAAATACCTTTCACAGATGTGTTATATGAACAATCCCATTCAGTAATGGGATAGGAAACCAATAGTTAACTTACTTCAATATGCAGCAATGCTTGATCTTCTGCACAGTTTTTGGGATTCAACTTCACTTAGAATTTTCACCAACTTGACAAAACTAAAAGACTCGAGTGTTTTGGATAATTAATAGCCAACACGGACATGGACTAACATTGCCCAAGTATAGGGTCTTGAGCTTGAGCTGCGGAAACTTGAAGGAGCAGTGGAGGCAATCCATGAGAATCTACTCTACCTCAAGGGCAGGTAATGTTTACCTACCTAATAGGAATGCATTCTACATTTCCTGTACTGTATTTGTGCTCTAACTTATTCCTTGTTTTTGTTTTGGATGTATTCTCAGAGAATCAGAGATGAGGGACGTGAGCGAAAGAACTAACGCGAGGGTGGCATGGTTCAGTATGATGTCCTTGGCTGTCTGCATTATAGTTTCAACTCTTCAGTTATGGCATTTGAAGAGTTTTTTCCAAAAGAAGAAGCTTATCTAAGTTATGCCACACTAGTTATCTATGTAGATGAAAATGATATTGAGAAAACAAAATTTGAATGCCATGTAATGTAACCTATTATTTCACAGAACGTCAGTTTTCTCTGTTTTTTTCGGAAGAGACTTGAGAAAGGGAAAATAGTTGATAGATTTTAGTTGACTGAGTAACTGATATCCATTTGTATAAGTGATCTCTGATTGCCTTGATAAAATACAGAATTGCCTAGTGCTGACCAAGCTCAAGCATGAGTTGTCAACCAGTAAACTAATGTATGCTACCTTTGTTGCCTTCTAGAGAATCTGAAAAGATTCAACCACAGGTACGGTAAGCCACCTGGTATTGCCCATCAAGCACTGCGTATATGAGATGTATTTCGAGGTCTTGTATACCATGGGGGATTAGATCGTGAGAATTTTCTTGGTCGCTCAAAAATTACTACCAAATTGTACTCCCCAAGATAAAGACCTTACGAAGACAAGACATGGCTCAAAGAGAGCAGATTACTGGTATGTTTTGCCATGAAAATGTTGAAGGGAAGTTACTGGTATGTTTTGCAAATAAAAGAAGAGGATGAGCACATTAGATTTGTTGGCTTTGCGTAATTATTGAGGAAGAAGAAGATGCAAAAGGGTAGTTTTTAACTTGAGATGGTCAATGAACTAATCAGGTTGGGGATCACGCAAATCAGGTAGACATGCCTTTCTCCATGCAGCCACTCAGTTTGATAAGGGTAGGCGTGAGAAAAGGTTTCTTGGTTCATGGGAAATCAAGGCTATTTCCCTATTAGCAAGGAGCCGTCATCATAAACCATAGGCGCTTGAATCCCACGTAAGCGTGACCCCATGGCCACTTTGATGCTTAGGGTTGGATTAGATTATATTGCTTTGGATTAGATTCCTCACAAGATTCATGGTATGTTACCTTCAATTTAAACAAAATTTAAACGTTTTCCTCTATTTCTTCATTCAGCATAACTTGAATCTAGCGAATTGTCTAATCTAATTCAATCTTAGACACCGAACGTGACCTATATTGCTCAAAAGCATTGCTAAAGTCGTTTTGGCCCGAGGCAGGTGCATAATGCTTCATGAAATCTTGGGCTTTAGTTACTTTAATCCAAGGCCCATCAATGCCTTTTGGGCCATACCATCAATGTAGACCTGTGGGACATTTATGTTGTTTCCTTTCTTTTTATTTTATACATTTATGCGCATTTATATTGTTTCTTGCTTTGATTACTTTCTTATGTTATCTCCTCCGGTTTGAAACCCAAGAAACAGAGAAAAACAGAGGGAGGGAGTGAAAACACAGAGAGAGAGAGAGAGAGAGGGGATTACGATGACGAGTACAAACCGCATCATCATCTTCTTCTTCATCCTGTGTTTGGTACGGACGGGTCAAGCCATTTGGATGACGTTACCGTCATCCGGTACAAAGTGCGTCTCCGAGGAAATCCAGAACAACGTCGTTGTTTTGGCCGACTACGTCGTCATTTCCGACGATCACTCCCATTCCCCCACCATCTCCGTCAAGGTCTGTGCTGCTCCATATCACATATGGTTTTTTTATTTTTTGTAATTTCTATTATCAATGCATATACTAATTTAGCAACAAAGAAAAAACCCAAAATTTAGCTGATTGGTTTTTATCCTTATGCGCATAAATTAAGACGAAAAGAGATCTCAAATGTGATACAATCACAATGCATATTTCATTGATGGTAGAAATGGAAAAATGCTAATTGTATCTTTTGTTTCTGCGTGTATATATTTGTTGCTTATGAAATATATATATATATATAATATGATGATGATTTATGTAAAAGTGGAGTCAACTGGTGGTGCACATGTTATGGACTTATATTATTCATGTGCAATGCACGGTATTTTTGCACATTGCTAGAGGCTTGCTCTTGTTTAGATGTGATTTTGTTTCAAATGTAATCTTCCTGCAGTTTCTTGTTAAGCGTAAATAGACGACAATGCATCAAGGCATCATCGGATACTCTGCATTGGTATTTTAACAATGGCATCCTTAGCCCTTGTTCTTTGTGGTGAAAGTATTTCCAATGTGGTTGGTAAAGGTTCTAGAACAAATACTGGCTGTGTTAACTGTCCAGGCAGTTGCTTTGATCTGCAGGTTCTGAGTTAGTTAGACACCTTTTGCTGGGTTAGCTTCGCACTAAAAATCACAGAAAACTGTGAATAAATTTTATTGACATGAAGGCCATTGGCCATCTTAGTGGGAGATATTTGATCCAGGGAAGGGGTTCTCTGGCCTGTATTGAAAATATTGGCTGAGTGGTTATGGTTCATTTGTGCTAAGATTTGTTTAGAGTGGAGCTAATGAAAAGGATGCATTAGCAGTGCTTCTCTAGAGTCCTAATAGTAGCCAAAATGACAAAAGATACATCATTGCTAAGAACATTAAATACTTATATGGGATTCAAAACTGTTGTTACTTGATGTTTGAGGAGGGGTTGGAGTGACTTCATACTCAAATTTTTTTTGCTGTGTCAAGTTAATCGAGCTGTTGATTTTTCACTTCTGGATAACTCCCCTAAATTGCAAATGGAAAACTAATGGCAAACTGAAAATGAATTTTTAAAGGGAAAGTAATTACATTGGCGGTTTCTCTATATTTGACTTGTATAATTGTATTTTCATCTTACATCTGGTGTAGTTTTCTTGTAACTTTTGGTTCTTGTGCTTCTGTAGGTGACATCGCCTTACGGGAACGATCTTCATCACAGGGATAATGCTACACATGGTCAGTTTGCCTTTACAACTCAAGAGGCTGGTAACTACCTGGCATGTTTTTGGGTTGATAGTAATAATCGTGGAGGCAGTGGGGTAAGTGTCAACATTGACTGGAAAACTGGAATTGCAGCTCAGGATTGGGATTCAGTAGCAAGAAAAGAGAAGATTGAGGTGAGTGCTGGGAGAATACTTTTTTTTTTCTTTTACTAATATGCATATATACACGCATGTTTTATGCATTTCATTAATGTTTTATAGTTTTTATTAATGCTAAGATTTTGGTATCTGATAATGGACATTAGTAGTGAACTGAGTGCTATTGTGAAAAGTTTATTAAAGTTTTAGGTGTCTTCAATGGCCATGGAAATGAATTTCTAGATTGAATGCTGTAAATTTATGTGACGGAAATTTGCTTTCCGACCACTACTAATGGTTTGCTATTGATTCTTGACTTATCAAGTGCAAGTCTTCACACTAGTATAGGTTAATGTGGGGCAGGATTATCAAATTTTTTTTTTTGCATCGTTATCCTTTAATTGTGCTTATTCTAAGTATCTGCCCTCATATAGGGTCTTGAGCTTGAACTACGGAAACTGGAGGGGGCAGTGGAGGCCATCCACGAGAATCTACTTTATATCAAGGGCAGGTAATCTTTGCGTTCCTAATAAGAATTCATTCAGCATGTCTATTTCTGTTGTAATTTATTCATTGTTTTATCTTGGATATACTCAGAGAAGCGGATATGAGGAATTTAAGTGAACGAACAAACACAAGGGTGGCGTGGTTTAGCATGATGTCCTTGGGCGTCTGCATTGGAGTTTCAGGTCTGCAGTTATTGCACCTGAAGCAATTTTTCCAAAAGAAGAAGCTTATTTAAATTCTTCTACCCCAATTTATCTTTCTAGACAAAAAGTGAATAGAAAAGGAAAATTTTAACACAAAGTAATGTAAACTATGAGTAGACAGACTGGCAGTTTTCACGTTTTGGTCGAAAGAGAAATTTGAGAAAGGAAAAGCAATAAATTTTCAGGAAATAATGATAGTTTGAATTTCTTGTGTACCAATAGATACTTTGTTAACTGGGTAATTGATGTGCATTCACTTTAGCTCTTCCTTATGCATTGGCTTTGTTGAGGTTCAAAATTGTGTATTGTTGGCCAAGATGAAGCAAAATTTGTTGTCAAGGAACCTCTTAGGGCATGTTTACGTATCAGTAATGGAGAAAGTAAGAAATCAAATAATTTAGGAATCGGAGAACTACTGAATCGGTATGGGAAGAATCATTCTCATTAAGCTGTTTACAAAACATATGGAATTAGCAAATGAATGGGATTGATTCCCATTGTTATTGTTTACTAATTTGCATGAATCAAAATCCAAATTAATTTTAGAATTATGGTAAAATGGTAAGGGTATTTTTAGAAGTTATTAAGGGAAAACAGGAATGGGAATCATTCTCTTTCCTCCCATATACATTACTGATACGTAAACATACCCTTAGTGAGTCTTTTCTGAACCATTTGATGTGCATCAATGTACGGCCACTTCGATATTTCGGATAACTTGAACTCTAGGAAAAATTTGGTGTCCATCACTTCATATTGCCCGTGAAGTAGAAATTTGACATAGCAAATGGCTATTTCCATGAAGGGAAAAACTTCCCTAACACAACCGTGTTCCTATTATCTTGTCAGGTGATGAGATACATAAGAATATGGTTGTATAAAGTTGGTTACATCTGAGATAGAATTGGCAATTTCAGTCCTGGCAAATAAATTAATTATATAAAAGGGGGGAAAACACCTTTGCTCAGGAGGCAAATAAAGGTAGCACAACAGAGGACGCTTAGAGGAGGCAGCTGAACGTGAGTTTTGCACTTTGCTTCATGATTAATCCAAATGAAGCATTTCTATCGTTCCATGAAAAAAATTTGAATTAAAAACCACAATTCGACTCGATTGAATCCCAAATGCATTGAAGCTCTTGGTGTTAGCCTAAGTGATGAGGTGGGACAACGGTGTTAGCCTAAGTAATGCATTGAAGCTCTTAGTCTAGGGCTTGATTCCATCCAATGTAACCAAGAATTGAATAAAACTGGACCCTGGATCTGATCCCAATCCATGCCACCTCTAAAAACACAGATGACTTCGTTTCCTACTTTAATGGCTTTTGCCCTATATCCACCCCTTAACTGGAACTAAGAGTTCCTCAATCAAAGAATCAATTACAAACCAATTACACCTTTAATACAAATTTGGCTGTTCAGTTTTATTAGGTAAGGATTAGCTGCATTCAACTTTCTCAACAGACAACAGTTACATCCATAACTTAGGTGAAAATATTGCAAAAACATAGAACATACTCGGCGATGTAAATTAAAGCTAACAAACTCATTAAGAATGATCATAGTTCAATCAAATTAGCAGTCATGCTGTAATCAGAGAATTAAAGGAATGAAGTGAGTAAAGAAGGAAAAATCAGGAAGTCCCCAAGCGAGCTTTATTCTATTCTAACTATCTTGCGGTTCATGTATCTAAACCTGCAAATCTCATCGAAGAAATCATCTGCACTACTATGACTGCTCTTCATCTGAAGAATCTTTATTACAATTGCCTTTAGATTCTTCCCATACTTCAACAAGGACTCAAGAGTGCTCATTTTCTGTTCAGCATTCAGTGGTGATCTCACTGTGATCACCACTTCTTCCAGACAAGGAATTGCAAATCCTGAGTCAACCTGATAAAAACAGAAATATAAACTCAATTATTACCTTGAAGATTGACCTAAATTGAAATAGCAAAGTTACAAAATAGTATCGACTTACATTTTTCAGACTGTTCTTCTGACAAAGAGCAGCAAACATGGCTCCATGGATATCAAACTTTTGCAGCTTGGGATGGTTATTGAAAAAATCAACGAAGTCAACCTCTGGAAAAGGTTGAAGGGTCTCAAAATCCCCTGTGAATTCCACCTTCATAAATAGGTGCTTCACTTCACTTGCCCATTGAAGCATATTGCTTATTGCGTCCCAACACCACTGGACACCCCTAATGGATAAGAACTCCAGAGCCCCAAGTTTTTCAAAATCAACCATGTAGACTCTCCCTAAAAACACACCAGAAAACACAAAGATAAATGAGTCATTGCTATAATTCACAGCAATAAGGAAACGGCCTCTTGGGTGAAAAAGAAATAAACTGCACCCAATACTGTACTTTTTTCAAGTCATCCAAGGTAAGCTTGTAACCAGTTATTACCTGCATTATTGGCAATTGAAAGATTCCTCAAATACTTTGCCTCACGAACCCGAATCCAACTGCAACCTTGCACCTCAAGCACTTTAATTTTTGGGCACTCCATAGAAAATGAGCAGTTTCCCAGGCCATAAAAGTCCAACTTGCACTGCTCCAGATATGGCAACTCGATCGAAACCGATCTCACTCCTTCACAACCAAGCAGCAACAAGTTGGTCAGATTAGGACAAGCCTGAAGCACAGTTGATAACGCAGGATCCTCCAATCTTGCACCAACAATTTCAAGGTTACTGAGTTTCTGGAAGACATCCCAATTGGGGGAGCGGGTCATTAAGACTCCCCAAAGTTTTAAAGACTCCAAATTTTCTGCAGCCATTAAGCAATCCAATTTTGAAGGGATTTCATGACAGGCCTGCTGTTCAGCAAGATTGTCCATTCGGAGCTCAAGATACCTAAGAGCGGGACCTATGAGCATTAACCACGAAGCAAGGCCAGCAGCTGAGAATGGGCTATACACAACCAGATTTTCTAATTTTTCAATCAGAGAAATCATCTTCAATACAATGTCATCAGGGCTGTCTCTGCCTAAATGGTTATCAAAGGAGTTTCTGGGGAAGTAAAGGCTCCTTATATAAGGGATTGAGTCCTTCCATCGTTTGGATACACAATTACACATTGCAACGTCTCGGGCATTATTCATATGCGACAATATGTATTGAACAATAGCATCAGGGAGAGAGTCCATTCTGTGAGGACAGCAATCAAACATTTGGCAGTCATTACCAAGATACTTACAACCTTAAGTTAAAAACTTGACAAAAATAATTAATACTACAGAATTAGTACAGTTTCAGAAAGAAATAAGATTGGTCAATAATATTTAGTTATTATGACCAGGCACTGGCGATGTAAAGGAAATCTATGCTCTTTAAAGCACTCTTGACTCTTGAGATTAGTGACTTGTGCTCAGCATTTAATAATGTTCCTTGTCCCGGGAACACTAAAATGAAATATGTTCCTTTAATTTCTGGGATGCAAAAGAAACCCAGAAATAACAGAAAATCATAATTCAAGGAAACAAAATTATTGAAAATGCAGTCGTAAGACTTGTAACTGAAACGAAGGAAGCTAAAGAAATTAGGAACAATCCATATGGGAAATGCGGAATTTACATGACTTGTGCAGATTGGATTAAGCTTTTGTTAGAAATTTATAAAACCCAGATAGAGGATGAAGATTTAGAGCAATTTGGGATGAACCCAAATAAGAAATTCCCAGTTAGGTTCCTAAGTGATTAAGAAAATGAAACCCAATTCAAACATCAGCTGTAGAGTGTGCTCCTTCAGGAGAAATATAACAAAATACCAATTAATATCAGTAGCAATGTTAGAAGCAGAAGCAAATCTGTGAAACAAATGAAGCACACAAGGATAAAAAAGAGAGAGAGATAGAGGGAGCTTACATATCAAAATTTGAATGTGGAATAAAGAAGAATGGATCTGAGAGAGGCTTCGGCTCCCTGGCTCACTCTCTCCCTAACAACCAACAATTATATATACAGACTCAACACAAAGAGAGAGAGAGAGAGAGAGAGGAGAGAGAGAGAGAGAGAGAGAGAGAAACGAGCGTGTCTTTGTGGGGAGGCGCGCTATGCCTCAGGGTTTGGGGGTCATTTCAAAATTCAAAAGCTTTTTTACACGTTTTTCCCTTCAGTTTTAGTTTTCTGTTTAAATTTGAACAAAAATAATTGTTTTTTTTCTTTTTCTTTTGTTGGAAATGCGCCGAATAAACAAAATAAAAAAACAATATAATCTATTATTTAGGAGAATAATCTTTGTTGCATTATTCCCTTATTTAAATTACACTAAATAAAGAAAGTTTAATAGAGTTTGAGCAAAATAGTAACTACCGATTATTTTCTTATTTCTCTTTACTTTTCCAGTAATAATCGTCTCAAGTACATAGAATGTATAGTTTTTGTTATCGAAAGAGTTTTTTTTCGTGTTCAATTTTATAAAAATAATTTCTTGTTCTTAATAGATTTAGAAAAAGACAGGAGGAGTATAACTCAGTTGGTTGAATTCTTCAACCTCCATTATGTAAGCAAAGATTCGAAACCCCCAGACACCCAACCCAATGAATATTTGTTTGTGAAAATCCCACTCCCCTAATCGCTTGTACTAAAAACAAAAAACAAAAAACTAATGATTCTTACCAAATATGACTAGATATTTTTCCCCTTTGGGTATTTTCCTTTTCCTCCATTTTAATTGTTTATAGCACGCTGTTTTTCAATTCATAGGATGCATGATAGGAAATTTAAAACCCAAAAGTGGCCCGCTAGGTTTAAAAATTTGAATTTTCGACCGTTCAAACATGTTTTTGGTTTTCAGTAATAATATTATTCAATTTCAAACATACGGGAGGGCTCCTCGTGATTGTTGCCTGCCCATATACAATACAAATCTTAGCACGTGCTGCGTAGAAATTGGTCGCTGCTGTTGAAAAAAATACTTTTATGAGCCGACAAATTGCTGACTCACATGTAGGATGGTGGGGCCCACTACTCTTCTTTTATATTATTTTTGCGGAATGTATAGTGTATTTGCTCACCGCCATTGATCCTCTTCGTTCATTATCTTTAGAGATGGAAGAGATATTTAGTGATATATATTCATTTTTAATACTAATAATATCGATAAACCCTACACAATTGAATTTCAATAAATAAACTAAAAAAAATACAAAAAATAACAGCTGACCCTATTGAATTTAAGTTTGATTATTAAATTATTTTAATACCTTATAGAGTATTTTGGGCTTTTTTAATGAGGTTTTGGATTTGGGCTTGTTTTAATAAATTGATGGTAGTTTTGTAATTTATAAAAAGTTAAAAGTTTCTTTGTTATGTTGTAAATGAGCTTTGGGTGTGTTTCTAAAGTCCATTTCATATGTTGACAAAAAAAAACAAAAAAAAAGTCCATTTCATATATAGTATTTTTATAATTTGGGCCCCTATATTTGGTATAATAGTGAATCTCCCTTGATTGAAACGAAACCATTGGCAACCAAAGAGGAATTCAAGAATAAATTCATCAGTTCAATGAAGTTTAGGGTTTATAGAAACAGAATTCGATGTATTTCTCATATAAGGTACATAAATTACGGACTCGTTTGATAATCAGTTTACTTTCACATTTTGGCACTCTTTTATAATTCACTAATTAATTTTACATCACCACACATATATTGCATTCAAATTATAAAAACTTGGTATTTGGGACATCCCGACTGAGGGAACATACTGGCAATTAACATGAAGGCAACCAGAATTTTCATAGCGTTTTCTTTCCTTGAAACAATTATTAAAAGGAAAGAAGCCACATGGATGGTCTGCATGTACAAGAAAACTTGTTTAAGAGAGGAATTTAAATGCAAGGTTTTAACCATAAGGTAGAAATTCTAACACATTGCATTCTTTTTAGAGGTGAATGTGAGGTTATGCGTCCGTACTACGTATGTGTATGCAACATGAAGTAAACAAAATCTCCACAGAAAGATGCAAAATTCGATTCACAATACGAAAATTGTTTCTTGTTCTGCAGACACCATCCTAATTGATTTACAAATTATTCCACTTCCTCGCCAATGCTGTACTTATCCTTTTCAGGCAAACCACAGCACTCAGCGGATGATCAGAAACTGCAAGCACACAAACAGATTTATTAACAAACAAAATCAAAAAGAAAAACAAAATAAGAGCTTTTGCCATGAAGAGGAAAAAAAAACCTAGAACAATATCATGGCAATCAAAGAAACCATCAGATTGGCCAAGACTGCTTGCGGTGTTCACCCTCTACAATGTCTATGCAAAATGTATTGCTTAAATTTTTTTGTTCTTCAGCAAGTACAACTCAAAAGACGCTATTGATTGTGTCATGAGCCATTGCACCAACCTGAACTTCAGATTAGTAAATCAACTAATGAACCAAACACCTAATCTAATACCAAATGTGTAATGCAAACGGATGATAGGAGACTGTAATGCTCATACCATGAAAACAAGGTTGACATTATCGCTGACAGCATCCACATAATCCCTTAAGTAAGCTGCCTTCTGCGAACTCATGGAAAGGCCTGAAGTGACAGATGTTTTCTGTCAAAGAAGCTTTTAAATGAAAACAGAACCGTGCACATTATTTGAGGCTTACCTATCTTGAGGGAATTAGCAGGATCTACAGGGTTCTTAACCACATGCAAGAGTCTTTCACGTCGACCCTGGGATTTAATCCTAAACTTTCGTAATAATTGTGCTGCAATATATATGAAGAAAGATAATAATGTGGACGAAAATAACCAAGAACAATAGTTCACTTTGTTATCAAAGAAAAACTAACACATCATAGCACAAAACTGTTGAAGAATATAAGTTCCATCGGAAACTTGACTAAATAAAATACAAGATATAATGAATGGTTCCACTACTAACATCACCGAGGCCTTTTGTGATAAAATCTCACACCTACTGGGCTTTGTAGGTGGTTAAGTTGGGGGGACAATATCGATGTTGCTAGTAGTGGGCCGTTGTCCCGTCTCTCTCTGAAAAGTTACTTAAGCTGCAACTTTCATAGATATTAAGCACATTTTCAACGAATGTATTGAACTAATAAAATTCAAAATATATGAAGTATAAGATGCATATGATGAAATGTACATGTATATATAATGCGCGATGAAAATCCACTAAGTATTAGAGCTTGGTTTTTGACATTGATTCAGTGGTTGGGACCTATAATTTCTTTCAAAACTGAAGACAAATTTATGGGTTATTTGTTTGGTATTGGGGGTAATCAGGGATATATCGCCGATAAGGGAGAAGAAATAGGCTTACCCCTTTGTATTTGTATTGACACCTAAAAAAAGGGATATATCGGCTGATATTCTCCTCCTTGTCTATGACATTGAAAAACTTGATGATTTGAAATGCTTTGCTGATGGACGAAGTGGGGGATGCTTGCAATAATAAGCCTGTAAAGAAAGAAGATTTGGATGAAGTGACTAGCTATGACAACTACTTGTAATAGTGGGGGAGATGTTGGCTGCGTGAAGAAGTGGGGCTGGGCTGAAAGATGGGTGTCTGCTTGAGTGGGCGGCGAGGGTGCTGGTTTGGTTGGCTAAGTCGGGCTAGTGGGGGCTGGGAGGAGACTGATGGAGAGATATTTGTGTTTTTTTTTCTTTTGATTTTTAATTTTAACTTTCAATAAATTTTTTATCTTTCCTTTTTTTTTCTAGCTTTTGTTTGGACTGAAATGCCCCTCAACAAATAACGGCAGTTACTTTATTTTGACAGAAATTAGAATTTGTCCTTTAATTGCTTAAATTGAAAACTACATAGACAAAATTGATTAAATTGAAACGACATGGACCAAAGTGGTAAAAGTGGCAAACTACATGGACCAAAAATGACTTTTTGCCTTGTATATCTAGGGAGATTCTCCAATAAGTATTTTATGTTAAGGATTGGTTACGTACTAAAAGAAGACTTGTTCTCAACTCTACTAACTACTAGTTTACTTGCACCATTGCCCTTCGGCACATTTGCATAATTTCCCTTCGAAACCTAACTCGTGACACACAAGTATCATTCCCTTTGGTACCTACCTTGTGATACACAAGCATTTTGCCATTTGGCAATCACCTTGCGACACACAAGTATTATGCCCTTCGACACCCCACCCCCCCCCCCCCCCCCCCCCTTGGGGACCTATAGACACGCAAGTATCATGCCTTTTGGCACCCCACCTATTGGCACGTTATCATTGACCAATTGGTACGATTTCAAGACTTTTCCCTTCGACATCCTTGCTTAGGCACCATAAAACAACATGATGGGGGACTTGGTAACCATTTAATTTTTTATTATTCCCAAGTCATTCCCTTTAAGGTCCTTCTTACATGGGGACTTGGGGAGACTGGGTGTAGTGCACCATACGGCCTTGAAGACAAACTAAGAGGTTGCTCAGGAATCGAATTACAAGTTCCTGAGTAAGTCTCTAACCAAGAAGTACCACCAGGAACTTGGGAGGACTTCTATTAGTATTGTGACTGGGAAAGCAACTAGAAATAACACCAATAAGTCCCACTTCGACATATTGTAAGGGAGGACGCTCCCTCACCTATAAAAGGAGACTACTCTCCACTTTTAAAGGGTATTATCTCTCTTCTTCCTCTTCTCTTTGGGACCAACCCCTTGTACTACATCATCACAACTTATTATAATGAGAACATCTCTCTATGGATGTAGCTCATTCAGGTAAACCACGTACATCTATTGTCTAATGTATGTATGTATACTTATTCTATCTATCTAACCTGCCAAACACACCAAGATGTTGAAGGCATACACAAGTAAGGGCTCTTCTTCTATTCTACGAATCTAACTAATCTATACTACTACTAACTATAGTCAGACTAGGTCTTCTAGAGAAAACTAGCATAGTATTGTTTATATATTTTGTGCTACTAGAACCACAAGCCGCACTATCTCACATATCCTAAGTTATGTCAAATTTTGAGCATCAACAAAACCTATGAATTATATTCTCATGTTTATCTACTCTTCTGAAGGCTGTTGGGTTGATTAAGTAAGAGTACGTCAGAGGATACGGCACATTTGTGGCTATAAAGTTCAAAGTTTTAGTAATGATATTCGTACATTTGTTTCAAGTCATGATAAAGTGATTGGTGTGTATAGATGGACTAGGGTTAGGTTTTAAGTATTATATCATTTATTGTCCTTTTACATTTAAAAAAAATGATGTGAACTCATACTTACATTGGATTTAAATAGATAAACTCAAAGTTAAAAACATACATAAAAAATTAGCAATACTGTTGAAATCCACCATGAATATGGTAGATAGCCACTTTTCAAATTAAAATAATTGTGGATGGAGCATTTTTTTGGTTTCACTTTTATAAGATAATATTATCCATCAATAGCTTCATCTCTTTAATCTTTATGCTCTCTCACACTTTCTTTTTCAAACTTTGCTTCTTCTCAACGTTCGGTAGCCTAAAGAATAACTTGGAATAAAAAAAGATGAAAAAAAGAGAGAATAGACTCAGTAGAGGAGTGTGTGAGTGACAGAGTGTAGAGAGAGAGAGAGAGTGTGAGTAAAAAACGAAAAGAAAAGGAAAGAAGGTTATTGTCCTTTTAATGGTTTAAACAGGGCGATACCCACCATGAACACTTGTCCCTCACATCTTCACCTTCACCTTCTTCTTCTTCTTTTGCTTCTTGTGCCCTTTGTATTCTCCTCTCTTTAGACTGAGAAAGAAAGAGAGGGAAATCCCAGATGCTCTGCAAATGGGGAAGGGTGAGCAAAATCTGCATCAGCAGCAGAGTCATGGGGGTGAAAATTCTTCGGAACTCATCTGTCCTGGATGTTCGATGGTTTTTAATAGAATCGCCAAAGACTTCAGCTTTAGATGCGTTTTTGTGTTAATTCTCAGCTTATCAATTTTTCTCTCTGGGATCTTCTGGATCCTTCCTTACCGTTCAACCAAGTCTGGGTTTGATGCCAAAGAGGCAATTAAGCTCAGTGGTATGTCCTCTCTCTCTCTCTCTCTCTCTCTCTCTCTCTCTCTCTCTCTCTCTAATCTATATATATATAGATATATATTTATATATGCTTCACTTTGATTCTTCTTTTATTTATTTTTCATTATAAGATTTTTCTGATGCTTTGAGCAAATGGGTATGTGATTTATCTTTGTTGTAAAATTGGGGGTCTTTGAATGTTTTAAGCAAATGGGGTTTTGGTAGTTTACCTTGTTGTGTTGATGTGTGGTAGTAGTTTACCTAATTATTAGGGATTTTTGGTGATTTTAAATAAATGGGGTTTTATGGTTATTTTAGGGAAGGCGCAAGTGGTATTACACTGTGTTCTATAATTCAGGTCTTGCGATGTTTCACTCATCTGGCTATATATAGGATATGGCATTCTCGCTTCGTTTTAAGCATTTCTGATGTTCTGAGGAGATGGTTTATGCGTTATTTCACCTTCTGGCTAAGTAGTTAAGTTTTCATGGTGTTTTGTGGATCTGGTACGAGTTAATTCACCTTAAATTTAGGATGGGGTGGGAAAGGAATTGGTTGTCTCATGATTTCTCGTAATCTTGTGTGTGTGCACTTGCACACACTCGTGCTGTGTGTCCAAGTTTCCTTGATACTATTTTATATATGTCAGATGTATGGCTCTGGCTAAAGCACAAACTGAAGTATATCATGCACAGATTTGCTCAGTACGGAGCTTTCCCTTAGATTTAGTTGAATTCAGGAGCATTTATGAGGCTTAGGGTTGATGGATCTAGTTAGACACTAAGACCTAAATAAGTTTCATATTTCCAGAAATGCTTTTCTGCTGGTGGTGGATCTACTATAGGCTTGGAAGTGACCGTAATGTCCTGTCATGTCAGAATTGCTATTCTAATAGTTGCCAATAGATGTATTTGTCTTTGGTGTGCATTCACGAGGAACAAGGCTTCTGCAGTTGACTGCAGAGGTGAAAATTGTCTGAAATTGGATATCTCACCAAGTAGTCTGTGTTCATGTAGCCAAATAATCTGTTTTCCATTAGTGGAAATAGCAGTTAATGAATTGTGTGGAATTACAATGTTAATGGTCTATGTTATTTCTCATATGTTTTCTCTGAAGTTGGTTCTTAGAAAGAACTGAGAATAATAAATGTTTCATATTCAAGAAAAGTAACTTTTTATTTCCTCATGAGAAAGGAAATAGATTATACCTACGAAAAAAGGAAATAATTGACCAGCAGTCTTAATAGTTCTACTGATGTAGAGGATGGTTATAGAGGCCATTTCAAGTTACAACTACACAAAGGAACAAAAATCAAATAACATATTATTCCCAGGATCAAGAAAGGACAGACCACACCAAAATCATGGAACCCTATCTCCATCTACTTTTGGATATTCCTGATGCAGGACATTGCAAGTTATGTTGCCTAGGGTTATGGTGGCCGTGGGCTTAAGATTGGAACTTTTGGAAGTAAAATATTTTAGCGAACAAACAAGCTGTGTATAAGTGTTGTAATTTTAGAGAAA